ACAAATACAGCTAGATGCAAATGTAAATACATTTTCAACAACTTTAATGAGCATATTATCGTTGTTGCATCACGGAGCTACTTGAAACGAAGCAGAATGCAATTTGCGTATTTCTTTCATTACGTTTTCTTTTTCTGACGCGATACTTGCTTGTGACGCCGTGTACTTTGCATGCCCTGAGAGTCGTTACGTCGTGGAATAAAGTACGTAACGAGGGCGGTCGTACGGGGAAGGCGCCGCGACGCGTCGGGTCAAGACTCGATCTGACGTGCTTCCGACTTTGAAACAGTAATTCCGAGGAAAAGCGAATTTTATGTTGATGCGCTCTCGCGTTGTTATGCGCTTTTCAACGCGTACAAACACCAGGAACTATGGTCGAGTTTGTTTGGTGCACCCGGATTCGATTTTGGTGCGAAAGATGAGATAAGACAATAAATTTTTGGGAAATTTCGCGGGCTACAAATCACCCGAAATACGCCTTCATTTAGATTTCCACGGAGCAGGTAAGCAGGCGCCTTATCGCGCCCGAAAACTCCGTCATATCAGCGATGACAATCGCGAGTGTATCACCGAGTCCGTGGCACGCTTTGACGTGCGATACGATAATCACCCGGAGCGCCACTTTGGGATTAGAGATGGAGCAAGCTCTCCGGGCGGACACAAAGGTTTTAATTGCGGCGCGCGTGCTCGCCCGTAATTCCCCGGCAAATGGAACGTATTAACAATGTTTAGTTTTTGTGTTTGGGATTATTTTTTGCGTTGCAGGGAGATGTTAAGTCCGTTTGTTCGATTTTTTTGTCGCCTCGTAATACTGCTGCGAATTCGGAGGGATGTTGTGTGGAAAATCCTTTTCAACGTGCCGATTTTAAATGCTATAAAATATGATTGAAGTTTTGAAAGATAAAGTACTTAAATGTATTCTTCTATACTTAAAATAAATTGATATTTGTCAGTTTTTTCCCCTAAACGCTTCTAGCTAGATCCATGATGTACAGAAAATGTTTTATTATTTTGTTTTTATTGAATAATATAATATTTCTAGGAAGCATATTAACAACCCCTTTTTGAAAGAAAAACCAAAATTCAAGAAAACAATAGAGTGAGTGCGCCATATATAGACCACCATAATAACATTTCTTAATAAAAAGTCGAATTTTAAATTTTAATCAGCTTTATTTTTATTAAACAATTATAAGATCGGTGAATATTTTTCTACAGTTCATTGGATATACATAGTACAAAAATAAATTGTGTAAAACTCTAAATTGATTTAGAGGCATTAAATGCGTCCGTAATTTGCATAAACTTTTGACATTTCGGTTTAATACGCATTTCCAAACAATTTTCAATTCGTGTTAACCCCGCAGGATTCTATTATTAAACATAATACAAACAAATTTGCCCACTTTTGTGCGACAAAACACCCACAAAAACCCCAAAAACTCCCACGGAAACCGGCCGCATAACGGAAAACTCGCCAGCGGAAAACTCTCCGGCCGCCTCCACCTCTAGCCCCGATTATCAGCGAGTCGACGGGTGGCGTTTAACAATCGCGCGCGCGATGCGTGGGTCGGCGGCGCGGGGGCGGCGGGGCCGCGCGGGGCCCATCGGGGGCGACAGTCGGGGGCGGACGGGCGGCCGGCTGGTGGGCGGCTTCGTAATCAGCAGACTGTGGAGGCCGCCGCAGGGAGCTTTACGGGTTGCGTTGCGTCGCGGGGCGCTCGCTCTAACTACGCCGCGACGCTCGGGGTTGACCTGCCGCCGCGGGCGCTCCGTTTACACCGTCAAAAACCGTTCGGGGGAACGGCCCTTTCGCGAATTTATTTCAATCGAACCGTCCGATCTTATCGGGATAAGTTTAACTAGAGTTTATAATACGGGTAGGGGAGCTGAACCCTCACAAAAAGAATCTAAACGCATGATAAAAAAACAGGAATTCGATATAAAAAAGATAATATGAATTATGAAAGCGTAAAATTTATGTTTGTAGTAATAATTCCCCACAAAAATCCCCTAAAAAAAGCTTTATTCGGGTGGTTGGTGCTTGGGTGTTACGGTGTAAACGTAGCGGCGGCGAGCTGGCGTCCGGGCGCGCGTGCCGCCTCGCCGCCGATATAAGTGAACAAGGTTAAACGGCGACCGCCGCTGCCGCTACAGCCGTTCCCGCTGGCTGCGATGTCGATGCCGCCGCCCGCATAGCCACAGCGTGTGCGGCTTTTTACGTATTTTCCAGAGACCATTTTTCATGGCATAGCCAGTCATTCGCATCGATACGGCTCGACTGAGGGCAAGGGCGTCCGGACGATAAATCAGATTAAAGGGTTCTAAAGGAACCGTACGTTTATGTCGGTATCTGCATCTGCTAATTTAAGTTATCGCCTTTTTACCGGTGTGGTTTTTATTTTTGTGTGGAAGATTTAGCAGGATGTATTGCATGGCGAATATTTGCCCATGTACTATTGATAATCCTGATGAGGAGGTTTTCGAAGATTAGGGTGATGTTTTTTTGAAAGGGTTACATGATTTTTGTATAGTTTATTTAATGATTTTAAATAAATTATTTAAAAAAGTCTAGTAAAAGAATGGGTTAGTAAGGTTTAACTTTTTAAGGATTTTTTTGGATTCTTTTGGATTTTTTCGATTCTAAGAATTTTTTGTATAGTTTCTTAGATTCTTATTGAAAAAACCTAAAAACTCATAGAATACCTGAAAAATTGATGTGCAAATAGTAAAAAACAAAAATAATTTTATAAAATCTATTTGAATAATAACTGGCAGCTTAAACACCATTTAATAATATTGAAAAGCTCGGAAAAATATTTTATATCTTCCAAAATTATAAGATATACCTTGAGAGACCTTTCACCTGAGTCTACTCACAAATAAACACTAATTTAAGAATTGAAAATCCGCTCTACTTTGTACTTTGTTGTAATTTTACTTAATGAAATTTATAAGAAATTTATATGAAAATCTTCAATATTTTTTCTTTACATTTTTACCCCATATAACTTGCACCTAATCAATTATTTTTATATTGTATAGGTATACCAAGATATAGTGAGCAATTTTTTTCTTGGTATATTTACCTTATCCACCGGTAGATATCCAGGCAATTATCCGCCGGTACACGGCGAGTTTCTCCCGCATTATTTCCCGACGAGCAATTTCCGCTCCCCTGATCGATTTCATTTACATATTCCGGCGATCCGTTATCGCACGGCACTGGCGGTGAATTCGAGAGGCGAAGACTAGGCAGCGCCGGCCATTACTCAATATTGAGTGAAGGATATTAAGGCCTCCTGGGGTATTGTCAAAGAGATAGCGGGACGCACTCGAAATGGATGGGGTCCGGTGTCGGCGATCACTCTTTTTCTCAATGCGGACGATCGAACGGTCTCCGAATCGGTGATTAACGCGAAACGCAATTCGCGTAAATTCCAAACGACTGATCCCTCGCACTCGCAGCCGAAGAGTATGAAGAAATTGTGCTAATTATTCACCTGATACTTGCCACTTACTCAGTGTAAAGAGAGTTAATTTGATCGATATAATTTTGTGAAAATTGTACAATATTATGTTTAAAAACAGTTTTTTAATACAGGGTATACCGCATAAGAACCGACACAGAGCATCAGTTACATTCCTGAGAAGTTATAGGCCTTCAAAGTGGAGTTACAAATAAAAAAAGTATATCTAAGCAATACTCGAACTTTAAGCAACTAAATATGGTATATTTTATGAGTGTACTATGAGCATTAATCGATAGTTAAGAGAGATCAATCGATGTACCCTGTATTTTAAAAGGTTTATTAGTTTTGATGTTCTCTTAAAATGTTACAGAATTTGTTTACCTGATGGATGATTTCAAAAATTATTAGTTCATTTTATAAGTAATTTGATTTTACAACTTTCTTACTCTTTTTGTTTTTTAAAGTTCTTAGTCGTTTTGAAGAAAAACGCTGAAAGATTAAGTCATGTACACTATCAATGTTACTTAAAATTGTTGATAATTCAAACATTGGCTGTATTAAGTTAAATTTAGGTTAAATAACATATTTTAGGCGGCCCTTTACACTCTCCTGCTCTATGTCGGTTCTAATGCGGGCCACCCTGTATATTAGAAATATTCATCTTTGTTAATGATTGGTTCTTTTCAAAAGTTCTCCGTAAACCGAATTAAAAATTATCTTATTTCTTTTTGTGAGACAAAGTGTTTAATTCATCTGTTAATAAAACTAAACTAAAATGCGATTTTTTGCACTTACAAAGAGATTTGCTCTACTAACCAAGGGATTAACCACCTCTTGGTGTTTTTTTCTACAATTTCAAGTTTTTTTTTTTTTTTTTTTTTTTTTTTTTTTTTTTTTTTTATGCACACGACTCGGGAAAAGACGAAGCTTATAACGCCTGTTCAGGCGCCCCGAGGCGTTTTTAGTAGGTAATTGTTAATGTTGGTCTTAAACCTCTGAAGGTCGTAACCAACTGGGAACACTTCTGATGGTAGTGTGTTCCATAGTGTCGCGGTTCTGTACAGAAAAGATTTCTGATACATAGAGGTCCTAGCTGTTGAAATGTGTACGGCAAACTGGTGTGTGCTCTCCGCTAGCCTTGTAGAACGTCCAAAGTGAGCACCAGGTACCAACAATATGCTTTAAAATGATATGATTTATAGCCATTAATTCTTCTAATGCCTAACAAGAATTTTTACTTTGTAAAATCAGTATAAATTTAAATTTTTCGATTTAATACAAACGAAACCAATCGGAATATCACAACAGCGACATCTTTTACAGTTTACTGCAGATATTATCCCTTTCTGAAAACAGAAACCCGTTGAGCAAGTACATTATTGATTTCTACAAAATACACATGAACATTTACTTCAGTAATTTTTATATTCAATCTTTTATATCGCCATTTTCTATGTCATATTAATTCTTGTACAAATATTATATACTTTTCTATCCAACAAGGGATGAAAATTATTGAAAAAGGATCTCCAACATAGCCGCTACTACCATTCTCAGCATCCAATTAACAGCAGAGAAAGCAAAATATACAATAAACAATGCGTTGATTATAAATGTTATTAGAAATAACAAAAAGTGTATTTGTACCATTTATGCATGACAATCATAAAAGATTAACGTCAAATGAATTGCTTTCCTAAAGATTTGATAATAATATACGAATATACAAATCATTTTTAATTAAATGTAGTCTAGTACTGGGAAACACATTATTACTTGTCTCTATGCAATGTACCCCGCGTGATGATTCTATCGATTGATGTATCGGCTTTAATTCCAGCCAGACCATCGTCCAGGGCCCTCCGTTTTGCTATGTCCGTGAGGGCCTTGAAAGAATAAGGTTCCCAGCAAGCCAAATCGGCCAATGTCTTTCGATTCAATAGGATGTCCGTTCTCGCCAGGCCTTCCCTGAATGTTTCGTAACTGATGTTGTGTTGTTCACAACCAGCTCTGACTCTAGTTTCCCACAACTAAAAAAATGCAAACATTATTATCTAGTTTTGTTTGATAAGATTATTTTATTACTTACATTCGCCATATCTGCTCTCTTCAGTTTACGTCCTTTTGTGGCATAAGCTAAGGCTCTGTGTACATTTCTAAGGGCGATGCTGTAGCAATTCCTTCTTCTGCCAATGAAATGCTAGAAAATAATAAATTATGTAGCAACCAGTAAAAAAATTAAATTTTGCTCGAATGTAATGAGTTAATGAATGAAACGTTAATAATTAATAGTCGAATGGGAGTAATAGTGAAAATTAAAGGATAATGTGGGACAAGAGGTATAAAATAACAAAAATGAGGATATGTAGCGGGTTTATTAGCCTATTTGAATTTAAGACAACTTACTGCTGCTAATTTAAATATTCTTCTTTTGCGCCAAATTTCATCCGGACCTCGAGCTCGTACATAATTTACGACACTTGTAAAAACCATTACTTATTATATAAGTTAATTTCCAATTTATTTTTATTTTGTTCGACTACCACACTTTTTTAGGTTATTTGAAATTTAGGTTTTTCTTCCGATTCTTCTTTCTCCAAATTAGGGGTCTGAACTGCTAGCGTTTTTCGGTCACTTAGATTTCTCTAGTATGCATTGAAAGAAAATCATAGACAAAATAAAAATCTTTCTTTCTCTATGGTTCTACCGTGAGAATTTCTTCGAATCGTACGATTTCACAGCAAAAAGGATACAAGTATGCAGCTGCAGCTCGACAGAGTTAACCTGATTGCCATAGAGTACAAGACCTAACATTTGACTTGACAGTTGTGTCAATGGTCTTCTTCTTGTAAGAAATGGCCTACAACAGTTCCTGAAGACGGAGAGATTGAGGTTATGCATGAAAGTAAGAGTGTAGTGAAGTTAGGCACGTCGTTGTTTTAAAAATAGAAGTGGCTCGTTCCTCGTTTGTCATTTGCTCCTAATCCAGACAATCTTGTTTCTTGTTTTAGCTGCAAAACTATGCTCGGAAATTTTGTTTTTATTTCTTAATCTCCAATCATTCGCATTCGTTAACTTAACTTAACGCCTACGGTGTGCGATATAAATAGTGAAAGAAGCGAGAGCGAGCGTTGGAAATATATTTTAAAGTTTTAAAATTTAAAATTGGGACGCGAATATTTATTCCACTTGGCGTCTTTTGAGTTCATTCATCTGTTTGTTAATGAGTGCTGTTAATTGTGTTTTTTAATAAGTGCCTTTAAAAGTGTATTTTTAATAACTTATTTCAAGTCTTCCTTGATTGGCATTATTAACTAATTGTAAGTATGAACAATATTTATGAGAGAAATTTCGTATTGCCATTATATTATTGTTTATTTTACAATGTAACATTTTTACAAATTTTACAATATTTTACTAATTAATACAGAATGAGAAATCAAATGACCTTAAAAAATAGGTCATTCAACTTAGGAATGTGTACAAGTTCATTAGTTTTCAATTTTGCTCAAATACTTAAATTCATATTAATGCAAATATAGTTTTAACTAGTTCAATATTTAATAAGTTAAGTAATAAATAATTTCAAAACGTATTTGAAATACATATAGTCAAAAAATATCCAAAAAGTATCGGAAAATAAGCCCATACGTGTACAGTTTAAAAATGAGGTTATTAGGGCATCTCATTATATCAAGCACATATGCGATTATTTGTGTGTAATTAAGAGAGTTCATTGTCGAGTTAATTGAAATTGTGTAAGTACACAAATTATCAAGTAATTAGAACCTCATAGTTTATAATCAATAGTTTACTGGAATAAATTAGGAATTAATAAATAAGTAATAGTAAAAGTAATATAAGATTCGTCCTTGAATACCTGAAGGATTTGAATGAAGAAGTATCATTAAAGTAATAATTTTAGGACCTATTTTGGGTCCTACTTAAGAGCGTTTATAAAGATCGTTAATAAAAATTATCGTATCGCATATGTGTGTGAAAATGCTCTTACTTTTAATGCCTTACCGGAATTCTACGCAATAGAAATCTGTATTTTATGAAACAAAATCGAAGATATGACAATGCTGCTTCTACGAGTACATTCTTTTAAATTTTTCTTGTCTGTATAAAAATTCACCCGTTAATAAAATTAAATATAAAATTAGGGATTAATAAACCGATGTTTTATTTGTAATTCATTATTTTTCTGTTTTAGAAAATGGGAGAATCGTTGAGTAAAGCAACAAAGCCGGAAGAGGTAATCTTATGAGTTCATATACATCGTGTCTCACAAATAACTTATATTACTTTAAATTTTATTCTTTGTTGATCTAAGTAGGAACAAACTTAAAAAAAAAGTGTTTATTTTACTCGTTTTTCGTTTTAGTTGGTCGTTTTCAAAAAACTACCGGCCGACATTCCGTTGGACAACATCGAAATACCGGAAAAGCCGGAAAATCGATCTCGCACCGACAGGAAATTTCTTATTATCTTCGGAGTAGTCATTCTTCTACTGGTAAGTCCCAATTTTACCTCACCTTTTTTAATAGGTAATTCCAAAATTCGATCCTGGAGAGTTCTAAATGATTCTGTAGAGTTCTAAATAATTGCAGACAGTTCCTGATTCGTAATGAAGCATTCTAAATGATTCTAGACAGTTTTAGTCAGTTATTATTCGTTCAGAAGCGGTCTTAATTCATTCTAGACAGATCTAAGTCATTCCAGATAGTTCTAAACCATTCAGGACAGTTCTAAAATGATTCTGTATACGTATGTGTTGTTTTGCAGTTACCATTTCTGATCCATTCAATGATTATGGGCGATTTGGCGCGATGGCGGGGCTACGATCAGTGCGGCAACGTTTGCGGTCAGAATAACGATAAATATAACGCTTGGTCTTGTACTGGTCAGGATTACACCAACAAACCGTAAGTACTCACATTATATTTTCTAAAAAAATACTTAAGATGAAGAAATAATAAGAAGAATAAGACTATATTTATTCATCTTATAGTGTTTCTTTTTAATGGCCCCATTAGAATCGAACCGACGTTTTGATAAAATTACTCGTTTCAGCTGGAAACTCGTAAAATTTACCATATTTCCTAAATTCCAGGTACCTGCAAGTTTACGGGAGCGCCGACAATCTCCTATTAGCTCGAAGGGAATGCGTATACAGCTGCTACGAAAACTAGTAAGAAAAATAACTCGTCCCTTCATCTGTATTTTCCCTGAGTTATCTCCAGAGGTTTCCTGTGGAGGTTTCCTTCAGAGGTTTCCTCCCAAGCTCTCCGATCTTTCATCGGGATAATACAGAGAGTTGTGGAGAGGACAGATGTCGAGGCTTTTTATCAGTAGTTCATCCAGCCACTCTCACTGTACTCTTACCTTTCAGCATAAAGATATTTTCCACTTGCTACGCTCGCGAGAGCTTCAGCGACGACGATTCGACTGCGATGCAGGAGAAATCGAAGGACTTGGACGACGCCGATCTGTCGTCGTATTTAAACAAGCACGCTTGGAGGATCGTATTGGCTTGTTTCGTTTCTTTGGGTAAATTCCACGGTTGCTTGGTTATTTTTTCTGATGAAAAATTAACGAGTTCATTTGTAGGTGTGGGTATCGGTATGGTGCTGCTGTTCAAAAACGCCACGGCGGCTGTGGTTTGGGGTATCTTAGGTGGAGTTTTGCTGTTTGGACTTATTGTTGTTGGTGTTATTTGGTAAGTTATCTCGTTAGACATTTAAATACTCTATACAGTGTGTTGATTCACCACCGATATTTCAGGTACATGTACTTCAACATAGAAAAAATCATACCGAATTCCGAAGCGGATTCGAGCCAAATGGGCGTCCTCGTCATGGCAATCGGCTTCACCGTCATCTGGCTGGTACTCTTGTGCGTCACCATTTTCATGTACAAGAAAGTCCAATTGGTCATACAATTGTTCAAAGAGGCCATCAAGGCCTCCTTCGCCATGCCCCTGTTGATTTTCGTTCCCCTAATCGTAAGTATATACTGCATAGTTCATTTTAGTTTCTACAAACCTCTTCTTCTTCATCTCAATACCTTTCCTCTTCGACGTGTTATCTCGTTTCTTCTTCATCTTCTTCTTATCCTCTTTTCAGACGTTCTTCTGCGAGCTGATCGTATTGGTCTTGCTCGGTTTCACCAGCGCCTACATTCTCACGTCGGGCGTTCTAACGCAAATAACGTACGATTATCTCTACTACGCTAGCAACAACGTGATGAACTTTACGTTCTTCTTCAATTTGATCGTGGCCTTCTGGATAACGCAATTCATCATCGGTATCCAGTACATGGTGATAGCGGGCGCCGTCGCCAAATGGTATTGGTCAAAGTACGTCTAATTGTAGATGAATGTTATTGTTATGTAATGTTATTGATGTGTTTATTGTAGAAATAAGCAGGATTTGGGCAAGCCTATCTCGACCAGCGCTCGAGTGGTGTTCAAATTCCATTTGGGCAGCATCGCCTTCGGTTCTATGGTGATCACCGTGGTGGCCATCATCAGGGCGTTGCTGAGTTCGTTGGCCAAAAACAACAATCTGAAGGCTTGCGTGGATTTATGCATGGGCTCCATCGAGTCGTTCGTCAAGTTCCTGTCGAAGAACTCCTACATTCTCACCGGTAAGTAAATCTTTCAGCGAAGGGTATGTAGGAGAAAGATGGAGTAGGGTAGGGTATGAAGAGATAGGAAAGGTATGAAGGGGAAGTGAAAGGATTCCTGTCGAAGAACTCCTACATCCTTACCTAGAGGGGCAGGGAGGGAAAGAAAAGGGTATTGAGGGGAAAAGTGCAGTGAGATGAAGGTAAGGGTATGGAGGGGAAGAGAAGGGTATGGAGGGGTAGGGAGGGGAAGAGAAGGGCAGGGAGGGAAAGGAAAGGGTATAGAGGGAAACTCCCACATTCTTACCTGTAAATCTTCGGGCTTAGGGTAGGGCGGGGTAGAGTTGGGTGATGAATGGTTCCGATTGATTCTAAATTGGTTTGTTTTTTGGTTTTTTCTAGCCATGCACGGTAAACCTTTTTTCAAATCGGGTAAAAGGGCGGCGAAAATCATCTTCCACAATGCTGTAAACATTGCTTCGGTTAATTACGTCGGAGATTTCGTACTGGGAATGGCCCAATTGCTCATCGTGCTGATTTCGATGTTGATTACTGTCGGGATTATGCAGGTAATTAGTTAATTAGTAATTAGTGTGGTGGTCGATTAAATGCTATAAAATAGTTGATACTTTTTGTTGATACTTTTTTTAACTGCGTATAGATCTTTTAATTCTAAGCTAATTCTCTTAATTCTTTAATTCAGAATATTAAAAAAAATTACTTGAAAAAGTTGCTTAAAATTAAAAGATCTATACGCAGTTAAAAAAAAGTCTCAACTTATGAGACACCCTGTATACCAACTAAAAAATGTTTTTTTAGGGTGCCGATTCGGAGTACTCATGGATGGTATACCTCATAGTTTTCTTCGTATCATTGTTTATCGCCGTAACGTTTTTCGCTACGTTCGAAGTAAGTTTCCTAATCCACTCTTAATCTACACAGAATCCACTCTAAAACCATTCTACCTCTTGCTCTCTTTCTCCCATCCTAGCATCTTCTCTCTGTCCTAATCTACTCCAAATCTACACTGAATCCACTCCAAACCCACTCTACCCTACACTCTCTCTTTCTCGTTCTCCTACCCTATCGTTCTCTCTATCCACCTCTCTACCCATATCTTCGATTAATTACTAAAGGATAATTCTTGTTTCTTTTTTAAGACTACAGTCGATACATTGTTTATGTGTTTCTGCGAAGACAGTCTACTTAATGACGGGATGAGCCGCCCGTACGCGATGTCTCGAGATCTGATGGAGTTCGTCGAGAACTCTAAGAAACTCTACGGGGAGAAGAAGGATTAAAAATCGATTAATAATTTCGTTTGGGGCAAAACTGCAATAGTGGTGAATTTGATTTATCGGTTCGTTTTTTTGTTGGTAAAAGTATACATTTTGAGCCCAACCAATTTACCACCATGAAGTTTGAAACCAAAAGGAAATGTCGAAATTCACAAACCACCTTTTATTACAACGTTTTTAATACTCACTTTAAGTCCATCTATGCACTATTAAAGAATGTACAGTTCCTCACGACTCACCCTGTATATTCTACGTCTACTTGCAACAATCGGACGACCATTTTCTCCATTAAACCTTTTGACCTTTGTTATAACCATATACAGGTAAATGCAAAATTATTTACAAAATACGGGTGTTATAAAGATAGCTTCCATTTGTCTCACATAAAGCAAGAAGAAAAATTAATATTAAGTAAATGCAACTTTTCACTCTCCCTGTTATTTTAATACTCTGTCTTTGTTCAGCTAATAGATTTGACCATATGTGTTCTTCCGAATTGACCTTTGTGGTCTTTAACGTACTTAATAAGGTCATATTGAAATGGTAAACGTTTTGTAGGTAAGACTTTTATATATTTTATATATTTACATGTATATTTTTAATAAATGTTTAAAAATTAAATGTACGAAATCCAGCTTTACAAAAATAGCATTGTTCGATTTTTGAATGTTTTCTCTCAGGTAATTAAAGCTTTATAACGTATTGGTAAGTTCATTCGTTTCATTCACCAATAGTTTAATTTATAGGAAAGAAGATTTTAATTAATAAAAAAGAAATGTAAACTCGTTACGCACCCATTAATTAATATATATACAGGGTGATACAATGTTAATAATATCAAAAAAAACTTCACAAAAGTGGTAGGGTACTTTATATTATTATGCTACCCTTTTCTACAATTCTACTGTACTCTAAATCTACTCTACTCCTGAGTAGAAAAAACGTAAAAACCCCGTAAAAATCATCAAAAACGTAGAAAATCTCAACAAAATTCAAAAAAGAAGTTGAAAAAAAATAAATTAAAAATAGAAGATAAAAATAATTAAAAAATCGCAGGAAAGCCGTCAAAAAATCGTCCAAAAAAACCGTCAAAAAGGACAATCAAAACAACTTCAAAAAATAACCTAAAAAAAATCATGCGCACCGTCACCTCCATCAAACACCCCATCCAAGCGTTCATCCGCATCATCATCGACATGACGTCGCGACGCCGCCTCTCCCGCCTCCTCCTCCGCCTGCCCCCCGGCTGCTTCCCCCCCTACCGCATACTCATCACCCGTCTCGTCGTCGAAAACAACAGAAAAGCTAGAATGAACCAAAAGCATAGCCAAACCCTTTATTCCTCTTCCTCAAACGATGATGATGATGATGATTACAATGATGATGATGATTGGATGGGGCAGGAACGAAATCACGAGATCAACACGAGCACGCCTTTACGAAGGATCACCGCGGACGATTTAAAGGCGGTGCGCCTGCGCAAAAGCGGAGTCGCCGATGGGGCGGCGTCGCGACGCACCGAAGAGATCGGCGATTTGCTGGACGTGCTAAGGAAGCGTTTCGCCGTGATGCATTCGTCGGTGATGAGCGACTACGGGAGCACCTGCGACGCTTCGAGTGTTTCGGTTGGTAATACTGAGAGCGGTTGGTAGTAGTGGAGGTAGGGCAGTTGGTAGTACTGGTGTTTTTAATTATTTATGTAACAAATCTTGTATTGATTTTGAAGCCCCGTAAAATCGGGTATAGTCGTGCTAGAGAAGTAAAATTTTTACAAGAGGTAACCTCATGCGTTTACTTATAGTGTGCAAAGTAGCATCATCGTCACTCAACTCCAATGGGTCTACCGGGCTCTTTGAAAGGGTCGTGCTTTTGGGGAAAATTCGACCTAACATGAAAACTGCATGGTCTATTTCGAAGGAGTGGGTAGACCCTTTGGAATTGAGGTGGGATGGTTATATTCGGTAGACTTCGAGAGAACTTATGAGGTAATGCTTGGTGTAAATTTAAAGTCTCTAGCTCGATTGTAGGAAATTATACGGGACTTGGAAAAATGTTTCCAATTTTTACGAACAGTGTAGTTCTTTCCAGCTTTTTTATAGTTGTAATGTTGGCAATAAATTTATAATATCAAGTTGGTAATGCTGGTGTGTTATCATTTTTTGTTAGTTGGTTATATTGAGCATAGTTGGTATATAACTGAAAGTGGTACAGTTAGTTGATAGTACTGTTGTTCGTAATAAATCTACGAGTATGCAAAATTATTTTTTTTAGATTTAGAAGGCCCGTAAAATGGGCTGTAGTCATGCTAGAGCAGTGAAATTTTAACTAAAGGTGGCCTCATGTATTCTTAAATTGTCTGCAAAGTAGTATCATCCTCTCTCAACTCCAAGGGGTCTACCTCCCTCATTGAACAAGACCGTGTTTTTGGAGAAAATTCGATCCAACATGAAGCACTTTAAATAGTCCTGGATCAGTTCTAATGCATCCTGAAGCATTCTAAATTAACTACCTCGCTCTTACTACTGCTATTTTAATCATTTTTCTACGTTTAACTCGTCAAGAGGTGACCATATTAAATAATAAGGCAAAAAATAATAAAAAAATCTTACAATGTTAAAATGTTGAAATATATTATTATAAAATGTAGTTAGTAGTTAGTAGTATACATGGGAAATTTATCTGCATCGACAAACGCGTCGACTGTCACACCACCCTCCGGTTTTTCCCATAAATAGACAATGCACCCCGCAAGCTGCATCGTTCAATTTCACCCCTTTTGCTTCCACGCTCAGTACGTCACACGTGAATCTTCTTACTCGATGGTGTTCTGCGAAGAAATAAAATATGTAAAAAATATATCCGGAAATATTTGTGGAATTAATCCAATTTTTCGATTTATTTTAACTATTTCTTTAGCTGTTTTGAAAAATAAATTGTGCATTATTTAGAGGGTTGGAGAATTTTGTGATAGTAATCTAGTAATTTAATTGTTTTAATTAAAATGAACTTGGCATTAGAAATATTATTTTTTCTAATTTGAACAATGTACTCTCTGCAGGATGGCACATATCCTATACATATAGATTTTTATACGAAAAAAGGCTAGACATTGAAGAGATTTTTCCTAAATTTAAATGGAAGTATAATGTTAATTATTCATGAATATTTTGTATCATTCACTGTGTTCTGAAATTAATAATAAATAGGTAAGTAACAAAATTTAATTTTTTGAATGGGACATTCTGTACATTGTAGTATTGAAGGACTCTACGTTATAAACAAATATTAATGAATAAATATTTATTTAATAGAGATTGATCAAAATTGTCCATTTTTATAAAATATCAAGATTGACTTTTGTTCACTCTGTATACTAAATATATTATTTATGATATATTGAATTGAAGAGTTAATATAGTAAAACGCAAGTAGCTTTTCTCAATTTATGGATACTGAGGTCATCTATATCGATCAAATATATGATCAAAAAAGTGATATTTTTATTTACAAATCTGATGTAATAATTTATAATTGGATTGCAGTAAAATTGCAATCCAAAGTAATCATGCATTGTAAAATTAACATAGAATTACAAAAAATTCTAAATTCGCAAAAATATATACAGTGACTTATTAAGAAAGTACCATAATTTTGATTATTTTTCATTGATTAATTTTCATTAATTTCAGAAGAAATTATAAAGTACAAAATAATTTCTTACTTACCTGATTGTTGTAAATCACTGGCGATTTCCCTGTGGATTTCCTCGGCGATTTTCCCGTCATATTCGCTGACCGGCACAGCGGAAACGCTGGCGAGAAAAGCGCAGAAAAGCAGAGAAATTACGAATAATTTAGTCATTTCGAAAAGACTTTGAATATCTCTATTGAGTGCGAGGCAATACTAAACGATTGGAGAATTGATTCTTCCATTTATATTTATACACCTATCGAGAAGAAATGCGATTAGTTAAGCACGTATTTGTTTGTTTATACGACACATTACCGAGGGGAATTACTCTGCTCATGTGAAATACTTTGTACAAAAGATGTTGCGACTTTGATTTCTTGGAATATTTGATATTCTTATCGGTTATTTCATATACAAACTTACATTAAATGATATCGCATGTAGTATAAGTTTAATTGTATTTTTTTGCTTAAACTCGATTGAAATAGTATCTTTTTGATTAGATCAAGAGAATTGTTTACACCATAGCTCAAATGTCTATACGAATGTCTAAATTTCTTCATGTCAATTAATGGAAAAAAATAAGAGATTCAACTATTCTATTCATACTATCTACATATATTTTATAAACCATTTTTTATAATACATTATTTTAATTTTGCATCAGTTTATTTCCTCCAATCTAGTAACATCCATCCAAACGTCTCCTTTCACAGAAGTTATCGTCGCATGCGCGTCGAATTCGAACGGCATCTTCGTCTTTTCGTCGTTCAAAGTGAATTTGAAATTTTTGAGAATCGCAACCAGACCGACTTTGGCTTGCAACAAACCGAATCTGGCACCTAAAAAGATAAAAAATACAATGTATTATGAAGTGTAATACTTCAAGTAATACCTAAGTAGGTACTCATAGAGGTATGTATAGGGTGTTTTATTATATTATAATATGCTAATATTTAAGGAGGTGGTTGTTGTAAAAGTGCATGAATTTACGAAAGATTAGAAGAAAAAAACGTTTAAAACGTTACCCCATCCTTTTAATTAGCATATTAAATTACTTTCTCAATAATAACTAATAATTCTAAATAATTTAAGTACCTATACAGATCCTGGGGCCGTCTCCGAAGGCCAGGAAGGTCATCGGTGGTCTTTTGGCTTTGTTTTCTTCGTCGAACCGTTCCGGATCGAATTTTTCTGGTTCCGGATAATAATCCGGATCGTGGTGAATGGCTTTGACGGGAATAATGATGAACGTGCCGGCTTCGAGTGTTACATTCGTATCGGGAATTTTGTAGTCCTTGCAGCACTGACGAGGGATAACGGCCACCGGAGGATATTTCCTTAGAGTTTCTATCGATCGAGAGAGAAAACGGAAAAAATAATAAACTTTAAAAAGGAATATACAATACAAAGAATATACAAAGAATAGAGATTTGGAGAGTTCAGAGAAGAGAAAAGTGAGTAAAAAGACTAGACAGTAGAATGTAGAGAGTGTAGTAGAACAGTGTGGGCAATTCCTGTGTACAGGATTAGTAAATTCGCGTAAAGTTACAAGCTCCGGAGTTACAACAGGAGTTATTTTTACACTACACAATCTAACCTTGAATGACTTTATCCAAATAATCCATTTCCATTATAGCTTCGTAGGTAATTTCGTCTCCGTGCGATTTCAACACCTTCACAATTTCCTCTCTCAACCTCTCCTGCACGTCCTGGTTAAGTGACAGTTCCAACACAGCGAAAGTCATCGTCGTCGAGGAAGTTTCGAAACCCGCTGCGAAAAATATGAAACACTGAGCGGCTAGTTCCTCGATGGTCATCGAATCGGCCGGTTTTTCCCCGGCATCGGGCAGGATTTTCTCGTCGTCCGCCACGCGACCGCGGTTCTTCAGCTGCAGCAGCAAATGCAGCACGTCCGGCCGGAAAACTCGCCCGCTTTCCCGGTAATTCACCGTCGAGCGGACGATGTCCATGAAGAAATCCTCCACGTCCTGCGGCGTGCGTTTGTTCCGCACGCCCAGTTTGCTCAGGAGTTTTCGCGAGAGGAAAATCTCGAGCAGGTCTTTGGGGGTTTTCTTCGGCAGGAGGAACATTTTCTTGCCGAACCTTCGGAAATCCGAGTCGGGGTCCTTTAGGCTGTTGCAATCGATTCCGAATGCTACAGAGCCTATGATGTCGGTGGTGAATCTGGCGAATACGTCTTTGATGTTTACGGGTTCGTGGGATTTGGTGTGTTCGTCGAGGATGCCCGATAGGCCCGTGGTGCAGGCTCTCATCGTGGAAAACATCATTTTCATTTTGCCTGGAAAATTCGCAAACGTAAAATTTTAGTAAGTGTATAGCTTTTTGTACGTACCTATACTTGTAAATTCGATTAGCTAAATCGTTTAGCATAAAAAATACTGAAGATGAACGAAATGAACCGAAAGCATTTTTTTTTTTATAATAAGTAGATATACAGGGTGGCTCAGAACTCACGCCCTACCGGGAAATGCCTTATGGAAATGACAATAGAGATACCAAAACTGCAGTGAAAAACATGAAAAAGTTATTCCTTTGGTAAATAAAGAGGTTTAAAATTGACAAATCCCAGTAGAAGTTCACATACGCGAAAATGACCTGAATTAACTATTGGGAATTATCTAATTAACTATCGTTCATTAAATTGTTCTAGACTGCTTTTAAATGATTCTAGAGAGTGTTAAATCATACTAGACATGATTCTGGAGCGCGTTAAATAATTCTAGACGGTTCTAAATCATTCTGTAGAGTTCTAAACGATTCTAGACAGTAGTGAATTTCTAACGTATGTATTCATTAAAAAATTACCTGACGTGAAAGTCGGAGTCAATTTCGTGCGAAGATTCTTCCATTTTTCGCCCTCCAAGTTAAACAAATGCGCCGAGAGCGGATCGATCTCTTCGTCGACGTGTATACCGCGATTCACGAAATGTCCGAAGTCCTTTTGCAGGATATTTTTCACGATTTCCACGTCGACGGGCACGTAGGTGGGCTTGGGCCCCAGGAAAATCCCGCCGTGTCTTTGGCCTCTGCCCTTGAAGTACTTGTAGAAATTCGCGAAGGCCTGCGCGAAGGGTTCTTGACGTTTGAACACTTTCTTGGTGTTTCCGTAGAACACGAGGGGTTCTATGTAGTCCAAGCCTCTTCGTTTCCAGTACGATTTATTCCATTGTATTATTAGATATAATATCGTCGGTAATGTTAGTAGAACTATCGTTAGTAGTAACATGTTTTTCTACAACGGTTTTTTAATAGTCTGGTAATTGTAATTGTATAATTGTAATTGTTCGTTTATCTGTTACGCACTTTTTTTTATTTCTATGTTGATAATGGATTGAATGTGTTTGATCGCATATTTGGTTGGATATTTATTTTTTATTTTTCAGATTGTGAGTTGCGAGCTGTAAATGTTGGAAAATATCTAGATTCTTAAATCGAAAAATTTAGTTTAATTTTACTTACAATTTTTTAAAGAACTCAATGATGTCCAAATTCTCTATTTACACCGGTAGGTATATTAACAATTAACAGTTTGCTATCGAGGACATCCAGTTCCAGGAGACTGTGAATTATATTTTTTAAGTTTCTTATCTAAATTACGTAAATATACACATTGCTTCTGATAATAAAGATAATTCAAATAATCTTCTAATCAGTGTATATCCTACGCATTGTTTTAGAGTATCTATCATCAGTTATTAGCTACAATTTTCAAGATATACATATGTATGTGTAAATTTCGTTGAGAAATTATTAATAAATAAAATAAATAAATTAATTAATAAAAACCTGATGAGAATTATTTAAAAGCAGTACTCTTATAAAAATAACGTGGAGATGAAAATTCGGATGGCGCTGTCAATATATAGAATTTTATCAAATTAATAATACTAGTATTTGAAAATATATTTGATGAAATATACTGCTCCACAAAAGTTAAGGAAGCTCACAAATATTGAGATTAATTTAAAAGTTGCAGGTTTTTTGATCGCCAAATTTAGTATGAGTTGTATAGGTAGGGACAAAAAATCCATTCAGATATGAGAGAAAACATTTAATTTCACATATTTGAAAATTTGGTGATCAAAAAGTCTGTAACTTTTGAAATAATCCTTAAAAGCACTTCCTTAACTTTTGTGGAGAAGTTTATTTGATACACACACATACACACACGTTTATTCACATAAACAAAAACTAATTATGTATAATTTCTTAGCGGTCAAAACCATATGAAACTAGTTTGTTGATCGAGGTTATCTAAGTATGATGCGCGCGAATACAATGCTTTTATTATCATACAAGGTCCAGGAGTCTTATTCGAGTTCATCAATAATTTGGGACATACCTATTAGATACTATACAGGGTGTCCCGATGAAAAGTAGCACCCTTAGTGAGCAAATAATTTTTAAACGTCTAATCATAAAAACATTCGGTTTTAGCATATACTATAACTTTTTGTTACAGTGACACAAAAATTTTGTATCGCCTGTACAGGGTGTTCCATTAAAATCCCCTCTTTTAAATTCACATTAACCCAATTTTATGAAATTGGATATCCTCTTTTGTAGAATAACATGTACAAATAATACAGTTTTGAAATGTACAAGAGTATATCTTTCAAAATACCTCTGTATATTTTCCAAGGGGGTGTTCCATTTAAAAAAAATTGGTTACTGTGAATTTAAAATTGGAGATTTTGATAAATCACCTTGTATTGGTAATGCATAATTTGGTAATGCATTCCGAGTTATAATCATTTAAATTGAAAGTTATTATGTGTAAAGAAATTCCCATGATATAAAAAAAATCACAAGCGGTTTGTAAAAATTAAGAATTAGGTATTGTAAAATTGGCTAATTAATTAATATGTAAGAACAAATGACCTGAAATATATTTAATTATGTAGTCAAAAAAAACTTATAACCGCGATTAATTGACGTATTTAATTCTCCTCAAATTAACATTTTCTCTATAATTATACGAGATTAATTACAATTTACAATAATCATTAATGAACGTTCGTTATTCTTTTATTTTTATTAAAATATTCCAACATATATTTGTAAAATAAATCTTTTAATTTTGTTTGAGTAATTTGAGAAATTCGAGTACCTAATTACCGAAATCAATTATCAGCATACATTTAAGGATCCTTTAAGTTAAATAACAAATTTATTATTTTCACCAGTGGCGTTCCTACGGATTTCGCATTGAATGTTTTTGGAGAAAAAAGTGTTACGCCACTGCCTACTTTTGAAATAGGAAATATATTTCGGAATCCCCATTCAATTTAGAACAAATTTGATATCTTAGCTTTTTGTGATTTTTATGAATTTTTTTCCTTATAATGAGCCCAAGAATCACCCCTTTAAATATTAGCATGCCATTATGGAACACCCTGTATAACGTTAAAATATTGCCGTCTCCAAATACCCTGTATGCACTCATAGAACCTTTTCTTCTTCTTTTCCACATTGATTCGTCCATTTCTCTTCCAAATATCTTCATGTACCTCTTGCGACTTTACTTGATCATTCATTGTGCATTATAATTAGTAGATTCAATCTACTATCTACTATCTACCATTTAATGATACCAAATTCACACAATGAGCCCTTCAACTGCAAACCTGCATCGACAATTCCGGCAACGTTGTGCGTTCATTATTCGTTCTTCGTTGGCGTCTCTCTCGATCAGGCTCTTCTACTCTTCTCTACAGGCTCATCAGGCTCTCTTCAGGCTCTCCGGCTGTCTGTTGAGCGTTCGTGCCGTCGGGGCGGTCGAATCGCGTCTTCTTTGATCTCTCCCGGGCCGGGCCTGCCGCGATCAGCACGCGACACTCTCTCTTCTCTTCATTCGTGTTTCTGAGTCCGGATTCATCTCGCGCGGATCTCTCGTCGGATGGCTTTTTGGTTTTTTTGTTAGATTTTTTTTTTCGGTTTCGGTACGTTTGTGCGGCTCGGTTGGCTTTCTTCTTTTTTCGGCTCGCTTAGGTATATTTACGAAGACGAGGTCTTTTCAGCCTTTTTTTTTTGTTTTTTTTTTATTTTGGTGCAGTGTGTTGATGAGGAATAAGAAGAAAGATTGATTTATTTTTGGAGTTTGGTGTGTCCCTTTGATGTGAGGGGTCGAGGAATATAATGAGAGGTAATTGTTTTTTAGTTGAATGTTATTTAAAATTTACTATCACTGTAGAAATACAGGGTGTTTATAAAATTAAGGGAGATATTTTAGAGGGCGGTTCTTTGTTGGAAAATATGAAAAAAGTTTCTATAAAGGTGGGTCCTGAAATGCACAGTTTTCAAGATACCAGGATGTCAAATTAAAATAAAAAATTATAAATATATTAAAAAATTAATTGAAATTTGACAATGTTATTTTAGTTATATTAAGAGGCTAATTTAGACCTAAATAGATTAAAATTATTCAGTCAAATAGTAATTCAAAGAGTAAAATAATTTGTGAGAAAATTCAAACTAGATAAATTAATTAAATCGTTAAAATTTTGTTAAATATAATAATAAAATAATAATGAATACCTATAATAATTATTATGTATCTCATAAATGTATTTCTATAAGTCCATATAATTCAATATTTTTTTATAGCATATTCGTAACTTCACACGCACATTATAATACCAGTTGCCCGTTTTATTTATTGCACAAGTAATTATTGCTTGTATTCCTGTTTTGTTTAATAGTACTATACACACCTCTATTAATTAAAATTAATTGAGGATTGAAAGGAGTTTAAAGAATTTTTATCTATCTAATAAAGTTCAAACATAATCATGAGTTATAATAACTTAAATTCATTATTATTTTTGTATCCATATTGAAAATTTCATTTTGGAAATTATGGTTTTACTGATGCATACAAAAAATAAGGCATAAAAATATTACTGAGGAGAAAAAATAGAATCAAACATTAGGACTAATAATCATGATTAATATTTAATTTGTACCATATACTCCATGTACTATATTATCTGAATATTTCGAAGCAACTTTCTTCTACATATAGCTACCTATACAAATAATCCAATAAAAAATAAACATTTGTTTTTTTTTTGTTTATAATCCTATTAGATAGATAAATTGAAACAAAAGCTTTCTCTATTTCTTTAATTGTTTATCTACATCTTTTATAAGAAGTAAAACAAGAATAAACTACTAGATGAGGTAAAGCGTGTAATAAATGTGATGGATCATTGATCTTTCGACTGTTAATCAAAAATAACGGGTTGATTCATTTTATAGTTTGCAATAAACAGGGTGGCACATTATTACGGAAAAGCTCAATATACCTGCATCAATGTTACTGTAGAAGTTGTAGATCTTTATAAGCTGTACATTTTAAAATTAGTTACACTTATACAGGATGTCCCGTTTTTTCGTGGTAGACCAAACTTATACTTTTTTAAATGGATCCCTGTTTTTTATCCAAAAATTGGATTCAGCTCGATTTCAGCTTCCCAAAAATACAATATTGTATAATGTTATACTGAGTGGTTTAAAAGTTATGACCACTTTTCCGAGAAAATCGTACTAAATTTACCACTCTGTAGAAACTAAATGGATTGAATTGATAATATAATTCAGGTTTCACAACATTGCAAATATCCTGAAAATACACAAAATGAATATTTTTCATTAAATTGTGGCATATGGTTGTAAGTAATAAACCACAAAAAATTTTCAACTTTAAAGGCCTCTAGCTAAAAACGGGGGGCTAAAAATTGTGTATGAAGTTGTACCCTTATTTCGATTTCATCTATACAGGGTGTCCCGGAAAGTGTCGGAAATCTCTCAGATTAAAATAGAACAAGAATAAATAAGATAACAAGTTTATAATCGCTAATAATATAATAATTTATAATCGCAACTCTGTATAATCGCAAAAAATCGTTTGTATTTCTCGAAAAATCTCTGTGTAACCTAAATGCCACATGTAATGTACCCTCTTGGATTGTACTATGGATGTCAATAGTCATTATCACCACAATGGGTATTGACGACCGTTATAATTCCGATATTGGGCAAATAAGTATAGTTGTTAGAATAAGCAACCGATAAGCAGTCGATAATGGCTTAGGAAGATTCTTGTTTTCCGATTTGTATCTAAACTAAATAGGATACTCGACTGGTGAAAGATAGGAAACTTTATATCAATGTGTAAATGACATCTATAGATAATAAATGACTATATAATACATCCAAATTCAAGAGTAGGAACGGAGTCCTAATTGAAAGTCGTAAGTTAAGAAACTTATATCCGTCGGCTCGTGCTTTTGCCGCGCTTTTGCTCGATATTTTGTTCGTTAAGAAGTATTGTGAATAAAGCTGTTATAACCAAAAACTGAATTTCACTTCGATCACACCTCGACCATTACACACACTCGAATTTAACATGTGTTATTATCAATATTACCGACCCTTTTGTCATGTTCTTCTTATTGTTAAAGGTCCGATCGCAATAAAACTTGTTTGACTACAACACCGGTCGACAATAAACAGTGTTGCCATGTCAAATATACTTCTTTAAAAATTATATTTTAGCTACAGGTACTTTTTATTTTAGATAAATTTTCTGTGATTCTTGAAGGTTCTACGGGGACTTTGTATATGATACTTTAGTCTAACATTATTGTAGTTTACAAACTTTACAAATTTCAAAGTTTTCTAGTAAAATTTGCTAGAATTCCAATAATTTTTTTCACACAAAAAAGCATTTAAAAATCCAGGAAACAAAAACGTTCCACCGTTTCCGAAACCATCGATTAATATCAAAAATCGAAAACAGGAAATACATTTTTTTTGATTTTAGAATATTCTTCACTTTAGTAAAAATTTTGCGAGTCCGGCAACACTGTATCAACACACATTTCAAACATTGTTTGATTGTTGCAATGTTTGTAAAGCACGACATTAAAATGTCACAACACCAATGTATCGGATATAAAAATAAATTTATATAATGCTCATATACAGGGTGTTTCGTTAGAGAATGTGAGTATTTTAAGGATTTTATAGGAAATAAGAAGCCTCTATTTCTCTCATTTACACAAAGTAAATTTAAAACATTATTAGGTACTTTCATTTACTACTAAAACACCCCCTGTATGTAAACATTATACAGGGTGTCCCGCATTGTACAGCATGCACTTAAAAAAACCTCTTTTAAACCATTGAGAACATGTATCAAACCGGTATCTGGTTATTCATTAATTCAATAATAATTCATTCATACGTAAATTTAATGAATGATCGCTCGAAAAAAAAATTGAATATAATCAACACGTCACTCTATATTTTAGATAATCAAGAAGGCGATTAGCATTTTTATTGAAAATCGAGTGATCGTGCTCGAGAGCTAGCTAGACCCCTGGAGGTTCATATGGGACTCATATAGACGAGGTAATTTAGTACAGTCGAAGATTACTGGTTTATCTATGTGGGTATTTAAAATGTGCATATTTCATAAATGTATTTACGATTATTTCAAATGCGCCCGGTTGAAATTGCATCCCGGTATGAACGGGGATTTAAATTGGGCGCCAAAAGGATTATAGATTTTAATCCAATAGGTAAACTGGACGCTAGAATGAATATTTACTCTCTAGTCTGTAGTTTCTAGTCTCTACTCTATAGTCTCTAGTCTCTAACCTAAAATACCCAAACCATTGAACTTTCATGATAATTAAAATACTGATAGTAGACATGAATGATAACAATTAAACCGTATAAATAAATTCCTGTGCGCATGCGTATTGTAAATTCATAGCGGGACAAGTCTATAATTGCATATGAAAAGAATCTTTATTACACGACCATTTAAGATTTCCTTTATTGATTGACATTCATTCTCTAAATTTGTTTCTCTCTACATTAGCGCGTTCGCGGAAAAATCTCGAGTTCTGGATCGCGGTGAAAACTCGAATGAAATTCCCTTTTTTATTTACCAAAACTGCAAAGAAGGCGATAATGGGGATGTTGCCAAGTGATAGGAATTTTAAGGGATTCTAAAGAAAATACACATAATATTGCGAACATTATTTTTAACACACTTATCTATAAAAACTTGTTACAAATAATAAATTAATTACTAATAATCGCACCAATTTAGAAAGACACTGTGTACACACATTTTCCCTTGAAAACACGGTTAAAATAAAGAAAAAAATCAATCTTTTTTTGTTTGGCTATTTAGGATACTTATTCGCTGCTATTTTTTACCATAAAACGCAAAACAATCCGTCACGTAGAAAAGCGGAATCGCTTAAAGAACAGCAAAAGGTGTTAGAAAATGCGTGTACTGGCTGAATGCGAAAGGCTCATTTACAGTGCTCTGTTCGCAAAGAAGAAAAAAAAAATAAAATAAAAAAAAAGTAGTAAAAAAATGGCATAGTCGAGAAGAAAACGGCCTGCTGGGATCTGATTACAAATAACGTTAAAACGATTAGCAGGTGTTGTTAATTAATCTGCAAAGTACAAAACGTGTTCAATGAACTGAATGAGGTTCGGCGTAGATTTTTATAATGATAGTTATTTTTAACGTTATTTTTTCCATGTGCATATTTTGAGTAATTTTTGCGCAATGTGCATATTTTGGACAATTTTTGTTTACCTTATTAATGTGCATATTTTGAGTAGTTTTTGCACATTGTGCATATTTTGGACAATTTTTGTTTACCTAGTGTGCATATTTTGACCGATTCTTGCATATTTTGTATATTTTGAGTATCTAATTTTTACATATTTTGAGTGTGAGTGTGAGTGACTCATTGAACACCTTTTACTTCTTAATTTTTTTTCAAAAAAATTGATGTTTCATCATTAATTTTACAAAATCCATATTCCCTTTGTTTCAGAATAATGCCCATCGAATGGACGATTTTGAAGCGTAACCAGCCAGTTTCAATCTACGTTGATGTTGTAATGACGCTTACTCTTTGCTTTTTGCTAAGCATCGTATCCATTAATTTAACAGTGGCGGCTCGTCGACAACAAACCAACGGTACATGGATGTAAGTCATTTTCACAAATTATTATTTTTCACAATCTTTCAATTTCTGGAGGAGCATTCTAAATGACTATGGAGCGTTCTAAATGATTCTAGGCAGTTCCAAATGATTCTGGAGCGTTCTAAACGGTTCTAGATAGTTCTAAATGTTTTTTGTCATTTTCGTCCGTTTTGGATAGTTTTTCAAACTTTTTTAAATTAAATATATCAGTATAAACGATTTCGATTACAACCCGGCATCGTTGCAACAGGCTGGTTCGTGACGTAATTTTAAAAAGTACAAACTTTAGTAATGTTTTTTTCTATACAACAAAATACCAATCACAGGGGCTTATAAATCTTCGGAAAGAAACGTCTGGTGAAATAAATGTCCATTATAAAGATTTTATCTCGTCTGTCGCACACCACCACTATTATTCCTTGAATAAAATCGAACATTAAATACCGAACGTTAGTGTAAATGTATACAAACTCGCTAAGTAGGTGCCGAATAATAAATTTCATCGAAACGAGACTTAAGAAATATTATGATGTGGTTTTAACTGCAGTCGTTTCGAGTGTAAGATTAATGGACATACGGGCGTAATAAACTTGGAAATTTGTTAAACTTGGGTGTGAGGAATTTTGTTTAATTCGATTTCGAAGAATTTTATTACATAAAAATAATTGAAATAAAATAAAAGCCTTTTTGCAAATGCCATAGAGCAATGCAATATTGCAAACTAAAATGAATCAACCTGTATATGTATTTAGGTATTACAAATAATTTTGCATCAACGTGTATATAATATGAATGACACCCTGTATATTAAAAGATGAATTCGCTATTTTCTCCAATAATTAAACTGGGCGACTTTTACACGAAGAACATTTAAAATCGTATGCACCTATAAATATATTTCATTGCGAATCGATTCGAAATTATCTCGAATTCTCACGAACTTTTCGATGTTAATTCGACCGGAAAACACGTTCGAGAAAGTTTCTATAACCGAAGAATTTCATTGTACAATCGGCCGTACGAATCTTGAAAAATATACGATATACAGGGTGTTAATTAATTGGGTGCCGATACATCAGGATGTGAATATTTGGATGATTTTAAGAAGAAAAGTTTATATATCAATATATGTCCTAAACCTCTTAGTTTTGGAGATACAGGGTTACACATTTAGAAAAAAAAATAACTTTTCTATCATAATTTTCGTATTACTTCAGATATTTTTATAAAATTTCGGACGTGGACGTCACTGGTAATAGTAGAAAATTAATTTTTGACACCCCAAAAAAAAGTGTTTCCATGGATGGGCGCCTACCAAATTTCAACAAAATATCAAAAGCAGTATCAAAATGAAGTTGGAAAAAAATTGTATTGGTTTGTTGTTTTTTATTTTTTTACGTGAAAATGGTGCGTCGTACGAAAGTAAGTCTTCTGACCAAATTTACTCCAAAATAAATGAGGATTTTAAAAATAATTTTGGTTTTTAGAAAAAGCAGCGGCGTACCATTTATTCTTCAAACATATTCGGTTCAAACCCCGTACGGACGTCACTGGCATAAAATACAAAAATATTTTGCCTCAAAAAATGCTACTTAATAATTAAAAGTGTTGTACAAAATTTCATAAAAATATCTGTAGTAATAAGAAAATTATAATAGAAAAGTTAATTTTTTTTCTAAAACTATAGCACCCTGTAGCTCGAAAACTAAGATGTTTAGGACATATATTGATATAAACTTGTCTTCTTAAAATCATCCAAATTTTCACATCCTGAAGTATAATTAGTTCGCAGACTAATTAAATTTCTGGAAAAGAAAATTGCAAATTTTAGCAAAATTTCCTAAAAATCGCTTGATTAATTAAACTAATAAATTATTTTCATAAATCGCCTATGATTGATTACCTAATTTAATTAATCGCTCTGAAAATCGTTTGGAAAATCATAAATAAATATAAAAAAATAAATAAAAATATTTAAAAAAAATCATTTAATCATGCAAGACTTGTAGGTATTTGAACGATCAAAATCTAAAAAAATATCCTATCAAATAAAATTTTTTTTTCCCAAATCGTGACGCCATATTTATACAATTTTCGCATCTAACGCAAAACTACCGGAGAAATTCGATTAATAAGTAACCCAGTCGCATAAATTGTGAAATAGAAATTTCGGTAAAGTACGCAAAGTGAAATTCGAATTTACGAATCGCATCATCTTCTACGCGTTTATACCCGTACTATACGAGAAGAGAAATAAAAAACGATATAAATTCCTACTGTTAAGTCCATAACCATTCGTTTTGACACGAATCGCTCGATCACGAATAAATTTTACCATTAACGTTTCTAATGGGCTCGTAAAGTACAAAAAAAAAAGAGACGTTTTAAAGAATAAGACACAAACGTATTTTTTTATCTACGTTTTGTAAACGTATCCACTATAGCTAATATGAAACATCTAATTTAATTTACTTTTAATTTTATTATAGGTACCTAATTAATCTAATTTTGCAACTATCCGCCATTTTGTTACAAACATGATTTTTTTGTTTTATTCATCTTCTATTGAATACCTTTCATTTGAATATAATGTCGATGGATTTTGAACGAAACAAATGTCCGCTATTTTGTTATAACTTTTGGCTACTCGTTAATTAAACTATATTATAATATTTTATAGGAGAATGGGTCTTCTGATGGACGATCGCATGCAAAACGACCGGGGATTCCCGTCTTGCAAAAACCTTCCGGGACTTAGCGCCGGTCAAAGGAGGCTCTGCCAATTGTATGTGGATCACATGGGCGCCGTTGCGTTCGGAGCGAAGCATGCTCTGACCGAATGCAAACACCAATTCCGAAGTAGGCGTTGGAATTGCTCCATTTTGAACGATTCTGACGCATTCGGACCTGTCATTTCCATAGGTGAGTTGATTCCTAAAGGCGATTTCAAAACGTAATCAATCTTATAGACTCGTTTTTTCAAAATAATTCCCCGAATTATACTTCCTTCGCTATCAACTGTTAGTACTATTATAGTTAATCGTAATAATTTATCACGATTCAGTTCGTTTTATTAACTTCCATTATTTCTCTTATATAGTTTTCCTCATTTGCTCTATTGTCACATATGAATAAATATTCGCATAGAACTATAGCTAATGAGATAAAATAAAAATAAATCGGACAGTTCGGACCCCTCGCCCTTTTCACAAAATACAGAGTGATTCATTTGCATAACGATGCGTAACCAATCATTTATCCAGTGAGCTGTAATTTGCTCGGCCGCCTTGATGGGGTTTAGCAGCTCCGCTTTCTAGTCATCCTTGCATTGTTATTATTTCGAAATTAACCGACTAAAATCGCTCTAACTGTTCTGATGGTTCGGTTCGTGTGGGAAATATTGGGATATTTTGTATGCATTTTGCTGTTTTGTTACACGCGTTTATCAATTTCAGTGTGATTTATATTTTTATTTAATAGTTTCGTATGATTTTTAAAATAAATTTATGTAGATTTTAATACCCAACTGACCGTGGAAAGACTATAGGATATAATATTTATTGATGGGAACTGTACGGAAAAAGTAAACATTACAAACGTTCTGAAGTCGTGAATAAACACACTTAAAATATTTTAAAGTGCTCTTTTATTTCAATCGAGAACGATTATTGGTAATAATTGTCGAGAAAATGCGAAAGCAAACATTTCTAACATCAATAATTAACAGTTAGAATTTTTCTTATTTGCAATAATTAAATTTTAGAGTTTCCTGCACAGAAATCGCTCTGTGTACTTATATACTTATAGTTTAATATACAGGGTCTCCCACGACGAGTTAAAAACTATCTTAAATTTCTGTGTTTAGACTACTACTTTTGGATCAAAATTACTCAAAATTAGCCCCTGAATTATCTATTAAAGTACATACACAACATATATGTATAAGCACCCTGTGTATTATAATTCTAGAATTCACAAGAAAATGCATTTTACATTAAATGTTTTCGTGTCAAAAAAATATTATTTAAACCGTGTGTGCTGATGGGAAGAAGAAGCAATCAGACGAAGTTAATAACACTATAATGATCAGTTTTTTTGTAATGTAAAATGCCACTTAAATTCCCCCAGTATTTTTTTTATTCTTTGTCAACGGTATTATAATTATATAAATTTTCTCCGTTATTGCGTTTTAATGACCATATAATTTTGTATCCGCTAATAATGCAAGTACACGACAGGCTATTAACTCCCAAAAAAACTCGAAATCTTTAAAAACCCTTACTTTCATTTTTTCATAAACTGTTAATTATTATTGTGCATATTGCATTAAGACACACTGTATATTAATGCGCCTTGCCGTGGATAACTCGATTTATCTGTACCTATTCCGGATCAATGGATCATGAAATTGATCCATTCCGTGTCTTGAGCAGAAATGATTGAGGGATATATCTGTTTGGGATGCTAATTGAATCGATCATACGCAGCTCTTCGGAAGGCTATATAGGGCGCTTTGATAACTATTTAAAAACTTCAAAAAATTTTTGAAATTTTTAAAAATCTGAAATTTTGAAAATTCGAATTTTTTTGCTTTGTTAACAGCAAGCCGTGAATCGGCATTCGCACACGCCTTGGCCTCGGCAGGAGTGACTCACGCCATTTCGAGAGCCTGCAGGGACGGCCAATTGACCTCCTGCGGCTGCTCCAGAACCACCAGGCCCAAAAACCTCAAGAAGGAGTGGGTTTGGGGCGGATGCGGCGATAACCTAGAGTACGGTTATAAGTAAGTCTGTTATGGGTTATTTATACGTAACCTAATCTACCTATACATTTAATACAATTTATTTCTTTTCTAATATGCTTAATATTTATACAGGGTGTCTTATAAGTTGATACTTTTTTTAACTGCGTATAGATCCTTTAATTCTCAGCAACTTTTTCAAGTAACTTTTTTAATATTACTTATGAGACTTATACTTATGAGACACTCTGTAGTGTGTGCAATTAAGACTCGGTTAAAGAATGCATTTTGCTCGGCAAAAAATTAATAAATAATAAAATATATATTATTTTCAAGAGCATTTTAATATACAATGTGCGTCTTTCCTAATCATCTACTTATACTTTTTTATTAATCAACCTATCTTGTAATTTTGTAATTTAACAATCTTTTCTAGTAATTTCTAATTTATGTTTTACAAGACAAGTATCTACCTAATTTATTTTACGCCCAATTACTTTAGTAACAATGGAAACAAATCATGGTAATTCTATTAATAAATAGCGAGAGAAAGATTCTCGCATATATTTCCGATTAGACGCGGACGAAGCGCCCTCTGTAATAACCGTCACGTTCACCCCGGATCCATACATCATGTCTTAACCGAAACGAATTGTTAAAATCCTAACTGTATATACAACGCCCGCTTAAACGCCCCTGTATTATAACGTGCCAGTGGCGCGCCCCAATTTTTTCTCTTTCTTTTCGTGCTTTTTATTTGAAGAAAATTTCTATTAATTTCCATCAATTTCTATTAGGAATAGATCACCGAATTCTTGTCAATGTGGTTTATAACCATCAGGTTAAACTTCCTCTTAACATATACATATCTAAATATTTTGCAAAAATAACAGACGCTACATAAATGTAATGCTCGATCTAACGTCACCATGAAATCCTCGATACAAAATTTACATTTTCCTCTAAAGTGGGGTAGAGTGGGGTAAGTTAGTGTAGGGTAGTGTACGAAGGGGACGGTAGAGTAAAGTTGTAAAGGTATTTTTTGGGTACTGTCCGATTAGTTTTTGAATATTTTTCGACATGTTTTTGGCAGGTTTACGCAAAGTTTCGTCGACGTGCGAGAGAGGGAGAGGAAATTCAAAAGGGGCACCCGAGAGCAGGGCAGGGTACTCATGAATTTGCACAACAACGAAGCCGGACGAAGGGTGAGTTTGTTATTTATTCATTTTTCTTCTCGAATCCACAAATACTTCGATATACTACATTTTCATAGAAAAATAACCAACCTCGGTTTTGGAAGTTATACCTACTAAGTTATGCTTAAATGTTCCTGGCTGTCTTTTGTCACTATCTTAAATTTTAAACAAAATGGCCGTATGTAATAAATACTCTTCGTAATACTTCATTTAAGACATAAAAACAAAATGGCAGTCTTTACTATTGGTAAAATGTCACTTAGGTAACAAAATGGCCGCCTTTACTCTTCTTAAACTGTCACTTAACAAAACGGCCCACGCCGACGCTTCTTCTTCTTCGCTCTTCTGAAACTGTTATTTAATAAATATAAACAAAGTGGTAGTAATATAAATTAATTCATTTATAGGTACTAATCCTGTATGAAAATTATATCAGTTTAAATAAATATACCTTTTCACAATAAACTCAATTATTCCCAATGACATTTCCTGAGGCGATAATAAATCCCTTTGAGAAAATAAACGAGATATAATACTTTTATTTACAACACCGAGTCCGCATAGGCTAATTAATAGATAACAGGCCGCTTTTAACGGATTACACTCGCCATATAACCGTTAATAATTCCTCCATCGCTTTGAATAAATCCGACAAAGAATGTCGCTCCTGTTTCGCGACTTTTATTATTTTTTCCTGTTCGAATCACGGGCGTATGAAAAAAATCTTAAGCTCTTTGCCGAGTTCGTTTAACCGAGAGAAATGCGCGAAGACGGGATGAAATAAAATTTTATCGCTCAAGACAAGACGACCAGTCAGGTCTAGTATAAGTAGATGAATTTTTTTATTATTATATCCAATTGGATTATAATTGCAGTTGGTCAGATAATTACTTTGCCAGTCGGTCAGTTATTACATTTTGAAAAAATCCTGTAAAGATGTAGAAATTTTTTTTTATTGTGCTACATTGGTCCTGAAATTTTCCAGCACCAGTTTCTGTATGCCCTCTCATGGAAGGTTGCCTGATGCCATTATATTCGAAAAATAAGGCTTATTTTGCTTACATCATATTAATTTCTATGCATTTTTTAGGCATTAATAAAAAAATCGAAAGTAACCTGTAAATGTCACGGCGTTTCGGGCTCCTGTTCCCTCATCACCTGCTGGCAGCAACTGGCCAGTTTCAGAGAAGTTGGTAAGTGTTATTCCATAATCATATCAGCAGTCTCGTTTTTTTATATATTTTCGCATTAACAAGACACGTATATAAACGTCGGATTTTCAAGGGAATTCAATTATCGTAAATTATATTTTTTAAATCGTCGTTTATCGGAATTGGATTTTATACGTACCAGTCTTTGATAAAAGTGGAGTTCTCGGTACGTTGTACGCACTTATAAGTAGATATAGTTATCGATTGGTTCTGAGTTCTGAACCTGTGCACTTACTTATTTTTTTGTTGCCTTGCCAATTAGAGAATATGTCTGGTATTCGTAAATAAAATTGGCATAACTACACGGTGTATTTTTAAAATTGTGTGGTTTTTGATGCTTTTGTGATTGCGATTATATTTTGTATTCAATACGCCTCTAATCATGTATGGGTTACAATGTTGGGTAAAAATTGTAAATAAAAGTGTAAATAAGACCCTGTACATCCCCTATAGACATCTTTATTAACTTTTCTTTTTTTATAACATTTCGTGCAACTTTCTAGAGGGTTCCATTTCTACTAAATGAACAATCTTTCAATTTTTGCAAGATCATCCAATCATATATTCAATCATAATATTATTCAATTTCTTCCAATTTTGCCATTTCCTTCAGTTATTCCATTTCTATCAATTGTTCCATGATGTTCACTCTTTCAAAATTTCTATTTATTCTATACCTACATTAATTCCCATTCACCTTTTCTTTGACTTCATCATTCTCGTGTCGTTTCCGGTCCGAGCAATGTTTGAATTGCGTTTCCGAGTTAATGACTAGAAAATCGGTCGATTCCACGAATTTCACGCAGTCGAAAATAAATTACCCGAAAGCGGTCCTTTTGACTCTTTAATTTATCCTCCGAGTCTCTGTCCCTAATTATGTCGTAAAATTAACTATTTATTATTTTACGGCTGGTAAAAGCTTTTTAACGCAACGACGACGATATAATAATAAAACCGGTGGAGGTGATAAAAGTATTAGACTTTGTTGTTATGAAATGTTAACTATTTATCCGGAAATTATAACAGTAAAATTTCATCTAAAATTCGATGTTTATGATTTGATTAAGAAGCAGTGTTGCCAATGTTCTACTCTTATTACTTCTCTTGTTCCTTCACTTATTCCTTCTGTGATTCCTTCTCTGGTTCCTTCTCTTGTTCATTCTCTTGCTCCTTCTCTTGCTCCTTCTCTTGTTCCTTCTCTTATTCCTTCTCTTGTTCCTTCTCTTATTCCTTCCCTTATTCCTTCATGTTTTTTCTTTGAATATTTTGAAGTTTTTCGATAAACCAAGCATTTTCATTAACATTTCTTGTTTGTGCTCCTACGCCATTTATCCACGATTACATTTGTAAATTTAAAAGAAAACTTTAATTAACGAGCTAAAGATAACTTAGCGATGAATCATGAATTTTTACCATTCAACTGCTTAGCATTGAATGGACGAAGAATTTTTTCGATCTCGAACGAATCCGATGGGGGCGTGAACGGATGAATAAATTTTATACATTACAATAACTAATGTTGGGATAATTATCTTAATTATTTCCTTCTCCTTATTTTTATTTGAAATTTGTAACTGTCTAGAACCATTTAGAACGCTATAGAATCATTTACAACTGTCCAGAATCAATTAGACTGCTCCAGATGGAGCACATTTGGAACGAATTCTAGAACCATTTAAAATTTGTCAATATCCATCCTACATATATTTTTTCTTCCAGGCGATTACTTAAGGGACAAATACGATGGGGCGACGGAAGTGAGAGTGAACAGAAGAGGGCGATTGCAATTACTGGATCCCAGAGTGACCATTCCTACCGCCTATGACTTGGTGTATTTGGAGGATTCGCCCAATTACTGCGTCAAGGACGAGGCTACAGGGTCCTTGGGCACCCAAGGACGGGTTTGTAATAGAACATCGCCCGATATCGACGGTAATAATGTTAATACAATGGATTGAAAATAAGTTCCTTTTATACATTTCCCTTATCCAGAAAAGCAGCCAGAAAATTGGAATATTACCCAAAATTCCTAATCTTCATTTTAATATCTCTGGGACGATTTTTGACAGTCTGAGACAAGCCAACTTGATATGGCAACAAAAAAAACCTCTATAAACCACTCTCACATAATCATCACTCACTTAAGCAAACTGTATTAGCTTTAAACTGATTGTTTGAACTCGAAATTTGCAAAAATTTGATTCCTCTTTTTTTCTGAACAGGTTGTAACCTGTTGTGTTGCGGTAGAGGCTACAACACGCTGAAGACCGTCATCAAGGAGAGATGTCAGTGCAAATTCAAGTGGTGTTGTCAGGTGGAATGCAAGACGTGCTCGCGCACGTTGGACGTGCACACGTGCAAATGAGCGCGCGCATGCGCCCGACGACGTATAACGCTGGCCACCTAGATGTCTCACCCCGAACTCTCGCTCCTTTGCTATCCATACGAGTGGAGGGTGTGCTAGAAAAGGAACGTGAATGTCTGGCGAGACATCATTCTACTATCAATTGCTGGATAATCCAGTGACGCGTTTTGTAAAGAAAATAACGAAGATTTTTCGAATTTGGTATTTTTAGTGAGACTGTTTTTGAAACGTTTGGTATTATTTTTTTTGTACAGTAATAAATATTAATAGTTGATAGGCATTATTTTGTACAAGTTTGTAGCGTTAAGATTGTGTATTGAAAAATTTTTATTTATTTATTATAAATGCTCATAATATATTTGTTTAACACTGTATTAACACCTTCATTATTGCATCCTTTTATTTGTTTCGAAGATTGATTGATACTACAACTATTGATTTTGTACAGGGTGTTCCAGTCAACAGTAGAACATTTAAAATAGCATAATAAAATGTAACTTTAAAGGCCTTTATCCCAAAATTGGGGACTCGAATAAACAAAATTTATGGTTACTTTTCAAAGAAATACCCTGTGTAATTAAATGTTAATAATTTTCCTTCGAAATAATTAACAAAATCCAATTTAGAGACTTAGATTTGAAATGGGAAACCAAAAAGACCACATGGGTCGTTTTGCAACCCTTTTTATATAAAATTTGATATTCGGTTTTGGGTTACTAATAAGGGTGGGTCTCGTCTTTTATTCGGGATTATACCGGTGAAGAATTATTATTATCGTATTATACGCAACAAAAAACTTGGAAATGGTTCGTTTCGTTTGGGGTGAATAAATAATGGCAATTTTGTAATGTACAATTTGGCAAGGGATGATTTTTAATAGGATTTTTTAATGCATTTTTCTCGGGTAATTAAAGGTCTTTATGTAAGTTTTTTAAGGGAATTTTTGTAAGGGAATTTTAAACGATAGTAATAGAATACTTTGTATTAGTTAAGGGTAGGTAATATGTACAAATTAAAGTTATACCCTTATTTTGATGTGCTAACGAATTATTGACATCTATTTTCTGGACACCTTGTATACTATTTCAGTTTCAAATGATTCTGGAGCGTTCTAAATTGATGCAATTAATCAGTTCTATAATTGTAAGAAATCGTTATTTAAATATTAATGATATAAAATTAATGACGATTATAATTTTGTTGATAGCAAAAGCATTTTTTTGAAAAATTAACATTCGTTTCGTTGTGCCTACATAATTATTATTTTATCTCGTTTCATTAACACTTATGCTCCAATTGTATTTAAATTTAAGTATAATAAAGTTAATTACTCTTACTTATAAATTCAATAAAATTACAAAGATTTCGCAAAAAAAACTAAACAAATTGATATCTTTTGTCGAAGATTTTTGCCTATTAAACACAATTAAAGATTTTAAAAGTTTCGAGTGTTAGCAGAAGATTGAGTGGTACTCGAACGTAATGAATTCAGGATTAAAACGAAGTGAAGTGAAACGCAAAGATAATTTAAAAAATTCGTCCAAAGTGTGAAGTCCAAGGTGTCAAGATCAACTAAATAAAACTGAATATATATAACAAATCGATTTATTTTATTAACACGTCAAGTACCTACTACAACACTTTATTGGTTTTTGGAAATGGTACCATTGATCCAATCGACGAAATTGGCGACGTTCGTGTACACATTCGGCGCCCCTTTAATGTTGCAAGGATCGAAATACCACGTGACTATACCAATAACGACTCCATCTTGCGACAAAGGTCCGCCGGCATCTCCATCGCAATTATTGGCTTCTTCGTTCAACGTGCACAAATTGCTCTTCTCGTCCAGAGGATCTCCATCGGAGACGATCGCGTCGATGGCGCTTTTGCATTCTGGATAGAAACAAACATGAAAGATAACCAATAACAGTGTTTAAAGACAGTTAGATAATCAAGAACAGTTAGATAACCAAAGACAGTTAAATAACCAGGATCTAGCCAGCTGCTCGAGCTCGATTTGTTGATAAAACAGTACGCTCTGCCGCATAGACCAGAAGCTCTAAGACCCTTTTACTTTCTATGCAAAGACAGTTAAATAACCAAGGCCTCGCCAGCTGCTCGAGCTCGATTTGTTCGCTGTATACAACAGTGTGCTCTGCTGCATAGACCCGCAGCTCTAAGACCCTTTGACTTTCTACGCAAAGGCAGTTAAATGACCATCAAGGTTATGCCCAACCTCTTCTAGCCAACAATTCAAGTAAGAATAACTTAGTTCTTCATTCCCAAATCAATATAACTTACTTTCGAACGTGGTGATGTTCAAGTCCGAGACGTATTGGAGTTTGTTGAATTCCGGCAATAAAGAGTACCCGTAACCCGACAATGTGGCTGTACCGTTGAAAGTTTGTCCCTGTTGGGGCAATTTAGCTACATTTACTGTATCGTTGAAGGTGAGAGGTTCCGCCAGTTTGAGTAAACCGATGTCGTTCGGTGAAATTCTGTAACGAGTAAATGAGTATACCTATTATTGCATCGCTCTTGCATCAAAGCTAGTAGTGAGAATGTAGAGTTTACCCGGTGTCCTCATCGAATCCCTCGTGTGCGAATGTTTTCTCAACGTCCACCAACGTTCTGTTATCGTGCAAATTGGTTTGACCAACCACAACTTTTTGGGCGTCACCTATGCAAGCTGCCGATGTGAGTATCCAGTTTTTGTCGATTATGACGCCGCCGCAGGCGTGCTCGCAGAAACCCAGTATGCAGAACTGGATGGAAACCTGGAAGGGAAACTGGCCTTCTGCGGCGTCGGTACCGCCTTCCATGCGATAGTTTCGGATGGTACCACCTGTTAGGATGTGTAAAATTATAATCTAGTAGTTAATGTTGTTGGAATATTCGATTATTTACCGGTGCAAAAACCGATGGCGACGATGATAAAGGCGATCTTGGCGATGAACATTTTTGTAAATCTACTACTGGATTGTACCTCTTTGAAGGATTTTATATACTTTTTTATGTTTATCTTTAAATCGATCGATTCTTTTATCAGATACAATTATGAATAAATATCTACGTACAAAGCGTTAAAATTTATCCGGTTTAATGTATGCACGTCTACAAATTAATTTTGAAAGAGATAGCTCTGCTCTTGTCGTAGATAATTTCGAAGGACCAATGATTATACACTTACTACATTGAACTTTTAATTTAAGAACAAAAATTATATGATAAAAAAACCGTAGCCTCTTTTAATGGCTGCCGAAAATGCCACAACGTTGCCACACTTATAGAAAATAGGATAAATATTCATTGAAACGTCCAGTCACTCCTATTATCCTTTATAAGGATCCCAACAAAAGGGTCCCAATATCCAACACTCTGGATAATTTTAAAGCTAATTCCGTGCACTAATACCTATACAAGTTTAAAAATCCAAATTATATTATAGAAACCTTCATAATTCTTATTTATTGCATATAACACAAAAGTATTTTAATTTGTACATCATATTGTAGGTAAATTCATGTAATTTTCACCGCATCAAATAGGAGATTGTCAGCAATAATAGCGCGAATAAATACATATTCGCCTTAGATTTAATGTAATTGCTGCCAGAATCCTTCATGGGGCTGTATTTGATCAGAATAGGTCTATCGTTTAGATTTTGAAGTTCCCTGAAATTCTCGGTCAATTGCACGTGGTGGCTGGTGCGGATCATTCGAAACCCGTCAACCTATAAATTACTATTATTAATGATACCGCGATATTTTTGGTATAGTTTAGAGCGTGACCCGTCAAAATATCCCAAGGCAAAATAGCCTGAGATAAAACAGCACCGGTAAAAGTAAATGCTTATCTACTTATTAGATTTCCAGAGTTTCTAGAACACATTCTGTTCTATTTTATAATGGTATTTCTAATTTATTAATGCAATACTATAATAATCCGTTTAATTTTAATCCCGATGCCTGATATATATAATAACGACTGATTGTCCTATAAAAGTACCTCAACAAATTCAAGATAATTCTTCTACCGAATGTTTTTTTCTCCCAAGCTATTTTTGGGTTATTTTGACTGGGTACCCATCTTACAGTTTACCTGCGATTTGGAAATAGGCAAGGTGTGCATAAAAACGGTCCAAATGATACCTTCGTCGCATCCTGGCGTCGTCAACGAACCATTATATCTGTAAAAACCGGATTTATCCATCGGCATGAAGTCCGCCATTACGAAATCATTTAATTCCTTTTCATGGTTTACATTTTCATAAATATCTCTAACAGCTTCTATCACAGGCTCGAATGCTTCCACGTCGTCGGGGGATAGCTGTGAATTAAAAGCGTCAAGCTCGATTTCAAAACGTCCATCTAGCTGGCTTTAATTTATTTTTTAACATATACAGGGTGACGCGTTAGTATATGGAAAAGCTGTTACTAACGTGCCACCCGGTGTATTCTTACGTAAAATAAAACTGCGAAGACTGCCAAACCTCCTTCTTCGGTATGCTTGGAGGCTTTTTCGTACGATTCGAATCTAGCTGCATAATGCACCATGTGCATTTCCAACGGGAACCTGCAAAATGTTCAATAGATATTTTACTATATTCGATGGACGCTCATTAATTAATCGGAGTCTCGCTCGCTGCGCAAGCTCGACTTCCCCCGTCGCTATCATGCCCTATAGAAACTTTTTCTAGACCGACGCTAATCTAAATGAATATGGGGGATAGGCAACCCATTTTGAAGCACTCACGAATAGTGGTGGATTTAATAAGGGTTGTTATAAATTATATTTACCTACCTTTCGCCATCCATAGTATGTTCCGAATGCCAATGAAAATGTAGATGGTCTAGAATGTAATTATCCGGCATGCCGCCTTTGTGGATTTCTTGCTTATCTTTGCTGTTTTTCGGTTTAATTTTCACTATAAAATAGAAAATATTTTATGTAAAAAACGTATCATAATCTCGCTGTGAATTTACCTGAATGTCCATTATTTTGTACAATCACGGGAATTTGTGTTTTGTAACCGTACGTTCTGAAAGGGGTGAAACTTGATTCTTCAGCTACCGAAGTAGATAAAGCTATGGGGCTTTGATGGGGACCTTCTATGCAGATTCTGGGATACCATTGATCTGAAAAGAAAAGGTGAGCTTCATTCGAGCCAATGCCCCTTCTAAGATTCGTCGTTTAAATCTATTGTTCCCTAACTAAATATAGAGTAGTTTAAAATCTAAAAATACATTTTTGATAGTCGCACTTGCTTGTATCGTTTTTTTCGCATTTAGAAATGTTTATTTTTGTATTTTCGCACTTCTAACAATTATTTATTTTCGTTTCGTTTTCTTAAATACACCGATTTTCGTCGAGTGTAAACCACTCGTTATCGATAAATCAATCAAATTTCAGGTGTTGCTTTTGCTTTCTTCTTTAATTAAGTTTTTTTTTACTGCAAATTGCCAAAATAATTAGATAAACAATTCTAATTCCGGACGGTTCGTGAATCATTTCGCGATATTTTGGCAGTTTCGCGAAGACCGAAATATATGCAGGTAAGTGCAAATTTGTACGCAATATATGGTCATAATGAGTGCAACAAAGATAACGTCGATTGGACTCATTTAAAGGAAAAAGATAGAGTGATATTATGGGGAGATTGCAACTATCTCACACTAACCACCGTTATTTCTATAATCATTCTTTGTTCAACTCGTAGAATTGACCATTTTGCATACAAATGTGTACTTATCTGTATAATAATTTTTAAAGAAAGTCGTTTTTTTTTAAATTAAAAAAATCTTACTTAAAAATCTACTCACCTTGATGTTCGTACGTCCATTCCGACGCGGTGGCTCCCACTAAACCTGCAAAAAAACATTATATAATTATCACAGTAATCTCCTTCTTATCGAGAATTAATATATTCTTCATTCTTCGCGTACGAAACATTATCAAATAAACTATCTAACAAAAGACTTATTTAAATCCCACTAACCTACAACAATGCTCTCTATAACTAACACATAAAGCACCAATAACATTCTCGACCGGCGATTAAAATCGCTCTGTATACGAGTAGATAAAACGTATCGTCATTTTAGGCCTCTCTCGAACGATTTAATCGAGAAAAATTATCGTATCCTACGAGGGGAGAATCGCCAATTGTAATTGTAATTTGTCCTTTAGTGATCCTTATACATTACCTATTCACAAATTTATAAATAAACTGTATAGTTATAGCTGTAGGTGCTTTTTAAAATGGTTTGCAAATGAGCTAATTTAATGAAATTTTTTTTGCTAATTACTTAAATATTTAAGCAAATTAGTAGGTACTTATACAGGGCGTTTATTATACAGGGTCACAGGGAATTATTGTGAAAAGCTATCTTTGATTATACGATATTTTTATCATAATTTTTTGTTTTTTTAAGAATGCACATAATGCACATAATGCAGTAATGGAAATTGGAATTGCAATTTTAAAAATCATAGTTTTATATTTACTGCAATGAATATACATAGAATATACTAGCAAGACATTATCAGGATAATTAGAACTTAAAAGGACATTTATTGATTGTAAAAGTAACGTAATTATGGCTTTTTTGAGAAATATCTAATAATTATTAAAAACATTTTTTTTTTCGAAACAGCATAAAATATACATCGATAACTCCGACTGATAAAATTAATGAGACTGATTATGTTTATCTAAGTGCGTGGTAGTTATTTTACAAACATTTTGTATATTATTAAACCGAAGGTTCTTACCTTGAATAAAAATTCAATCCTTATAGTACCTACAATAAAATTCTTTCCTCGGATTCGTAAAGAGAATTTTTCACAAACTAATACTCAATTTAAAAAAATATAATCTTTGTTTTGAATTTTATTGTAGTTAGAGGTAAAAAATTAACAACAAACAAGAAACAGTAAAAATTTATCAGTAAAATTTCAATACCGAATCAACCAATTAAACATCCTTATCGGGGCAATTATACAATTATTGTTAAATGCTTCCTTAAATTACAATTAGCCAAATGCCGATGCGATTCTACGGGTACCTTCAAATTAAAAAGCTCCTGGACGAATTAGAACTGTTCAGAATGATTTAGAACTGTCTAGAACAATTTAGATTGATCCAGGATGAATAAGAATTGTTGAGAACCATTTAGAACTGCCCAGAATGACTTGGAACGCCTCCGAACGAATTATAACTGTTTAGAATAATTTAGAATCATCCAGAATAATTTGGATCTTTTAGAAAGAATAAAAATTGTCGAGAACTTTGTAAACTATAGTTACTCAATTAAAAAGAGTAGTAATAAAAATTAGGTATCGTTTATAGCATTACAATTATTGCCCAAATGTCAAAGCGATTCCACTAAAAAATTCTTCTAAATTCTACAAAAAAATCTTCTAGATTCTACTAAAAATATATTCTAAATTCTTCTGGATTCTACAAAAAAATTCTTCTATAGATTCTACAAAAAATAAGTCTTCTAAATTCTTCTAAAGAAATCTTCTAGATTCTATTATAATATTCCCTAGATTGTACTAAAAAAATCTTTTAGATTCTCCTAAAAAAATCTTTTAGATTCTACTAAAAAAGTCTTCTAGATTCAACTAAAAAAATCTTCTAGATTCAAATAAAAAAATTGAACAAATTAAAACTGACCTGTCCGTGTGAATCCCGCGATAAGAACGCACGTTATAAATAACATCTCGGATTGGTCCGAATTGCACATGCAAAATAGCACTGTATAACTAAAAGCGTATCGTCGAAAACGATCCTTTAAATCCTTCTATTCAAATCGGTCTCGATCTGCGATGAGTATATTTTGGCAAATCGCCCCTTAAATTCGAGCAAACCAAAAAAATCGCGTCCGATTCGAAATAAAATCGAGACGCCTACTCGGAACAAATTGCTATTGATTAATTACACGAATCGGCATAGAGGCGAATAAGATGAATTGCACGAATTGCATTTAGATTAAAATTAAATTAAAAGATTAAAATTAGTATCTACCTTCGATTCAATTAGTTATCTAACTCCTCTTGAGTATTGCTTATTTAGTTTTCTGTAGATAACTTAACCGAGGTACCTTACAGTGTTTCAATATACAGGGTGTCCCGCAGAAGGGGCCCAAAATGTATTGTTGCATTCTAATTGCAGTTCATCTGCACAACTCGGGTATAATTGAAAATATCTTGTTTAATAAGAGACTGTTTCCGCTTTGTATCGATACCAGGAAACGGTTTTAATAAAGATACTACGCTATAATAAAATTGTTGTTCTATACAGAATTATTATTAAACTTTTTTTTTCGAGATATTCGTTGAGTCAATGACGCTATTAAAGCCTTTTGATTTGGATAATATTCGCGGGAGTTGCATTTTCTCGAGATGTTTGCATTAGTTATCATCGTCAGTTATTAGTTTTGATTCGAATAATACATTGATAAGATAACGAAATATTCGTTAACCCGTCATCAAAATAGCCTTTCTGGTACAACTTGAGTCGGTACCTACCTTTTTTTAGTTTAAAAAGTTCTAACTATTTAGATTTTCGTTTTTTTAAGTCTTTTTCAATATGATAAAGAACTCCACAAAACAGGAAACGACAAGATGGAACCACTGGAAAGACTAGATCGTGGGTACTTGTAATCCTTAATAGCCATTATCAAAATAAACAAATAAAACCAATAAATTAGTTTTTATACTTCACAAACGTTTAATTTCAATTAATCTCTATTAAGCATTTCTAATTGTTTCTTTTTAATCTTCAAATCCAAGTGGAAAATCAATCGTTGGGCTCTCGCCTCGAATTGGGCGTTTTTTAATTTTTGAAAAAAATATCTTCGTTTAATTTCCTCGCTTGTTACGTGATAATTGTTTTTCCTGCGGGTTCTGTTAGGAACAGAAGTGGGTTCGAGTTCCAGTACCGGCTCGGGCTCAGGCCTGCTACTGTTAACTGAAAAGAAGTTAATAAATTGTTATTTAAGAATTTTGCTCTGCTCTGCTCTGCTCTGCTCTGCTCTGCTCTGCTCTGCTCTGCTCTGCTCTGCTCTGCTCTGCTCTGCTCTGCTCTGCTCTGCTCTGCTCTGCTCTGCTCTGCTCTGCTCTGCTCTGCTCTGCTCTGCTCTGCTCTGCTCTGCTCTGCTCTGCTCTGCTCTGCTCTGCTCTGCTCTGCTCTGCTCTGCTCTGCTCTGCTCTGCTCTGCTCTGCTCTGCTCTGCTCTGCTCTGCTCTGCTCTGCTCTGCTCTGCTCTGCTCTGCTCTGCTCTGCTCTGCTCTGCTCTGCTCTGCTCTGCTCTGCTCTGCTCTGCTCTGCTCTGCTCTGCTCTGCTCTGCTCTGCTCTGCTCTGCTCTGCTCTGCTCTGCTCTGCTCTGCTCTGCTCTGCTCTGCTCTGCTCTGCTCTGCTCGTAGGAATTGATAAAATAAATAAACAATGATCAATTTACCGTTGTGATACTGGCTTGATGAGTCACAAAGATTCGTATCTGGAGTCATTTCATCGACTAAATTTGCCAGTATTTCTTGATTTGTCCCGGTAATTTCATCGCATTCCTGTTTGATACCTTCTGTTGCGTAACCTTCACTCTTAAAATAAATACAAATTGAATTGATATTAAAGACACATCGATATATTTATAGTCCATTCACTGAACTTACGCGGGATTCGTATATTACAAATTTATTGCGAATTTTGAATGCATTGAGCACAATTTACCGGAATTCTGGTATAGAAACTGACCATTTAGGTTAAATTTTTTAAACTCAAACCCGCGTAATTTGTCTATATTGTCTATAATATTATCGGGAGTCTAATACCTTTTCCATTGTTGATTCGATCTCAACATCAAAAATCTCCGTCTTAACTTCATCGTCCGAAATATCCGCTTCCATTTTAATTATTTTTTCACGTATTCTTTTCTGTAACGTTATTATAAAAATAGTGGGTGTTCGTAAAAATAGATGGAGATATTTTATAGACGGTGATTCCTCGGTAAAAATATATAAAAAATCATCCTGAAAACTATAAAAACTTTTTTTCATATTTTCTTAACAAGGAAACCCTCTAAAATATCTTGGTCTATTTTACGAACACCCTGTATAGCAAAAGTCATCATTATAAAAAAGAAGTAAGGTACACTGGGGCAAATGTAAAAATGGGGTAAATGTAAAATTTTTAACTATTATGTTATAGTTTTTATTATTTTTATAGTTCTTTTGTGCATTAGACAGGGTTTGTTTCTTATTTTTTCTTTATTATTTTGTAGCTGTTATTTTTTGAAATAAATAAATAAACAGCATATCAAATTTTAGAGGAACCAAATATGTATTTAGAATTGCCCCATATGTTTTTCTATATAATTGTATTGCACTTTAGAACCGTTTGTTACATTTACCCCATGGTACGGGGGTAAATGTAACATATTGTCAACATTTTAAAAAATATGTAAAATCATTTTCTTCCTTTTTCAAAAAAACTTTTTAATACCTCGATTCTTTAGCTTAAGAAGTTGTGAATTTAATGTGGTATCAGCATTTTTAATAAAAGAAAAAATAAAGCCACATTTTAGGATTTAATTTGAACTATTCAAATTTTACAACCGATTTGCTCCAGTCTACCTTATCCCGTTTAATTTACATTTTGTTCCTTCCTGACTTTCCTCTTCATGTTCTCGTACAATGTTTTTAATTGTTTCACCGAACGCGCAGTTTCGGCCATTCTGTTGAAATTGTTCTTCACGTCTTCCCACGCTTCCGCCTTTCGTTTTATCATCACGGCGCTCGAGATCTTGCTCGTGATGAGCGGTTTTTTTCTTTTTTAATGGATATACGAGTAGAAAATAGTATATTAGGAAAAGATGATATAAGAGATTTGCTAGTTTAAAGGTATATCAATATGTAGAGATTTTAATCTTATAGGTAAATTGGGAGCGGAGAATGTATACATGTAGGTTCTGCTCTGCTCTACTCTCTGCTCTGTTCTGCTCCCTGCTCTGTTCTCAGCTCTGTTCTGCTCCCTGCTCTGTTCTGCTCTCTGCTCTGTTCTGCTCTCTTCTATGTTCTGCTCCCTTCTGTTCTGCTCTCTGCTCTGTTCTGCTCTGCTCTGGTGGGGAATTCCGGTAAAGGGTTCAGGGTAAAGTAGAGCCCAAAAAGGGATTATTAATTTGGTGAAGAATTCGAGTACAACGCCCAATTTACTTATATTTTAGCGCCCAATTTACTGCTTTAATATTTTAGTGCTGCTAAAAAGTAAAAATTTGTACGCAGTATGATCTTAATAAATGCAACAAAGACAACTTTTACATAAAAACAACTTTTATCAGACAACTTTCTCATAAAAAAGAAAAGGAAAGAGTGATATTGTGGGGGTGCAACTCTCTCACTCTAAACCACTGTTGTTTGAATAATCTTTCTTTGTTCAACTCACAGAATTGACCATATTGCAAACTAATTTGAAAAATTTGAAACTAAAAACTTTATATTTATAGTTCATTAATTTTATTATTGCACTTACGATTTAATAAGTGCAAGAAGCACATTCCGTTCCTTCGTGGTAAAGTTTTTTGTTTTGTGTCTTTTCTCCATTTTTACAATGACGAAAAAGCTGAAAATTATACAAAATGAAGCTAAAAATAAAAATGAAAAACGATAAAACAACGAGGAAAATTTACGAGAAAACGTAAAAAATATAAAACTAACCTCACTTTTCTCTTGTTGACGCTCTCTTTGACATATCTACCTGTTAAAACGTTGCCATGTTTACGCACCGGTTTTGTAACCAATCGGTTATTTCGACCTCTGAATACCGATTCGAATTTAACACTCGGTAATATATAACCGGTTAGTTATAGTAACTATTCGTTATATCAAAACTTGTCAATACAGGCGTTACGTGGATAAAATGTATTTTTTCGATTACTAATCTTGGCTGAATAGCTACAATAATACTGTCACCAAAACCCCCTATAAAAAAGAAGAATACTTAAACATGATTATTATAGGTTAGATAATCAAATTTTCGATCAAATAGTTTGAATTGTAACAAGAATATGTAGTACGGTACCAATCAAAATGACTTTAGATGATTTTTCAATAAAAAACGGCCTCCAACCAAGGTATATAACACAATTTATAACCTTAATTATCAATATAACAATACTAATTTCAGGCCTTCTTCAAGCAACGGTTTATGGCTATTATTTCTTCTACCTACGGCTATAATAACATCCGCTTTTAAATATTCAATAGCCATATCACAAGCTTATAAAATATCATCGATTCTCTCTATTAACATGACGATAATATCCATTTCTATTATATACTACAAACATTATAATCGGAAGATTCGATTATCGAATGTATGGAACATTCTAGCTGCCATAATCACCGGGATTCTATTTCGCGTTTGCCTAAGAAAAAGTACGAATATATCCTATTATACAGGGTGTCCCATATGAGAACTGGCGGAGGAGTACAGGGATTACAAAATATGTTGTTTTAACCTAACTTAACGTAATACAAAGTTGCATTCCTGAGAAGTTAAAGGCCTTTAAAGTGGGACACCCTGTATTGGTTTTATATATATTTGAATTAGCTAATCGAGTGTGTGTTTCAGGTTTGGTGTTTTGCTCTTTCGCGAGCGGGTTTTCTACTTTTACTTACGTGGTTTTCTACAAATTCGTACTGAAGAAATTCAAAGAATGCTTCACGTTAGGAGAGGCCGGAGTCGTTAGTCAGGCTTCAGCTCTACTGGTGTTCTTTACCATATCTAATGTTTTGAATTATGGCCTGTCAGGCTCTCCGTTTAAAAGTAACATGCAAATTTCTACGTTGATAATCGAGGTACAAGATGCTATTATACTCTACACTCTACTCTACACTCAACCCTCTACACTCAACCCTCTACACTCAACCCTCTACACTCAACTCTACACTCTACTGTACTTACACTCTACTCTACATTCTACTTTACACGTTATTCCACATTCTACACACTACACTTTATTCTACACTTCATTCTACACTCTATTCTGCATTTTACACACTCTACTCTGCTTTTTTAGACACTCTACTCTGCACTCTTACACACTACTCTGCACTCTTACACACTACTCTGCTCTCTACTCTACACACAATGGAACTAATTAAAATATTACCAATTGATGTTTTTGTTTTTCAGCTGGGACTCGCAGGAGTGGGATTAATAGCATTCACGTGTTATTATTTCAAAATAACGAACGCTCGATCGTTCTATTGCGTATCGATTATCCAGATTTTTACCGTGATAATTGGTCCTTTGCACGTTTTATTGGAAACCAGTCCTGTATTGTGGATCATTAATCAGATGTTCAACGATCGATCGACGGTTCGTACGTTTTTGTTCTAACAATTTCGATTGATGGGTAATAATGGTGAATTTTTTTTGGTTTTAGATAAAATTGATTTTATACTGGGTGTTTTGTACTTCCATAGCGGTTCTGGCGGTGTCGAATCAGATATTTTACGCTAGGAAAGCGTCGACTGGCCATAGAAAAATTTTCCATTTTCTGGCCGTTATCGTTTACGTTCCGGGTTTGATTTACAGATGTTCCTTTTTGTATCTGGCCAGCGGCGTCGTTTTGGGGATCATATTGGCTCTAGAGGTACATAAAAATAAGTGATTAATTCTACGAGTTGAACAAAAGGAAGTTATTCGAATAACAGCGGTTACAGCGAGAAAGACAGTTTTAGAAAATCCTTAGATTCCGTAAATTCTACAAACCTTCGGCAACACCGCCTATACTCTCGCATTGTAAAGCTAGGGCATTGTAAAGCTGGCAACATTGCTTGCTATGGTCAGTCAAATTCAAAGCGATGTTGCCAGCTTTACAATGCACTAGCTTTCAAAGCTCTGGCCATCAAAATGGGTGGTAGGGCGCGTTAAACAGCATAAAATATTAAAAGGATTAAAATATACCTATCGCATTAAACGTTGCAGATCATAAGAAATTTGCGTATACCGCCTTTGGGCGTCCATCTTCAGGACGGTTTCGTCGTATTCAGCGACGAAAAAGATCGTGAACAATTAGCAGTGACGCCGATTTATTTATTAACCGGTTGTTCTCTGCCTATGTGGATTCATCCTCACCCGTGCGATCTCACCGATTCCGCTACGTTCGATTTATTGCCGCTTCTGAGCGGTCTGATGAGCATAGGTGTGGGCGATACGATGGCTAGTATCGTCGGATCGAATTTCGGGAGATTTAAATGGCCCGGTATGTGTTAATTACTTTTTTTTTTGATATTTTTCAACGATTTCATTTTTATGAAAATCCGTTTATCCGTTTAAAAGTTATTAACATTTATTTGTTCAAATATTGCAACATCCCCCACCACTTTATTTTAAAAGAGAGTCAAAAATATATAACAAAAACGAATCGCAATTATCTCTACTATCTAAATAATGTATATTTTGATACCTTTATTAAGGAAAATTTTAAAAAATAACTTAAAAATCAAGATGGCGGATACTCCCCCTAGCGACCATTTTAGAAACTTACAAATTATGTCCTGCATTTTCTTTTGGGCAGTTTAGTCATAAGATTATTTACCGGAAGTCTTTACGACGATTAGTTTGCGAGATAGGGCCAAGTGCCATCCTTATTTGGCCACCCTGTACACGGAATTTTGAGACACCCTGTATACATGTGACTTTGAAATCTGTTTTCAGGTTCTAAGAAAACTATCGAGGGAACATTGGCTTGTGTCTTTTCACAAATAGGACTGGTGTATTTGTTACTTTATTTTAGTAAGTTTAACTAGTAGATAGAGATAAAATGAAAGTTAATAATTAATTGATGATTAATTTATTTAAATTTGTAGATTTAATTCAATCCCTATCGACTTACGATAGTGTTAAATTATTTGCGGCAATTGGGATTACGTCTTTGATCGAAGCGAAAACTTCCCAAGTGGATAATTTGGTTTTGCCTCTTGTTATGTACATTATATTGATAATGTAATATATATGTTGAATAAAAATATAATTTGGTAAATATTTATAATTTTCAAAAATTATGAACAACAATAAAATTAAATAAACTTAAATAAACATAGAAAAATTAGATGCATTCAAAATGATATTTAAACCACTGATAAATTTTTTTAAAGCGAAACTCCGGTTGAAAATTTGATTCGCCCTCGTACGAAAATAAATTATTTCTTGTTATTCGAAACAACCGAATGCCGCTACTCCAAATATTAAATTCAAATCGAAGAATAACAAAGAACGTTTTCGAAATCGATTAAATAACAAACGCCGAAAACCCCGTCATCACCCGAACAGTTCGGGATTTTCATCAGATCACTCGAAAAGGATTTTAGTTCGCTGACAGCTGACAGGAAAATTTATAATTTCCATTAAAATGGAAAATCATCTTGTAGAGTTGGCTCCTCAGGGATCATCTCGTCTCCGGCGTTTATCGATTATTAGAATAAGGTAGATAATAATTTCGTCCTGAAGTTATATATTTGTAAATATTTTAAAGTCCTGACAAAAAGTTTGTACGTTTTAAAATGACAAACGACGTCATTTTTAGTAATTTCCACGCAGCTCAAAATGTTCCTAGTGCCAATGTTATTTCTGTTATTTGCCAGGGGAATTTTACGATGCAAGGTTTTTGTCTTTTTCCGAAGCGTTCTTAATGATTCTGGACAGTTCTGAATGTTTCTGGATCGTTCTAAATGGTTCAAAATGATTCAAGAGCTCTATAGATCTGTTATTGAAAACGTAACTAAGCATATTTAAAATCAAAATGAACAGAAATATTTTTAACGGCTTTTGTAACCCCCTTATTTTCTAAAACTAGGCTTCATTAAACAATTCAAATTGATTTTAAATTCTAGCAAAAATTCCTATTGATCAGAAATATTCAATGTTTTTTTCAGGAATAAAAAGGTCACTCTCCACTTAGACCTTTTTTTTCAAATTTATTATTAAGCATTTGCCGACAGCAGCTTTTCAATAAAACCCGTTTCAACGGGAAGGATACTCTCTAAAGGGTAAATGATTAACGATCATCGATTCAAACAGAACTTTCCTGGTCCCCTGTATAGGTTTTCATTCGAAAAAACATGAGATATAAAACTCTTCGGAAATTATTTTATTTATTGGGTATAATAAAATTTCTAAATAGTCCTGAAAGCGCTCCAAATAGTTCTGGATTTGCCTCGGCTATCCTGGACCGTTTTGAATAGTCCTGCATACGTTCTAAATGATTTTGGACAGTTCTAAACGGATCTAAAAGCGTTTTATACTGTTTCAAATGGAACTAGGCAGTTCTAAAATGAATCTAAAATATTCTTGACAATACTAAATCGTCTTTAAAACAGTTCTAAAACTGTCCTGAATTATTTGAAAATACGAGCAAGTAAATACACTCTTATTCTTGCACTCGTTTTATCCTTACGACCCTTATTTATTCATCTATAAATTAAATGAACTAATAAAATTGGCAAATTGTTATAATTCCTTTTACTTAAGTTCAAACATTAGCGTTACTAACAATACAGTACTGACAAGGCGATTAAGTCCTTCTTAAATCCTCCTAAGAGGTTCTAGCGGATTTACATTTCTTCCTTTTGACTTTCTTGTTTCTCTTTAGCTCGTCTCCTTGCCCTCGGATTTTCGCAGTTTGCTTTTTCTCCGTTTCGGCATTAGCAGGAATTTTCTTGCTGCGACACAAACCCGCCGTAGAAGTACTTTCGTCCTTTTGCAGCTGCTCGTACATCGATTCTTTCTCTAAATAAACATTAGTACACGAATTATCGATTGTTCATTATGGTATTTTCTTTGTACACTGTTCGAGAACGGGTAGAGCAATTTTTGTAAAATCGAGACAATGGTACAAATTTACGAACTTGGGGTTTAACACCCTATATTAATTATATGAATGCAGTACGTACCTCGCGTGTAGGATGGTAAATTAAAATCTAAATCTTTGAAGGGATTTTCGAAGCAATATGTCCCGTTTTTCTGGTTGATCCTCAAACCCCTTCTGCGTCTTTGTCGGAGAAATCGATTCGTACGTTTTCCGATGGACTCCATTTCACGAAAAACATTTAAACTTTTACCTCAAGTTAACTGAAATTTTGCGCTTTAAAAATCCAAAAAGTGAAAAAAATGATGTCTTTTACTTGCAAGATATCATTGTCTGAATTAACCGTCAAGGGTTGCTTAGGAACTGTAGGGGATTTTAGGTAGAAAAGTAAATACAGGTTGTACCGGAAAAAGTACAGAAAACGATTGTTCAATTACTTTATTAACACAATCGTTAGAGTTAACACAATCCTTTGTTGTTCACAAAATTTTAGTGTTAACACAAATCCTCAATCTTCTTAGTGTTCACGTAGAACTTTACAATGTTCTTTGGGCTCCAACGATTAGTTTACAACAGGCAAAAACCGGGTCCGTTGGGCGGTTGCGCACCCACTCCTCTCCTGTTCATTCTGCACGTGTGCTCTTCGAGCCTCCTTCTCAGCTCATCTTCCTCCACCTTATCATCATCGACGAAAGACCAAAGTCTTTCGGCTGTAGCCGAGGCTCTGGGCCAAATTCTGGATATCACGTTATTGGCATCGACCACTTCCGCCCACATGCAAGCCTCGCCTAAAAAAAAATTACAAAATATAATATACAGGGCGAGTTGTAACTTATAACGTTTAACGTACCTCCTACGACCATTGAACGTAATTTAGGATCGTTTGAGAAGGTGTTGGGCTCGCATTCGTAGAAACTGAACCAATCTCCTCCGCTTTCCAGATGGTCCAGATACCAGCAGGAGGAGAGTATGGCGTGATGACCACTGCTTGTCGCCTTAAGATTCCAGTTAAATTAGATTTCTATCGTCAATTCTATCTGATGATTGTCTCCTTAACAAAGGAAATGAATCAAGATGCTATGAGCATACAGTGTAAGTGTGAGAAACTAGGGATGACGAGATGCCAGAATTCTGTTGTGGACCTATCAGATGTATGGATATGTTACAAGTCATAAAAAGTGCCATGAAAACAATGTTGCATCGGACAATGGCAATTTTTAACATCGATATTAGTGAATGTATACATAAAAATGCTTATGCAAACTTAGATATAATACATTTTCTTACATGTAACATCGTGTCTCGCCAATCGTCTTTCCAAACGTGTACGATGGTGGCGTTCGGTATGATGACACCGTTATTGAACACTTCTTCCCACACTATGGATTTGTAGTTCAATTTGTCCACCAAATTGATGACTTTTTGAATGTAATAACTCTCCAAGGCCTCGTAGTTGTCCGTTATGTTGAGTGTTTTCATGAAATCGTTGATTTCTGAACTACTTTGCCTGAAAAAAATTTTAAATTGTCGTTGACTATATCAGTGTTAATCCTAGTTGCATTTTTTTATTAATTTTGGCAAAATTCATTATTCTTGTAATGAATATAGACAAGAGCAAATGTGTTTGCAATATTGTCAAATCTACGAGTTGAACAGAAACTAATTATTAAAGTAAGAGTGGATCTATCTGTACGAAGCATGGAACATGAACCCCTAGAACTTGGTGAAGAATATATCTTCACCAATACACCAGGCGAATCAATACCTTAGCTATTATCTGCCAGGAATTTCCTGGTTGTATTTACCAACATTCGAATCCGACCTCGTCGCCCCCCAGGTGGATGTAATCGTCGGCGAAGACTCCTTTAACCTCCCCGAAGAGTTTCTCGATGAACTCGAAGGTTCCGTTCCTGGCGGGATTCATCGGACCCAATTTGAGCGCGTAAGCTCCTTCGCAGGCGGTCAACAACTCTGGATGAGAGACGCCCCAAGACCTGGTGTGTCCTAAAAAACGATTATTCCTATTACAGTCGTTTTGTACGAAACACCCTGTATATCTTGAATGTTAATCACCCACCAGGCGAATCGAATTCCGGTATTACTCTAACACCCCTGACTCTGGCGTATTCGATGATATCTTTGATTTGATCGGGTTTGTAAGTGTAGACTGGTGCATATGCTGCGCTTGCGCTGAAAAATTTCGAATTATAAACGGACTCATTTTCTCATTGGACTCACCTCAGTTCGGGGAAAACTTCGCTGACGTAGGGGAAGCTCTGATCGTCTACGATGTGCCAATGGAAAACGTTGAGCTTATTTTGCGCCATTGCATCGATGGTTAGTTGGATTTTTTCCAACGGGATGAAATGCCTGGATGTGTCCAGTAGAAGGCCTCTGTACGAGTACCTCGGCGAATCTTCGATTATCGTTCGATTGATTCTCAGCTGGAAATAAAATGATTTATATAGTCGATGTTTTCAACAGATTCTTTAATATTCTTCAAGAACTCTTGGATTAAGATTGAGTATTGGATAAAAAAGTGTTTGGTTGGTTATATCAAAAGTATGGATAGGTGTTCGTAGAGGTACTTACAGATAGATTATCGTCTGCTAAATAAATGCTTTGATAGAAGGATTCCAGTCCTCTGATTACTCCCCATACTGAATCGGAGCTCAATACGTTTCTCTTGGCTCCTATTTGGATTGAATCTGAAATTTCCACAACAGTGTTAAATATTGCATTAAGAGAACTTTATCATTATCATAAACTTACAATTTTCCGACGAATCTTCCGTGGGAAAGTCCTTGGTGCCGCAAGGTCCGTTCAAGGTCACATCCAGTACATTGATATTGCCTTTGAAGTTTTCGTTCGTCAACCAAGTTTTCTTGCGACCCTGTAGGTCCAGGGTTTTCCTCATTTTCTTAACGATTAGGTGCGTCGAGGAAATTATATCTTTGTATCTCTCTATAGCATCTTCCAGCAACTTGCATTTTCCTGAAGAAGTCGTTAACTACGTACGAATGAAAGATCATAGAGTTTAGGGAAAGGACCAATTAATAAAATTTCAAAATATTCTTACCTTAAATTCAAAATTGGACGGTTTCAAAACGAAGAATTCGTCGCTTTTCGTTTGATTTTTCGGCTGCGGCCAAATTTCCCCTTTAGTGGCCGGATAACGCGGCCCCGGGTCGATTATATAACAATTTGCTAGCGTTATATACAAACAAATAGTCGCTAAATTAATAGGAAAATTCATTGTTTGTTCTTTAATAATTATCGATTTCCACGAGATACTGGATAATACTGAAATAAAATAGACATAATTATTGTTTTTAATAGGTAGATGTTTGAGAATTTGAGATGAAAGATTAGGTTATCGAATGGAGTTTTTAAAACAGATACATTAATCAATAACAATGAATAATTAGATCTGTGACGTAAATACCTCTTGTGATCAATGTAATGATAAGATAATGTCAGATTCTGTTAAAGATTCAACTTCATAATAAATTAAGATCCACATTCGCGATTAATTGTTTATTAAACGAAGAACTGTTCAATAACATTTGTTAAACACACTAAATGATAGAACCACGACGAATATACTGTTGTTATTGTTGTATAAACAGTAGATAATTGAGCGAATAAATAAATTTTAATTGCGCGCGCAGTCGCAGTGGAGAGGAAAACGAGCATGTAAAAACTCCGGATCTCATTAATACCAAGAATTAATAGTATTAATTGTACTGCAAATTTTAACAAAAATTTTACGAATTTTAAATGTTCGTAAAATGCGACTAAAGAAAATAAAAATTCCCCGTTTTAACTAATTAATATTGAATGAGTTATTTAAATGGAACAAACGGTGTATTATTTAAATAACTATCAAGTAGCTACTTTTTATTAAATGTAAACAATTTTGCTAAGCAGAGTGCGAGAAATACGTTACATATTACTTTTAGTCTATAGTTTAATTAATTATATGTCCCATTAGAATGGTCTGTATCTTAATTTATATCTACCTATTTAAATAAAAATTCGAATACCTTCGAATGCCTGCACGAAATCTATTAAGAAATTTTGAATCTTTTATCAATTTATTCAATTTTACAACTTCATATTTTAAACATGTAAAAAGTATCGAATGAATGTATCGCGTGTAGAGAGAGATTTTATTTCTGTATAATTATTTATGACTGACGTACGGCAGCTATCTTCAAAAAAAGTCCCCTATAATCGCTTATTTAGTTATATAAAATGCGCTGATAATATTCATTTTCTTCGGGATTTTTGTCCTATCGGAATAATTATTTATAGCGTATAGGCGTTCGAAAACTAGTTGAATATTATTTTACCAATAATAAATTAATTAGCGCCCATTTTTTAATACAATTTTTCGTTCGATACTTCAATAATAATAATTCATTCATGAATTAGAATAAATATAATAAGTATCTTTCATATATTTAATATCTTTCATCTTTTTGATATAATTGTATTAAATAATACCGAATGGTTATTGTTATTATATTAATATTAGGAACAGAAAATGGTTTAATGATTTTCCATTTATTTTACCTAATGCTTATGCCTAAATTAACCGAGAAATACGACGTGGGATTCGTTCTTTTAATTAATTAACATTGAACTTTGCTTTAGTTTAGTCGCATTGAAGAAATGATGATAAATAAAATGAAAAATATTGTATTTGGCGATTTGAAAACATATGACGGTAAGTAAGTTATAAATACACCCACTATCTATTTTTCTATGTCAATAAACTATAAGATATTCAAAATTTGATATGGGGGGCCCCTAAACCTGATAATAAGTTTACATATTACTTAAATACTTAAGTGTATAGGTATAAACAAACATTGTTTTTTTGAGCTTTTTTTTATAAGCTTTATAAGCTTAAGAATTGGCGATGTGTTCAAAATTCCGCTCTACAAAGACAAGCTTTGACTAAAATTTGTAGTTTTTGTGACTTTCCCAGCGATTTTTGTCTTTCTCTAAAGCGTTCTAGATGGTTCTGGAGCATTCTAAATGATTCTAGACAGTTCTAAACTATTTCTTGAGCGTTCTAAATGTTTCTACATATTTCCTTGAGGGATATAACTAGGTAGGAATATATTAAAATTTATTATCGGTTACTTTCCAGACGATCCATTTTACTGGATGGCCGACTACGGAACCTTATTAACCCGCACACTGCGACATAAAACGATTACCAGAATAATATTTTGGTGTTATAACGTTGCCATATTTTTCCTATTGACTTGCATTTATTTGTCAAAGGAATCCGGCAAAATGTTTACGGAAAATCTAGTGATGATAACATTGTTCGTTATGGTAATTATTTAATTGTGTTTTAGTGATATACAGGGTGTTAAATAATTGAGTGCCGATACTTCAGGATGTGAATATTTTTGTATGATTTTAAGAAGAAACCTCTTAGTTTTCGAGCTGAGGGTGTTGGAGTTTTAGAAAAAAAACTTTTTTATGATAATTTTCTAATTACCCCAGATATTTTTATGAAATTTTGTACAACACTTTTAATTATTAAGTAGCATTTTCTGAGGCAAAATATTTTTTTTATTTTATGCCAGTTTGAAGAATAAATGGTACGCCGCTGCTTTTTCTAAGAACCAAAATTATTTTTAAAATCCTCATTTATTTTGGAGTAAATTTGGTCAGAAGACGAAAGTAAGTCTGGTACGACGCACCATTTTTGCGTAAAAAAATAAAAAACAATATAATTTTTTTCTAAGTCCATTTTGTTGAAATTTGTTAGGCGACCACCATGCATAGAAACACTTTTTTTGGGGGGGCAAAAATTAATTTTCTACTATTACCAGTGACGTTCAATTCCGAAATTTCATAAAAAAATCTGGAGTATTAAGAAAATTACAATAGGAAAGTTATTTTTTTCTAAAATTGTAAGGCCTTTTAGCTCGAAAACTAAGAGGTTTAGAACACATATCGATATACACTTTTCTTTATAAAATCATCCAAATATTCATCCTGCGTATCGGCACTCAATTAATTAACACCCTGTATAGTGTATAGTGTACTTTCAGTTATCGTTGGCTTACGGTAGTCTCATGAGAAAATTTCGCATGGTCAACAAAATGTTTCAAACCATAATAAAATTGATAACCGGGAACAAGAGAAAACCGAGTAAATCCTTCAGAGACGAGATGATGGTTAATAGCAAAATATGGAAATATGTGTTTTTTATCATTCAATTTATTCTAGCGACTATTATAAACTATTTTCTCATACGTACTCAGTCCAGGAAAGAAACCGCTGGTTTTAAAGTCATAAGGGCGCTTTCATTAAATCGATCGTATTTATTTTACTGTTGTAAAATGGCATTTTTTTACGTCATTCCCATTCACAGTACGATTTATTTCCCTTCGACCGTTTACACCATCATGTATTGTTCTCGGCACATCAAGTATTTGCTCAAACATATCGTAGAAGAAATGGAAAACTTTCAAAATAACGACAAAATTGCTATAACAGATGGCTTGAATTCCGAAGAATATCAACGTATTGTAAAAAATGAACTTATTTATTACATAAAGCAATACAATTCGATAAAAAGGTAAGTGATAATCTTCTAATCTTAATAATCCATTATGGTAAAGCAGAAGAGAGGAGAGTCAAGCAGAAGAGAGTAGAGTAGAATTTAATTCAATTAAAATAATATCGTATTGATCATACATATAATATTTATTTCAGCGCTACAAAATATATAAATAATTGCATGAAATGGCGATTTTTGGCTTTATTCACGGCAGCAGGAACGTTTGTTGCTAGCTGTTTCATTTTCATATTAGTAAGTATCAGAACCAATTCGAAGAACAGAAACAGTTCGAATTGTTTCAGAAAGTAGACCTCATGATTCAATTGTATCAAATCGGTTACGCTTCTATCATACTGAGCTGCACTGTATTCTCGGCCGAGAACGGAGAACAAATTGAACTGGAGGTAAATAATCAATAATAAAATGTGTGTATCACGAGAAATCTACATAGACCGTTTTAGTGCGAATCCATTTATAAACTAGCCCAACAATTCAATTGGTACAAATGGAACAAGAGCAATTGCCAGATGCTGATTATGCTGTTAATCGAAACCAGGGAGCCCATAGAGTTTAAATGTTATGGTATAGTCACTTTGAATAGGGGAATGTTGCTTGCTGTAAGTATACAAGTTTTTTTGCAAATTTCGTAATTTTTAAATTTTAGTTACACCAAAGGGTTTATTCGTTCATATCCATTTTTGGAACACGATAATAAAATATTGTAGAATCTACATGTTACAACAATTAACAACGATGATGAAGACAAAATGCTCACATACAGTAGATACTTAGCTTAAGTTTATTTCATTATTATTAATAATATGATACAATTATTAATATTATTGACAATGGTAGGTAATAAAGAAAACAGTCTTTTCACTCTTATTCAACGCGATAGATCTCTAGATATAGTCAAATGGAAAAGTACTTATGATAGAATAAAACACTTTATGTTTTCTTCAATTTCTGCTGTATCTCCTCCAAGCTCTTCCCCTTGGTCTCCGGTACGATATAGTACGAAAACAGCGCACCCACAATTTGACACAATGCAAAAAAGAAAAAGGGAACAAACATTCCGAAGCTATCGGCGGTCAATTGGAAGAACTTGGTCGTAGACATCATGAACAAAGCGAACAGAATGTTCATCAAACACGTCGCCTTCGCCTTGATGCTCGACGAAAACATCTCGCTGGTCATCAAATTCACCACGTTACCCTGACCGATGGCGAAGGAAATGGTGAAAAACACCACGCAAGCCAACGGAAGGAAATTCACTCGAGCCAAATTCATCCGCACCACTTCCTGCAGCGTGAAATAGAGCCCCAACGTAGCCAAATTGCACGCGCAACCGATACACGATATCACCAACAGCGGTTTCCTACCAATTTTATCCACGATCAATACTGCTGTGAAATTAACGCTCAACTGCAGCCCGAATATCAAAATCGACGCCAAATCCTTCGCCATGACGTCCGTCGATTTGGCGAAGATGATCTGCATGTACAACGATATGGCCGTCGTGCCGCTCAGCTGCTGGAACACCCGCAAACCGAACATGATCAGGCACGCCATGCGGTTGCTCTGGATCCTGTACAGGTCCTTGTAACTCCCCGGCTCGGACATCTGTCTGTTGACGTCGCCGACGAGGCGCTCCAGCTCCTGACGTACGTCGTCGCGGCGCCTCAACGCGCGCAGACTGCTCTCTGCCTCCTGGAGGTTCGACTTCATGATGAGGTAGTAGGGGCTCTCCGGCATCCGGGAAAAGAGACAGGCGAAGGTGACGGGAAGGATGATGAAGAGCAGGGCGGCGGTGTGGATGGTGACGTACGAGCCGATGATGTTGACGATGAAGACGCCGAGGATGAAGACGAGGGAGAAGAGAGAGCCGAGGACGCCGCGTACGTTCGGTTCTGACACCTATAGAATTAGCAGAATCTTTAGTAGTATTAATAACAATTCGAGTGTCTTTAAAGGATTATCACGTTGTGATGATTTACCTCTCCGATATACACTGGTAGGATGGTGAAACAAGCGGCTTCGGCTAATCCTCCGATAAATCTGGCTACGTATAATAGATATTTAGAGAGAAAGGAAAAATATACCAAACCCATCGAGGTGATCTGTGGAATGGCGATCAGTAAAATCGTTTTCTTCCTTCCTATATGATCTATAAGTGAAGGATACAAAATGCTTCCGAAGATATCGCCAAAAGGACCTGCGAGAAAGGAAACTTGTTAAGGTGATTTTCAGATTCGTATAAGTACTTCTAAAAGTTCTAATGAACTGCTACTGTATATCCTGTTTATAATTGCTGTATCTAAAGGACCGGTTGCACATATCCAAAAATTGTGTATGAAATATAAAAATGTTTAAATTGGCATTAGTGAAATTATAGCAGGTACTACCTATTATTGTAATGTAAGACGCCTCCGAGGAAGTAATGTTGAATTTGTATTCGCTTGAGAGAATTTTTGGAACACTTGGGCTGGGCCAGCCGAAATGGATGCCCGCGTTTACCATTGCTATTAGAGCTGGAAAATGTTAAAGTAATTATTGTATTAGTAAGGAAGAATAAATAGATTAAAAAAATCGAATAAATACTGTACTATTGAAGTTAGAGGGTATCGCAAAAAGGTCAGGAAATAGCTTTATTCAAAAGAACGTTAGTAAATCTTGGAAAGAGATTTTTTGATATTGGGCCACAATGGCTTAATTCTTTTTCGTGAAAATTACTGTGTTAAATGTTAATTTCCTTTGAGTGTAATGCAAAGTATTAGTCGAAAAGGTAATTTAAATGCATAAACTGACCTGTCATAACAGCGGCGTATTGTGGCCATGTTTTGTTCGAATCTAGCATTGTAATAAGTTTTCGTTAATACAAAAAAATTAATTAGTCTCGTCAAGTTACCGTGTCGTTATTTTGTCGAATTTTCTTTTTATACATACGTTATTAACAAAGAATAATTTATTTATTTATCCATCCGAAAGTACATAAGATAACGAACTTGATAGCGAAATTGGTAATGTTTGCGAAATCTTTGAAAAACCCATTATTTTGCCATATAAAGGAATATTTTTATTTTTTACAAACATTAACATACAGTTTGTAGTAAATTAATATCTATTTATTACTGTGGAGTATTGATTAATTCATTTCGAAATAAATACTTTTTTTAACTGACGATTTTGAACCTGTAATTTTAATAAAGGTGTAAATACAACGTACAATGATGCCTGTTATGTGTTTGTACAATTTGTAAATTAACCAACCTTAAATGTGTAAACAGAAATTCTTAAATACAAAATTAAATAAGAGGATTAAATTATTTAAACGCAAAATGAAAAAAACGTTTATTATTCATTCGTTTTAAATAAATCTTCATTGGTTGCCTTCGGGTATGTACATAAACATATTTAGGAAATATAAGGAATATTAGATATATGTTTTAGATCCATTTATTTATACAAAACTTTTATATTGTATTATTTCTTATGTAATTTACATACGAGTAGTTATAGATTATATACGTATAGTACCAACCACGAAGCAGTACCTATCAACAATCATCTGCAGTAAGTACACCAAAAATTGAAGAAAATACCAAACGCGTAAACCGACCTTTATTCGAGCTTTTAATACACCAGTACCAAGCGCGAGATCCATCTAAATCTAACCCAAAGTACCGAGCCTACGCAGAGGAACCAACCGGCACCCATCGAGCCCCTTAAGCGGCGCGCTGTCTCCGATGAAGATTCCGCATGCGCCGCACCTGTGCCTCGCTACCTTGGCGTACGTGAGGCAGGCGGGCAACCAGCAGAGGCAACAAATCGCCAGCAACGTGCCCAGCAACAGGGCTTCATCGGTAGGGATGAAATCGACGCGGGTGGAGACGGCGTTGCGACAGTTCGGACAGGTGAGGCGCGAAGGGAGCCATCCCACTTCGTACATTTTGAAGATGAAGATGGAGAAGTATGATGGATAGCTGGAAAATGCGGGGATAATTATCTGTTGCTGATGATTCTGTTTGATGTGAAGATTTGATTAAGAAGAGGTTAATAGCAAAAGAGTAAAAGTGCAGCAGATGTCCTGATGAGTATATGTGATATGAAGATTAGATGGAGACAATTTTTGTAGACTATGGAGACTACTTTACTTCTACTTGTCCGTTTTGCCAAATTCATTTTAAAACTACGCCATAAATTTTTCTACTTACCAAGTACACTCGTCACTTCGTAAATTTCTCAACGAAAATGGTAATTGTAATTAAAATAACGATGTAAAAACGCGAAACGCTTTTAGCTTGCATTAGTATCATTTTAATTCACCGATAAAACTTTTATGTATCGACCTTTCTTTATTTTAATTTCCTTACCAGCCAATAGTCATAAAATATAAATAGTTGATAATGGAGGAGACATAAGGACAATGCGAGGTATGCAAAAATGTCGTAACAATGAAACTTTATTTTAAATATTTCGATTAATACGTACAAGTAATAAATAGCGAATTTTTTACAATTATTTTTACAAAAAGAGATCTTGTTCTATTTATCCCTGGATATCCCAATTTAATCTAAATAGACGAATATTTAGAGAAATAGTTTTATTTTATATCTTTAATTTACATATGGGTATTGTCCCACTAATTGCCCCCTTAAAAAAATTAAAATGGGTTATCCAACATTCCTATCAAAGTAAGTAATCAAATTCGAATCGTTTTTATTTTTCTTTATCGATAATTTAATTATTTAATACTAATTTGGCGACTTGGTGATAAGGATTGTATAAAGGGTGGGTTTTTTTAATATCTAGTTCGAAAATCTCGGCAATGTTAACAAATAAAAAAGTTTAAATTGACAAATATTTGCAGTTTTATAAGTTGCCAAATAATGTTTGGGAAAAACTGATTTTTTACTAATTTTGAACTAAATTATTTTCATAAAACATTATATAACATTAGAAACTTAATGAAATGTTCTAATAAAATAAAAATTGAGCATAGGTACCTTCATAACAGTTTTCCAAAATAAATAATTGCGTAACTGCAAATTTTTGTGAATATAAATTGTTTTCTGTTTGCTACAGTTTTTGAGATCCCCATAAAAATAAATAAATTCTTACTCGTTACTTTTACTCTCAATAGTAAACTTACCCTGTATTTATTATACAATATAATATCTACCTGTTATAATGTATCAATAATGTTACAATGTATCTCAATAATTTGTAAACGCCGTTTATTGGCATTTAATTGCATGCAAATGGATTAAATTTTCTGTTTAAATATTAGAAAAAAAATCACTAAATTTCCAATAATAACCCAATCACTAGCGAGATAGAATGTTAATATTTTATAATAAAGGAAATAATTATTTAAAGTTTATTTTTTATGAAAAACAATGTCAACGTCAAGAACTCTGATATTTTTTTAACTTTATAAAAAACCGAAAAATAAATATTATTTAAAGCATAATTCAACTTCTGGAATTGTTTTTCAATTAAAAAATAGACTTTATAACAAACTTCTAACTAGTTAACTTTTTAAACTTGAAAAACCTAAATAAGTATATTATTATTGTCATTAAAGAATATGATATAAATAACATTATAGAAGTAACAACGTAATAAATTTATCAACTAATTTATAAAAACCATGTTAAAGTAAAATCAGTCTTACAATAAAATACTTTGTCAATTTTACTTACACAAACTTTTATACAACAATTTTATTACATAACTTCATAATGGAGATGTTTATTTACAAAAATTTACAAATACTATTCCTAACATCGTAACTTCCGGAGCTTCTTTAATTTACAACGATATACAAGGTATTCCAACAAAAACAAATCGGGAACTTGGAAATAAATTGCTGTTTTCATATTTTATTTCTTTAATTTTTATACGAATATACGTAGTTTGAAAATTGCTTCCTGATACCTTTAAATTTGAATGATGCAAGTAATTAAAACAACAAATAGATATTTCTGCTTTTTGAAGCACCTTGTATAAAATGAAAAAGAATAGCCGCACAATAAAACTCTTTGTTGTAAAACACTTTCTAATTTTAGAGTAACCTCTATGTAAATTTAATCATCCAGCATTACAATTACAATCTCTTTGCATTTTAACCATAAAGAATCTTTCAATTAAGTAATTGCTGCTCTACCAGCGACACATTCGGCTTTTCTTTTCCATTTACCCTCATAAACCTTCAAATTAATTTCAAACTTGAGCGACCTTTCGCCTTAAACTGGAAGGCCTGACCACGTGAAACGCATCATCCACCGACCTTTGATCATTCGATTGCTATAAAAAACCCTTCGAATTTCTCTTCGATTCATCGGAATCCACCGCATTGGGCCCGTTGCAATTGCTTCCGCTGCGATTCAACGGATCTTCGAACGGAAGCAGCTTGTCCGTCGAAGACGGCGTCGTTTGGGTACTGCTGTCTTTCGTCCGAGGTTCCTTATAGAAGACATCTGCAGGAGAACCGAAACAGAAGGAAAATAAGAGATAGTCCAGGACAAAACAGTTTCGCCAAAGTAGCCTAAAGACAAAATCATGAGGCCTTCTTCGAGGGACTGCGCTCCAAGGATGCATAAGCAGCGGGAATGGTACAATGGACCAGCCAGAGGCCTCAGTACCAGAACATTGGCTTGAGCTATCTTGGTCAAGGTTCGCCTGTGCTCTTAGCCGTAGTAACAGTTGATTTTATAAGCAGTTTTGGAAAAAATAGTGATAAGTATCTTGACACTTGGATAATTCTTGTTATATTGTCTGGAGCGATTTTGTCTTTGGTTCTATTATTTTGTCAACACCTCTACTCGTGTGTGTAAAGCTGATTTACTCTCTACCAGGAACGTATCGTATAAGTTTTAGTAACTTACCATCGACGACGTTTTCGATGGGAGAAACGTGCTTTTGGACGTTCTGCTTTTGATCGCAGGTGGCCGCGGTTACCATGACAGCCGCCATCATACTTCCGGATCCGGTGTTCGTGGAGCTTTTGTTGATGGCGCTGTATCTCATCGGCATCATGCTCTGTCTGATGTTCCTTTCGGGCCGTATCAGGATAATGTACAGCTGAAACATTAACATTTATTAGATTTATTAGGAGAGTAGGAGAGTAGACCAGGGGAGTTTGGAGACTAAAGTTTACAAACTATAGAGACTAGTGAGAGTAGAGTACAATGGAGCAGTGGAATTCCTGTTTGGATTAACAAACAAACAAGTAGACAGTAGAGAATAACTTACTTTTGGAGAAAATAGACAAGCAACTGTCACGCTGGCTGACAAACTAATCGTCACAGACATGCTGGTTATTCTTAAAGCGACGTGATTGGCGGTACCGAAATATAACGGTACGAATGCTAACCATATAACGCACGTTGTATACATCGTAAAACCTATAAAAAAATAATTAAAAAATTTTAGTAAAATCAGGACGAAATTAACAATACCAACAAGAATTTTTTAATATCGTTCAAGCAATGTGCCGCAATTTTTTATATGTTTTCGACTCAAACGATGTCACTACCAGTTAATTTGGAACTAACGTATATATACACACATTCTTCTTACCAATATGTTTCGATTCGTTGAAAGCCTCGGGAATCTTCCTCGTCAGGACGGCGTACACAGTGCAAACGACGATCAGGAAGATGGGATAAGTGAAGGCGATCATGTAGGAAGCATCGACGTAAGACGAGCAAACCAGCAAGTTGTCCTCTCTAGTTGGATAGTGATGTATCGCTTTCGGTGGTGATATCAACATCCAGATTCCGTTGATAAGAACCTACGAGGAAATTCAATTTATAATATCGCTTTACGCTTCATTTACGACCGATGGCTTTCTGGTAAAGCGGTTTTGCTCGGGCTCAAGGAGACGAGTAGCGTTGGAAAAAATTAACAAACCAATAAAGAAGATTGGAAAAATGAATTCAAAGATTTTATATCGAAAAACCTGTTTACTGAGAAAATTCCAAATACAATATCCATCTGTCCCATTTATGTCGCGAGTTACTTCTAATAGGAAATCGTCGTGACGTGCTCCCTAGTTTCTATATATAAGATTTTTTAGTTATTTATTTATTTATTCACCTGTACTCCCACCAATCCGAAGCATATGACGAGCTGGGATCGGGGCGAAATGAAATTCGGTCGTTTGGCGGAATGCTTGCTGGCGTTGAAAATTCTAGATATGCGATTGGTCTTGGTCAAAAGTGCTGCGTACACGACGGTGAAACAAAATCCGGCGCTGAATCTGGAATTAGGAAATCGCCATAACGACGGGAATTGGGAAATAAAAATAATATTGTACATCAAAATGGTGGTTGATTAATTTTTAGATTTTTACAACAGTTGGTAGGTATTTGAACTTCAATTTTCCGAGGTCTGTTAAATCGCAATATAAGAAGTTTAATTATTTTACGTTTATTTTACGAGATTCTGTCTGGATACGGCGAGTTTTTACGAGAACATTTCGAACAATAAATTACAATATAAAAGTTGTTTTATTTCATTCTCCCCCTAAACCCAAAAAAAAACTTGTTATTTTAGAAGTTTAGATCACGGTCTTACACAGAGGTCTGGAAACTGATCCGAGTGTGTGGTGGTGGCTGTCTCCCCATCCAAATAAGTTCTGGGGTGGTCCATTCAAAATAACAAAGAAAATATTCATTTTGCGCCGGGATTCACCCCGTTTTAAAGCGAAATTGTATATTAAGGTCCCAACTTAAAATTCAACAAATACCATTTTCCAAACCTTCCTCTCGATTGCTCCAACAACACGGAATATTCGTCGGGAAAGTTTCGCACAAGCAGAGGAAACTCATCGGGAATGAGGTTTGCCAGTTTAATGCCGTTTGGGCATATCGAGTGGGCTTGAACTGTCGTCGGGAACTGTTGCTGAAAGGATAACGCGTCGCGGTTTTAAGTTCCCGTTTTAATTAGTTTGGTTAAATGTTATTTGTTGATCGACGCGGTACGGCTACTTCTGTACCAACTCCGGAAAGTTTTAAATTACACACGTTGCGAAATTTTTAGTTTCGAGCGTAACTTTAACGAACGCCCCAGACCACTGGATTCGAAAATAATGCAGGTGCAGCGCTTCCGGAAGTTTCCAGGCCACGTTGGAAACGATTCTAAACTGAGTAAAGTACCCTTAGGAGGTAATACTAAATAGCTGGTGGGATCTTGTTTAGGTCTCTATATCTGGATATTCTTGATTATTTCTTCATCTACTTCTAAATCATAGGTACAGATCATTGAACAGAAGTTTGTGAGGAAGAAACGTATTATGAAGATAGTGAGATAAGAAGGAAAAGAAACGAAGATGACACAAATAATGGAGAAAACGGGTACCTAACAGAGGAAGAAAAGAAAAAGAAGAGGACATTATTTCCATTGATGTAATTTTATAAATATCCCCTTGTTGTTATTTCTCCTTATCTAATGTAAGACACTGTGTATACCATGTTTATAGTTTATTATTAAAGAAGTAAATAAATATGCAAACTGACTTTTTTGTGTATTTGGCACATTTTATGCATTTTTCCGATGATTTTCGCATTTAACAAGAAAACTGCATTTGTTGCATATTTTGCAATGAAAAAATAGGATAAACATGGAAATAGTGACAAAACATGGAAAAAGTAACAACATTTTTTGTTATAGTCTCGTAACAATAATGTAAATATACCAAATAACATTTAACATGTGAATTAACAATAATACAATAACATTACTCGCATGTAAAATCGGCATTTATATAAAATAGCGGTATTTACTTGAATTCGAAGCATTTGCAATTTCGATTTGTGGCAAATGTTGGTAATTTAAATGCCTGATAATTGAATTTGTATTCATCACACACGATTCCCATTGATATAATAATACGATGGTGTTTACATTAGAATCATTGCGAATTGACATTTCGATAATTCACTACGGAATATAAACAGAGGAGAATTTCGCTTTGAAGCGTCCTTTACAAGGACGAGCCGCGTATTTCGAAATTAGAACTTCCCCGCATAGTTCCCATCATTGGAATTCATAGCACTCTACATGGGCGCGGTTTCCCCAAAAATCGGCCATTGTCTTGCCTAAATGAATTACATAAGTTCGAATAAATCGAAAATACTTAGGTGAGGGAATACAATATTAAAAGAGTAAGGTGAAAAGTTCTAGGCCTGACATTAAAAGACCGCGATATTCAGTTGAAAAATTACATTATTCTCATTATGAAGTCAAAATCTTTAGTTCGAGACGGTTCTTAATGATTATGGGGCGTTCTAAATAGTTCTGGAGCGTTCCAAATGGTTTCAAACAGTTCTAAATGATTTTGGAGAGTTCTAAATGGTTACGAAGCGTTCCAAATGGTCCTAGACAGTTTAAAATGCTTCTGGAACATACTAAATGGTTCTAGACAGTTGTAAATGATTCTAGAGGGTTCTAAATAACTATGGAACGTTCTAAATGGCTCTGAAGCGTTCTAAATGAATCTGGAACATTCTAAATGGTTCTAGACGATTTTAAATGATTCTAGAAAGTTCTAAACTGTTCTAAGTTATTTTGGAGCATTCTATAGTAAATGGTTCTAAAGCTTTTTAAATTTTTTGTTTTTTACAAAAATTACGAATACCTATAAAACATATTCGAATTTTATTACCTGGATAATAGGGAGCGTTACGCCGATGATAATAATATTTGATTCGAATTCCACAACAATTAATCTCCCTAGTCAACTAAAAATGTTCATAATAATTCAAGTATGCAGCAAACGCGCAAAAACTTGCGATACATGGTTTATTGTGGGAAAATGTATGAACGTAGGTATGTTACTGAAAGTTTATTGAGTATTCCCACAATGCACGACATTATATTACAAATTATATTACACCGGGTCGGTGTAGTAGGTGTAATAGTGGTGGATAAATGGATTAAATTATGAATTTATTTATCCATAAAATGGATATAAATAATCCAACCGGGATTAGTAATATTGCACAACACAATTCAAATTGTACGAGGGATGTTTCCAAAGTTGTGGGATTTGTGGTATGAGTAATACAGGCAATGTTATTGATGACAGAACATGTTTGTGCAACTATCCAGTGCAACATTGTTCAGTCTAATTCATTTTCATTCATATTTAACACTGTTAATTTTACCTACGAGTGTCTGGAATAATTTTTAGACTCTACTAAGAGAATATTCTATCTCCACGTTATTCGAAATATTCGCCAGTAAAACATGCAGTTTACATGAAAATTAACAAAATTAGATTGGTAGGAAGGTAAAATAATTCCTGACAGAACTGAAAACTCATAACCACACGGCTTTCTAACTCATATATAATCCAGTTAAAGTAGAATTCCAACTAATACCACAAAGCGGGTAATTTAAAAACGTACATTGTGAATAATTCCATGCCTTATTAGTTACTTTTCTGTATTTTCATAGCACTTGTTATAATGCACTTAATTGTTAATTTATTTTAGCTTTGTCTGCACAAAGATATACAGGGTGAGTTTTTTTATGTTTAGTACAGGGATCTCTCGGAAATCTTACATGCCCTGTTTTAGTAATTATTTTTTTTAAAGTTCTATTTTTACTTCAGAGTAAACATACGTAGAAGAGATTTTTATTTCTATAAATAATATTATTAGATATCTATGTATTGTTGGAATAAAGTTTCTACTGGGTTTTTTATCGGTTTTATTATCTAAAAGTTATGCCTGATTTCTTATTTATAAAATTCCGACTTTGTTAATTATCCAATTTCGCAATGAAACCTTACCAATGCAATAATTCATTTTACTAATTATAAAATCTACCTTTTTGGATGAGATAATTTATAATTCGAAAGATAGTTAGAGAGTTTGTTGGAAGAAACTTGATACTTGATTAAATCAAACTTTTCTTTCGCGTTTTGTACGGAACTCGGAGTTCGTTCTTAAATAAATATTTAACGCGCATAACACAACATTACCGCAAATTCAACTTATCCAACTTTCGAATTCAAGTAGGTAAAGATATCTGGAATGTTTTTCTTATTTTCTTATTTTGTTCTATCTGCCATAGTCTGTGGTGGAGAAAATTGAGATAATTTAAAAATAACGAAAAAGCTCTTTCCAAGCTCTAGTTACAACTATTAAGTCATGTGTTTATCAGATTTCAATTTGACCCTAAAATTAGCCTATAAAAATCGACCCTTTCCGCACTTTTCTAACACACCCCGTATATATAGTATTACTACATACAGGGTGACCCAGGGTCGCGTTAAAGTCCCATAACTTTTTACCTAATTGAGATATCGACTTGATTTTTTTTTCAAAAGGTAGGTACAATAATACTGCGTATTATTAAAATAGTTTCGTCTATACACAGGGTGGCTTAGTATTAGAAATTCACTAAAGTTACCTTTTTTTTAATGGAACCCCCTGTATATTATAACATTTTTGAATTCTTTAGTGAATTTTAGTGTGACTTTATGTACCATACATTGTACCTAAAACCAATCGTTTAGTGGTAATTCGACATTTTCGAAAAAAGTAGAGGTTTGAAAAAAAATGAATATTGCCGCTTTTGTAAAACTTAGGAGGTCGTGACTCTGGGTTATTAGTAAACATGAAATGTACTACTGTGTGACATGGATTCAGAATTGAATACTGTTTGTGTTCTTAGATATCGATAAGCAAATTTACAAAATTTCAATTAAAGGTAACTTGATTTTTTTAAATGAAACTACCTACTTTTTTGTACACCATCTTGTAGGAAATTTTATTGCCTTTCTAACGATATTACATTGTCAATATTTTTACCTGCTAGTTTTCTCTTAATTCCGGAATTTCTTATAATTCGCGGTAATTTTCAATTTTCAATAGTACTGTTCAAAGTGGCTCAATATAGTAAATTAAATTAAAATAAAACAAAAATTTTATAAAAGATAGTGAGTGAGTGAGTGAGTGGGATCAATCAATCAACTACAATTTATTTGATTATAGGGAGATAATGATAATGTACAAGGAATAATGTAAAGAACAGTTTTTTTTGATAGCACAATAATTTTTCTTACAGTAGATGCTCAAAGATATTGCTATTATGTTCGATTACGTCTTCTTAAAAACTAATTTTAAAGCGCGTTAGCATGTTTTAATCAATTGATCGAAAAGCGTCTCTTATCCGGATCTTCATGTCGTTAGCTGTTGTTGGCCTGCCCGTTCCCGCGATTTGACACCAATTGATTTTTTCCTATGGGGATTTGTTAAGGACAATGTCTATAGTGTTAGGCCAACAACAGCTAACTACCGCGAATACTACTAAATTACCGCGAATTATAAGAAATTCCGGAATTAAGAGAAAACCAGCAGGTAAAAATATTGACAATATTATATCGTTAGAAAGGCAATAAAATTTCCTACAAGATGGTGTACAAAAAAGTAGGTAGTTTCATTTAAAAAAATCAAGTTACCTTTAATTGAAATTTTGTAAATTGGCGTATCGATATCTAAGAACACAAACAGTATTCAATTCTGAATCCCTGTCACACAGTAGTACATTTCATGTTTACTAATAACCCAGAGTCACGACCTCCTAAGTTTTACAAAAGCGGCAATATTCATTTTTTTTCAAACCTCTACTTTTTTCGAAAATGTCGAATTACCACTAAACGATTGGTTTTAGGTACAATGTATGGTACATAAAGTCACACTAAAATTCACTAAAGAATTCAAAAATGTTATAATATACAGGGGGTTCCATTAAAAAAAAGGTAACTTTAGTGAATTTCTAATACTAAGCCACCCTGTATATAGACGAAACTATTTTAATAATACGCAGTATTATTGTACCTACCTTTTGAAAAAAAAATCAAGTCGATATCTCAATTAGATAAAAAGTTATGGGACTTTAACGCGACCCTGGGTCACCCTGTACATTCAAATTCCTTACCTTTGAATCGCACAAACGACATCGGTCGGTTTCAACACCAACGTATACGTAACGCTGTAGCACATCAATATCCCGCTGAGCAGCACGTAGCTCAATTCGCGTCCCGACGCTCGCACGACGGGCGTCTCGTTGTGCTTCATGAACACGGAGAACACGAACGCGGTGACGAGCACGCCGGTGGAGCTGAAGGCCATGGCGCCGATGGCCCAGCCGCTGACAGGCCGCAGATATTCCTCCGGTATGTCCTCGCAGTGCTCGTGCTCCGGGTCCGGGATGGTCCCTTTGGGACATTTCACGCATTGGGTCGGATCGTCTTTGTGACGAATCTGCAATTGGAAATGTATTTGGTAAAGTCCCAGTCATATGTACACCTTGGTTCATTCCAGTGCACCAATGTGTATATTCACCAGAGGAACAACGAATGACTTTAACGATTTTAAAGAATCTGCAATTGGAAATGAAGAGCCAGGGGGAATAACGATGATAGTCCATCAAACATAAAATCGATAAATCGATAAAATTGAGTTTGAAACCATTCTACATTTAGCATAAAAACTATTCACTGAATAAAAAAGTACTAGTAGGTAGTTCTACGGTATTACTACCTGAAAAAAAATTGTAATTCCCTAAAACAAAGAAAAACAAAATATTCTAGCAAAGTTCACAAAACACTAAGAAAGAAAGTACATCTAATTTTATTTCGGTCATAACTTTGGACTGTCAACTTTGTTTCCCCTTATACTGTAACATAACAAAGCTTCGTTTTGCCTTAAATACTTTATTTTTTGTTAAATGTGGACTTTCATCGTTATTCCCCTGACTCTTCAAATGTATTAGGCAACGCCCCCGCAAATATACACCTTTGTTCATTTCAGTACACCAAGGTGTATAACAAACAATGCAAACTGAAATGAATCAATCTGTATGTTATGATGAAACAACATGTCGCTTCTTCATGCACCAACTACTTACTTCGATTTTTCAATACATTTTTAAAAGACTCGTAAACATACTCGAGAAGCAATCAATGACTTTAACGATTTTAAAGAAGATTGCGATTTATACGCTCCGGTGACGATAAAAGCAAAATTACCATATAATTTACAGAACTCTCTTAAATTCCTTTTATAAAACAGCATTTGAAAATATTAATAACCCTCCAATAGCCATCGAAAAAACCTTTGAGAAACACTAAAAATATCTTTTCTCGAACTCCTCTTTTGTATTAACGTTTTCCACGGAATGGTTTCCTTTAATAGTATTAACATAGAAGCATCATCTCTTTTGTATGAAAAAGTAATTGGTTTTTTAAAGAAATTACTTAATTTTTGTATTATTTGGCGTTACCTGATACTGAGTGCAATTGAAACAATGCCAACAGCAGCTTTCGCCTTCCACGTATTTCATCGCCTGGCCTTTGAGACACGGAAGACTGCAAACCGATTCCGGCGGCGTCGGTTGGTCCATTTTAAATTGAATCGCTAGAGAAAAAGCATTTAAAATCGCAGCGATGAACAGAAAAATTAAATTCAGTCTACAACGAGCAACCCTCTGTGATATATTCGTCCTTGTACATACCTGACATGTTGAGTTTAAGGACGCCTTCTAGATATTCACCGACGGTTATCCAAGCGAACTTTCCATAGGCCACTTGTTTGAAATGTTTGATGTTATACCGGGCTGGGGCATCCCCGTTTTCGTCGAAGTGGAAACGATCACCGCTCAGGCCTGCAAAAATGCCGATGGAAAATATTTTTAAGGGTTTTTATAATGGGAATGTTATTAGGTGAATAGCACGCTATGGTATCAGCGTTCGTTCTGAACGGGGAAGAGAAAAACGCAAGGAATTTGTAAGAATGAAATGTGTAGTTTAAAGAATTTAATTAATCGTCCAAAAAAGCAAAAAAATTACATTTTGTAAAATACCATTGGATAATGCACAATGTAATGCACAAAGTGAATTTATTACTATCACATCAAAAGCGCTAGATTGCTAGATCAGCTCGCGCAATATTCCTCAAAGCGAGTAAATGAAAAATCTGCCTTTCTAGCACTTGTATCAAAAATAGCTGCTATTTCCTGCTGACCTGGACGCGTCGCGACGTCGACGCTCTTTTCTTTATACGCATTACTCCATTTCTGGGGATAGTAAAGACGAATCTGCCGATACTTCAATTTGAATAATATTACGTTTCGTTAGTCGGGTTCGTTCGTTTTATTATATCGAGTAGCGTTCGATATTTCTGAAAGAATCTCTAATAGGGAGAAATGTAATATTATCTTTTGAATAGAGTTGAAGTTAAGATATGGACAACTTGTATAATACGTTTCTCTATTTTTTTCGAAAATTTTCTCTCTACTTTCATGAACATTTTCTCTCTACTTTTACGCCCAAATTTATCTCTCTAATTTCATAAACACTCTCTCTACTTTTATGTCTAAAATTCTCTCTCTACTTTTAGGCACACAATTTTCTAATCCGTTCTAAATTGGGCTTTATTTCGACCCCAGAATTCGTGGTATAATTTACGACCCACCTTATTTATTTATCTATTTATTTTCCAATCGATTTTCATTAAAACATTTCACGTAAAAAAACACCAACTTTCTTCTTCCTCTTCTTTGCATAGATTAGCGGATAAACAGATTTATGAAAACCAATTTTATAAGCTACACGTCAGTCGCGTATTGTAAATTTTCAATCGGCCGGAAAACCGGGAAAATATAAAGACAAAAGGGAAATTTTCCCGTTCGCGTCAAGAAAACCGGCGATGTCAAGTAGATTTAACCCGCCGATTTTCAATCGAGATTATCTCAAAAACTAATGGTATTGGAAACGATGGAATACGAAGAAAAATTGGTAGAAAAATATATAACGAGGACATTGAAATATTTTAAATATTTATTGCTCACCGATAAAGTCGACCTTCCTTAAATATCTGAGAAGTTCTGTTCCATTCGTTGGTTTCATGGCGTCACACAAACCTGTTGTTCCATGACAATGATCTCTGTGCATATCCCTGTAAGGGAAATATAAAAGAAATAGATATACACATAGTTTTTCAAAATAACAAAATATTATTTAGAGAGTGGATATAAAAATATAGTAGACACCATGTATGGTACATTCGAAAAAGTACATCTCCCACAATTTAATCCAGTTTTCGAGATTGTCATCTCCCGCATGCGAATAGAATATTCAACGTATTGCCTGAACTAATATGTATTAAAAATTCGAATTTTCCACGTTCTGTCGTATTTATTTTTACTACCATTTTTTATCAATTCAATATATCCAAGAGAGGCGGGAAAAACCGACTGAATTTTCTTCGGCGAATTTTCCGTTGCGCAAGAAGTTTTTTTACGATAAAAGGATATTTGAGAACTGGTATATCCCGCGGATAAATTGGCGATAACATTTTTTTTCCAAAAAAAAAAAACGATGTAAAATATGTCGAGTTTTCGAAGTTGGCTATACTCTGCAGAAGAAAGGAGTAAAAGTTTCTATAAAAATGATTTGTTGTTGGAAAACCTGTAGGTAAACTTTTAATTTGTTAGTAGAAATAAATCAAAAAATTAAGTTCAAGTAGAATAAATCGAAATCATGTTTAAAATTGTTCCAAAATGAGTGAATACAGTGGTGAATATCTTCAACAACACTGCTCTGCTAAGGGTAAATATTTTTTTAACCATTTACAAGAGAATTCGTAAATTAAATTATATTAATATAATATGCAGATACATGTTTCTCTTTACTTCAATATTCTCTCTACTTCTCTCTACTTCACCTCCTGAGTAATGAAGAGATGTGGTAGACGTATCCGGAGGTGTTTACCCCCGGGTCCCAAACTTTCAGCTCTTTCCTATACCACCAGGGGATGCTCTTCAGATAAAATCAGTTTTACCAATGAAGGGAAATTTCCAGCAAAAGTTGCGCTTTGCATAAATCAATTTATACACTAGAACCTTCATTGAAGCATTTCGACTAAGAAGAGGCAAATAAATTAAACGAACTTCGGAACGAAAGAGACGTAAAAGACGATGAATTGTGAAAAAATAGTCGGGTCCTACCTTTTGAATTATTTTTAAATTTTTTTGTTCGCACCAGACCCTGCAATTTTTGTAAAAATGATAAATATGTTACTATCAATTTAAATCAACATAATCATGGGTAATCTTTATTTATCCTTTCATCATTTACTAAACTGATTAATAAGTTACTTATTCTAAATACCTACAGTAAGCAGAATCTATTTGGAGTCTCGCTTAAATTGCTCTTAGCTAATTCAGCAGATAGCATTTCTGGAGCATTGGCATTTTTGGAGAATATTGTACGAAAACAAACATAATAAAAAATTGATCTGGAATGTAATAGTAGTTACCTAATGGCATAGGCGAAAGCCAAAACTGCATCCGAAACGAATTGGAGTTGATCTTCGAAAACCGTATTGTTCGCTGTTAATTTCTCCGTGCCGTTGCAAACGTTTACTATCTTCATGTTGTACGGGGTTTTGGAGCTGTTCGGGTATCGGCAATTGAAATGCCGTTCCCAAAATTCTGGAACAAATGTATTTTTCTTATTGCATGTTTAAAGAAATATGCTTTCACAATAGTGCTATAGGGTTACAAAAAACATTGAGAATTGTGAAAAGGATGTTTAATACGAAAGGAAAAAAGTGCAATGAGGCTAAGAAGTCTTGAACAAAAGTTCAATTTTCTGGACAAGACGAAAAAAACCATTTACCACATCTTGATCACCGGTAACACCACTTCAGAAATTCCCTATTTACACTTTAACAACTCATGCCTCTTTCAACTCCTTCTACTACAAATAAAAAACACTCTTCTACCAATTCATCCACTCACCGATGAACCAAGGATTCCTCGTGTTGTTCTCCACGTTCAAACCCAAAAAGTACTCCTTGAAACCGGCCACCTCGCCGGCCTGGGGTTGCACCGACAGCGTACCCTCCACTTCGGCCTCGTTACCCTCGGACACCAGCGACCTGGCGCTCCAGCCGTCGCTGCCTATCCAGGAAAAGTAGCCAGTGGCGTTGCATCGGCGCACCGCCTTCATCAGCTCCGCCACTTCTTGATCGGAACCGAAGACTATGCAACCTGCAAGGAAAAGTTTCGATGAAAGTTTCTCTAGAAACCAACTACTTAAAACTGGAATAATAGAAATTAGGGAAGTATATAAGAGAGTGGAAAGTTTGTATTGAAAGGAGTTTTAATAACTTGATGTAAAAATAACATCGAGAAATCGTGGAAATCGGGAGTTGTTGTTTGTAATTTTATTTCCGTGGTATGGAAAAATGCCAGCCCGGAAAAATACAGTCTATCATTCAAAGCGTGATATTTTTCTTGTCGACTTGAAGCCCCTAGGGGGCGATGAAAGAGGTGTAACAAAAGAAACAAACATATAAAGTTACGTTTTCTTTAGTATCGTGTAACATCGTATTTCTAAACTTTGAGAAACAAACACAACAGAAATAATTACATCCAAACTTTTCGTTGGAATATCGTGGAATAATGTTCCGTGTATTTTGAGGAAATTTATTTAGAAATTCAGTAATTAATTCGTGATGAATTGAATTTGAATTGTTCAAATTATATCTAATTAAAATAGAAGTCTTCAATAAATTGTTTTTAAAGTTTTAAATTCTGAACGTGACTTCATTAAATTAGAAGTCGGTGTAATAATTTCGAATAAGTAATTTAACGAATTATTTGAGTGTCGAGTGTGAAGTTGAGAAAGTAGAGTGTAGAATGAAGAGTTGAGAATGTACAGTTGAGAATGTAGATTGTATAATGTAGAGTTGAGAGTGAAGACTCGAGAATGTAGAGTAGCAAATACTTTGCTGTATTTACATGTAATTTACATCCCTTTACTCAGAAAATAAAAAAAAGTATAATTAGGTACAGCAGAACAAACAATGGATAAAATTAAACGGTTTATAAATATTTATCAGTGGTGTAAGTTATGTATTGTAGAAGTAGACAACATGTACATTTCAACATAACATTTGTAAACTAATTTGAAATGCGAACTAATCGAAATTCGACCCGCTTTAAATAGTTCAGAGCCCACTTCGATTGATTCATTTACCATTATTCGAATTCCCGTTTCTAATGGCCGCCCGTCCAGATGACGACAAATTCGTCGAAATTGTCCTCAATTTGGACAATCTGTAAATTAAGTTTGGGGTCCAATTTGTCTCAATGTTGTAACGCCAGCCGGAGTGCACATGTGCTCTCGATGTAAAATAAAACTTGGCTATACACAGAATGTTCGTTATAGGGGAATTAATTCATTTTCGGTATTTCGGTCGAATGTGGAATTTTTCTGATCTGTTCTGTTCTGTTCGGTTCTGGAGAGTTCTAAATGATTTTGGAGCGTTCAAGATTGTTTTAGAGAGTTCGAAATGAGTCTGGAGTATCCTAAATGGTTCTAGACAGTTCTGAAACGACAGGAAAAAAATGATAAAAGTTTGTATTCTCGATTCCTCAAAAAAACTTTACTTCGTTAAAAATATGCCTGCTTTATTCCCGCCGAACTACTTAAAAAGTTTTATTGTTTAAAAAGGCTCGTGATAAAGTGAAATGGTTTTTCAGAAATCCTTTAATAAAGGAATCCTACATTATATTATTTGACCTTTGTGGAAACTCCGTTGTTTATTCTTTAATCAAGCCACCCGTGTTAGAAGAGCTTCACATTAATTCCTGATATACCACTTTAAGTTCCTGCGGAGTTGTAATTTGATCATTTTCTTTTTTCGCAATTAAACGTTTACGCTTTTGATTTAATTCCCGTGCTAACTACGATGAAATATAATAAGTTAGCAGGAAATTTAAAATTCTCTAATGAAAATTCAGAAGTTTGCATGTTTTTCTTTTTTCCTTTTAAATAACATATAGGCCAGTTTGAACCAGGTATATTTTAGTAGAGATGGATTCGGATTAAAAGGAAAAAAAAAAGGAATCACGTGCACCAAGTCTATTCCGTGTGTCCCATGGGACTAAAATGGCGTCCCGAAATTGTAAGGAAAATAAGTATTATTCTAGAGAATGAAAAGCTGCTTGAAAAGCGGTTTTAGGTGTCATTACCGAAGGAAAAAGTGTCATTGTATTTGGTCCCTTTTGTAAACGGTTACTTCGGAATTACAATAGATTCATTTACTCGGAGTTTCTGAAGATGTAAACTTTTCTGGGGAAAGGAAAATCGCGTTCATTATGCATAGATAAAAGCTGTTAAATTTATCACATTTGCATGAGAATTGGTATTGACTGGTTCTAAATTAGGGTATATGCATGGATTGGAGGGTTGCTCGACAATAAAACATTACAATCTTGACGATTTCTGCTTAAAAAATATATTTTTTTAGTTTCAATCAGCTGCTACAAGCAAACCAAATCGAGAAATGTTTCCAATTTTTTGCATATTAATCTACAACAGTATTACCAACATACAGAAACTTGAAATAGTTAAAAATACCAAGCACAAGTAATTCAAATCTCAATCGTTATAAGAGGATCGTCCGTACACTGATCACCAAACAAATTACTTATCCATTACCGGGATGAATAATTTAGCCTGACTTAATTTCCACCATCAAACTGACATCGCGAACACGTGTTGTTCACAGAACGGAGCAGATCGATTCTTCCATTAACACTCGGCAACGCCAACGCTCTTAATCCGAGCTAGTTGAAATTTATTGGGGCGAAATATTGCTGAGCTCAACTATAGATATTATGTTCTATGTACCTACGTAGGATGCAATTGTATTATCGAAACATGGATAAATAGAAAAACGCGTCTTTGCTCGTGTAAATTTGATGAATGTGATGATACTGATGGGAATCGATACGGTATATAAAGTCCCACGAATCCCATTATCTTCTACACTAAACCATTTTGTACTATTTTGATAGAATCCATATTTCTACTAATATTCTCGTCAGGCTTCCAGCCCAATGTTTACAATCTTTTCTGCGATATTTCCTGGTGATCCCTTTCTTTTCTGATTAAACTAGATACGTTCCAATTCTCGTTAACTAACAATCTTGATCAAGCAAATATAATCTTTCTATTTAATCCTATATGTTTTTCCAGGATTTCCCGAGTTTCTTGTCGTTCCAGACTTTCTGGTTATAGACAAAGTATGCATATAATGTTATGATAATTCGCGCCTCTTGAACGCTGAAATAATATTTGCACAATCTCAAGTGTACTTACGGCATTCGTGGAATCTAACCTTAGTTAGATTATGGGTTATAATCGTATGACTGAGCAAATAATTTATGTATATTATTAACCAACAGGGAGTGAGTATAGTTTCTTGAATGTGCGTTTTTTTTTCTTCCAGAAGCCACTTTACTATATCCCGTTGATTCTCGGCTCTATCATAACACAAACCAAATTAAATTACTTTTCAAGATTCCCGTTTTGTTTTCCCTTCACTCTTTCCGCTGGTGCTTTCCAATTCCGCGAAGGCAACTCGTCGGACGTGCTTCTGGTATAAATGAATTTTTACCGGGGCTTTGAAAAACTTTTATCGGCCGATATTTCTATCCTGATCGCTCTCGAATATGGTCGTTGACGGGTTTTCGTTTTATTCGAAATACTATCAGATTGCGCGATCGGGCTGTATAACGTCTAAATTCTCGTACTTTCCAAATTGTTTTATGGACTTTTCCGCGCCGTAAGTAAAGTGGAATTTCTTCTGTCGAATTCTAAATGTCTTCGAGAATCTTGGTGAAAAATTTTCTCGTGAGATGAGTATTACTTATTTTGTGTTATTCCAGACTACTGGTTCAGATTATTTTAATTAAAAATGCAATAAAACAAAAATTTTATTGATTTTATTTTATTTTTTTTAATTTTTTTTTATTCATACTGAAGCAATCTAAATGATTCTGGAGAGTTCTAAATTGTTCTAGATAGTATCAGTTCATTCATAAGCGTTCTAAATCATTCTAGACAGTTCTAAATAATTCTCGACTATTCTGATTTTTCCTGAAGCAAACTAAATGATCCTGGACAGTTCTGAATTGTTATAGACAATTCTAATTTGTTCAGAAGCGTTCTAAATTATTCTGGAATGTTCTTTATGACTCTCGATCATTCAGATTCTTCTTCAAGCAATCCAAATTATTCTGGACAGTTTAAAATTGTTCTAGACAGTTCTAATTCGTTCAGATTTTCTTACCTCTAGCTCTCGGTTTCGTCATAAGTTTCTGTATAATGCTATCGTAAACGGACTCCTTCGCTACACCGGAATCCTTCACCAATTTCTCTTTAATGGCGATGCAGATTGAATACTTGGAAAGTGTATCCTCCAATTCTTCGAATGCCTATAGAAATAAAAAGGGACCTTTATTAGATAAATAATTATTTATAGGCTTAATAGAGCTTGATTCTTGAGTATTTTCAATAATAATAATTGCTCGTTCTAGGTTACATACATACATTAGATATTCTTTAACAGAATATGTAATGTTAGGAGTTATGAAAGACTAATAAAATTATTGAAGCGGAATAATTTATATTTTTCCGGTATACACGCCATCTTGTATCCGATGTAATTCTTTCCGCAAATAAAGGAAAATCGAACGGTAAGTAATAAATAAGGATAAAACGCAGTAAAAATCAAGCAAACGGCCCTTTTAATTTTTCGATTCAGCGATTCGGAAGTTCGAACACGTTGAAACTGGACGCATTAATTATTTAGTTGGCCGAGAATTTCACAGAGATTTTTTACCGAATTTAGAAATATAGAATTTATTAATCTCGAATTATTAATTCGATGTGACCGCGTACGAGAGTTTCATATTTTATTTTTGAATGAGTTCCGTTCTCGGTTCGCATAAATTCCGGATATATCATGAGAACTGATGTGCATACCTTTTTAATTATTATCTTTTTATCTTTTTGTCGCTCCGAAAGTTTAGATTTCCATACAAATGAAAAAATAACATTTTTTCGAACCGTATAGGTACTGAGATTTTAAAATTATTGCGCTGATGCGATTCGTTTTTGCAAAACGAATAATTTATGCATTTTGGAAATTCTGTAAAAAAATAATAGAGGTCTTGTTACTAACGAGAGTTTGAATATAGGAAAGTTTCAATACAAAATTTTATACAGTGTTACAGCAAAATGTATTTTTAAAATTTATTTGATAATAATAATTGATGGAATGATCAAAAATAATGGCATGGGAAGTACAGTATATGTTAACAGTGCCTACTAAACCAATATTCTTTATACAATGCTGGCAGTTGCTACTAAACCAATAGCTACTCTTTATATTGTGCAGATTCAACAAGGAAAGTTTTCAAATATTTTATTGGCAATTTTTATTGAATTTACTATCTAGTAGCTGTAGCTGATTCTGAAAGGAAACCATGCACTAGAAAAATTACGAGTAATTTAATATAATGAATTTACTACCTTGATTCCATAGTTGGATTCCTCGTAGATAATGGAAACGTAACTCCAGCCGAGTTTTCTCACAATATCCACCATCGCCTTTACCTGGTAGAAATCGGACGGGATCGTTCGAGAGAAATATTCGAAACGTTGTTTGTTGCTCAACTCCGGACTCGTGGAGAAAAACGATACCTGAAAAAAACGAACAGTGCAGTTGAGAAAAAAAATTATACTAAGCTAAGATTTATGCTAAGCTAAGAGATCGCTAAACTTCAAGGTGTTTCTCATTCTTGATTGAAGGAAGAATTATAATTTATCAAAATAAAGTTCGAAGAATCTATAATACGAGTTCGATAATTTCAGATATCCTTCCCAGAATCGTTTAGAACTGTCTAGAACTATTTAAAACGCGTCCGAACTATTCAGAACCATTCATAGTCATTTAGAACGCTCCATAAGCATTTAGAACTGTCTAAAACCTCTAGATTCTAAATAGAAATAGTGAATTTTCTACCCACAAAAGGGACATATTATTCCCGAATGTTTACTTGAGAAAGTCAACTTTACCCACCCGAGCATCTCCTGATGTTTATTTGGTTAACAATTTTGTTTTCTTAGGTCTTTAAGGGCGCGTCCGTGCCGGTACTGAGCATGGCGTTCAAACATGTCGATCAACATGTCGGTTCACGTCGGCTCATATATCAATATTTTAATATTAATTTCGAATGTAAAGGCGGGAATACACGTACTTATCAAGTAGCTAAAGCAAGTTACTAAATCAAGTAACTAGATTTGGTTACTTGTGTGGTGTGGAGAACTTGATTTAGTACTTGCGTAAGTACCTAATTTAGTAAACTACTAAATCAAGTTGTACACACCTTACAAGTAACTTTTTTCCAGCCTCTTTAAAAACAAAAAAAACACTCCATAAGTGATTGAAGATAAACGAATTAACACAACGAAAACTAATCAAATTTCATATACTAGATAAAATAATAAATTAAATTCAACCCTTAAAAGTAAAATGACCCGTTCAAACATGATTAAATAAAGTAGGCGAATGTTAGAGGGAAAAATTCCGTAGTGAAAATGGCGATTCTAATTAGGCTATCCAATGTCGTTTTTCTTTAACGAAGGAAAAGAGGAAATGGCACTTTAACTTGTTAATCGCGTTAGTCTAAATTGGTTTTGCTCGGTAAGAGGAGAAGTTTTCAGTTTTCCTCGATTTGTGACCTTTCGTGTATTTTGAACATAATTTAGTGTAAAGTAGATAGGACAACTTCACTTTGGCTCTATAGTAGAGAAGGGTCTAACGTAAATTGAATTTTATTGTCTCGGAATGTTTTTAATGCGTAACCTAAAAATTTTTGATAGATTCTTTGTTTCAATGATTCTGAAGCATTCTAAATGGTTCTAGACAGTTCTAAATCATTCTGGGTCGTTCTAAATGATTCTGGAGCGTTCTAAATCATTCTGGGTCGTTCCAATAAATGGTTCTAGACAGTTTTAAATGATTCTGGAGCGTTCCAAATGATTCTGGAATCTTCTAAATTATTCTAGGGTCTGCTAAATGGTTCTATTCAGTTATAAATCATTTTGGGGCGTTCTACATGGTTCTGGGGCGTTGAATTTTTGGATATTTTACAACAATATGTTATGAATTTTGTATAAGTTTTGTACTATTGTGTATAAGTTTTCCCTATAACTACAATGCTTTATATAATTCCTTGTTCAATCAACTCTCATTAATTATTGCGAGGTAAAATCGGCGTGTAATTAACCCGCAGGTGGTTCAATACGTGAATATTCATAAATTATTAATTTGCTTAGATGGGAGTTTCGGTTTATTATCGTGTTATTTGACATGTTTAATTGCAATTTCATACAAATTTGATTAGCTCATTTTGGATATGTAAATACTATGTTTAATATTTACTCGTCAGTGAACGTTGATATTAAAATGATTTTTAAAAATACTTCGGATATGCAGAGGAGTAAAATATTCTTTTAAACATGTCGTTTGATAATTTTGAGAGTTTATAATAAAAGTTGTTTTTCGAATATAAAATATGCAGTTTAGATACTAACAAAAAAAGGTTACTTGGAAAGTCGCTGTATAGCAGGAACTTAAATAAAAATAACAGCTGTACACGTACAAACCCTATATACGGGATGTCCCTTAACAAATGAGAATATATATTTTGTGTCATCAGAGTAAAGAATGACCAGTGTGGGGATCTTGGAAACTATGAGTAATACAGCTACTGTATAAAGAGAGCTTTATAAGAGCTTAACAAGAGAATACAGCAACAGTTAAATGGGGAAAAAGTTGTGCAATCGGAACGGACAAATATTTTAAAGAAAATATATGCATTTTAACAGCGTTTGCAAACTCTCTTACAGGAGAAACATCTGTAACTGTTCGCAAATCCTTCTATTAATAATAACATAGTTGCAGTTGCCAGAGTGTTGATCCGGCATTTTGTTAAAATGGAATTACCGGCTCCGGTTTTATGACGAAGTTGTAACTTTTAAAACTGATGATAAATCTCGTCACTTCTCAAAGATAAAAATGAACATTCGAGCCGTATCCCGAGATCAATCAACTCGTCAAATATGGCCCAGGATGATTGACATCAGAAAGCTTGATGATCCGGAGTAAATTGGATTTATTTTTTTATTGCACTCCCGTTCTACTTTAATAAAAAATCTTTCATTAACTTTTTTTAACATCAATAATTCAGTAGAAATGACAAGCAACGTTATAAATAAGAAAAATATTATTATTTAGCCGACGCTGTTAAATCTTATTAGCAATTATTGTTCGATATCACTCCGCGATTCCGTAGAAGCGATTCCTAATGTATCCCCGAAGAAAAAAAATCCAATGGGATAACATCAGGGGATTGCGGAGGCCTGCGGAATAAATCTCGCTCTATTGTTCTCGAAATCAAGCAGTCACGAACAATTCTCGAATTATTTGCGGGAGCACCATCTTGTCGAAATTCAACTGCTATAAAACCATCTGTTATTGGCAAATCATCGAACAAATTTTCCAAGTTGTTCTGAAGTAAGTGTAAATCACAATAACGCATGTTTTGTCTCTTCCATCTTCTAAATACAGAGTGTTAATTGAGTGCCGATACTTCAAGATGTGCATATCTGGATGATTATAAGAAGAAAAGTTTATATCAATATATCAATTTAAGTTGAACACGAAATAAACCATTTTCTATTAGATAAAACCTGCAAAACTTTTACACTATTATTCGTTTTGTTCCTCACATATATTTTCACCTAACACAATTCCCTTTTTCCATTCACCGTCCGTCTAAAATGGGGATATGGCGCTCCTTTCGCATTACAACCTCTTCTCTGTGAAAGTTAATTTTGTTATTTATCGCCTCCGTATATGTCAAAATATATATATAGTACAAGCTTCCCTGGCCACCGGAATGGCCTTTTACTTCACCGGAAATTATTATTTATACGTTTTTTTCTGGGCGGCTTTGTTGCCCAGACGGTCAACTTTTCTCGTACTTTTTTTTCGGGCTAGATTTAATTTAATAAAACCGCAAAAATGTTTCTGTCAGACGAACGTTGTAAATCCCCTAGTGATTCGATTATAGTAAGACAAGAAACTCGTCACGGATCTTAATGAGATTATCTTAATAGACTGGGGTAATTAATAAAGCTCCGGAGGTGGTTAAATTGAATAAGTGGATTAAAAAGCGGGGTGCCCGTATTCCGAAGGAATAGAAGTTGCCGGAATTCGGGTAATATTATCGCAGGTGTCTGTAATAACTCCGGAATAATATAGAACTGCCTAGAACAATCTAGAACCCTTTCATAATCATTTAAAACGCTTCAGAATCAATTAGAATTATCTAGAATAATTTAAAACAATCCAGAATCATTTAGAACTGTCTAAAACCATTTAGAACGTTGTGGACTAAAAAGCGTATTGCGTATGAATAAAAGGAAGGCGGTAATTGAAAATATTTTATTTGTTTTGTCAATATTTTGTCTCATCAGATTAGAAATATTCATGAATTAAATCGGCCCGCAAAGGACAAATAAACTTCTAATTGAGTTCCCGATGAATGTAAATTAATGTAAATGAATCCATTAGTGTTCAAATGGCTCTCATTTGGCTAAATTAGCCAAATTAATAACCCTTTTATTTCTATCTACTTTTACCCAAAACTCACTTCTCCGCCCCTGTTCGATATCAAATGCAAGTCAAAAGAATAAACCGTCGAAAAATCCTCTATAATCTTCCGATACAATACAATTCTGTTTGCAGGAAACAATCTCTAGAAACGATTTTCTATTGAAATTCGCTGATTTCGAGAAAGTTTATATTCGAGAAAACGAATTTATAATTTTCTTTCTTTGTTTCGTATTATATTCGGGGAACTTTGTAATCCAATAGGGTATATAGGTTTCCATGGGGAAATGCGAATTGAACGAGCAAGATTATTCCAATTTCCGTTTCTAATTATTATTCGTCGAAATTCGCATTAATTGCTAATCGCAAACGAAGCCTATACTGAATATTTTAAGAAGATGCATAGAAAGTTAAATTTTCTAAATAAAAATGTAAAAGAATCAAATTTATAGAGTTTATATTGTTAGCAAAAAGCCTTGATTTACACACAACCATTCAATCTATTAAGATATTTTCATTAAAGGTCCTTTTTCCGTATAAAAGGAAAAAATAAAATGAAAATCTCACTTAAATTTCTTAGTTAAGATAATTGATTTATTATGGTGTAATATGCCAATTAGATTTGTTTTATCAGAGCTTCGGGAAAACTCCTCTTTTAGGAGCATTTTGGTTAGCAAATAGCGAAATACCTTTCACGCAACAATTCGATTTATTAAGACGTTTTCATTTAGGTCCTTTTTCCGTCTGGAAAGGGAAAAAAGAAAATCGGAATCCACAGCAAGAATGTCCGAGGCATTTTCCCGATGGGGTTTAACCCTTGCGAATAACCATAAATCAAGCTAAAAGGCATTCGGAGTCGAGTGTTTACGGAAATACACGGTGGAGAAAATTAAATTTTTAATATGTTGCAGCTCGGAAAAATTCATTTCGCGCGAATTATTTTCTTCGGGAATAATATATTCATATCAGTGAGTGGTTGAAATAGCGGAAAAGGGAAATAATCAAAATGGAATTTAATTTGTTCGCGCTTGAGAAGTCTTTTTCGATGTACTTGATATGTACCTAGGTAATATATTTTTAAACGTGTAATCTTGAGCTTAATAAATGAAAATTTAAATCGACATTTAAGCTTTAAGCTTTAGGCGTTAGAGCAAATTGAAATATACAAGATGGAGATACATTTAGAAATCAAACAACTAGTTAAACTAATTTTAGTTAAAAATAATTCAATAATATATTTCAAAAATATTTTTTCTTGATGCTCTAAACTCTAAAGTGTTTAATATTCAGCTAAAATATCATTATTAAAACTTTGCTCTAAAGTTAGAGTGGTATGTATATGTAGAGCTCTCTCGGAGATAATAGCAGGACTTTAACATAGATGATAAGGTTGTGGAGTTGTAACAGAATATGCAAGTGAGCACACTTGTAATATCTGGGTAGAGAAATTCATTCGAATCCGGCCCTGAGTGTTTCATTATTACATGTAAATATTTCAACTTGTTTCAAATTGAACTCAAATTACGAAGATTTAACTCGAAATACCGTCTATTTCTAATTACTAGAGCCTGGAAAATATGCAAAATGAACGGTTCTGAACGGTTCTGGAGCGTTCTAAATGGTTCTAGACGCTTCTAAATGATTATGAAGCGTTCTAAATGATTTTAAACAATTCTGAATGTTTGTAGAGCGTGCTAAATGATTTTAGACAGTTCTAAATGATTCTGGAGCGTTCTAAACGATTTTGGGCAGTTATATAATTATGGGTAAGTGCAACATTCATTAGACTTTTCCAAACTATTGATGTTTTTAGCGAATTCTTAACGAATCTTGTTAGCGGTATTCAGAACAAAAGTGCGATAAAAAATAAATCCGAGAAGCAGAGCATTATAAATCATTTTGTAAGTGACATCGTTCTCAAGGAAGGATGAGCAAATACAATATAGATCATTTTAAAATAACGAGGTATGATAACTAAGCAAATTCTCCTATAGGTACACTTAAGGGTCTCATAGGCGTCTTTGACAATGCGCTTTTTAACGACAAATTCAAAGGAAATTTCTGCCTTTAAAATTAAATTATAATCTTAAAAAGATGAGTTTCAATGTTTCATAACTTCCTTTTGCAAGCATTTTTCTCATATAAAGCATTCTTTTATTGGAAATGAGCAGTAGAATTCTAAATTCAAATACTCTACATATATACAGGGTGGAAATCTCAAATGGGAAAAAAACATTAATTCGGATACTGATGTTTAGAAAATCAATAAACAATTCATCGAGCCAATATGATCTCCCATGACAGTATCGAACCTCCATTCCATTTTCATAACAGTTATCTTTTAAACATCATAACAGACCTGTCAACAAAATATGCTATAAACAGACGAAGGACCAAATCATTTTTAATATGCCTAACCTGTTATATACCGTTTAAATTTAAATCGTCTTCTCAATAGGTGCCAAAATGCGCCGAAAGATACTAAATAAATAGAATAAATTCAAACAGAATCCATTATTAAATTTATAGCAAAAAGTTACCTGCGGTATTTTAAATAGTCGCAGCAGATTGGCCACTTGAATTGAGGTGACACTCGAAGCAGCTCCAACAACGCCGGATATTACTTTTCTCACCTGGGTCTTATTGCAATGATATTCGGCCCCGTCGATGTTGCTGATAGAACCTGAAACGAAAAAATTAACAGTCAAATCGATTTAAAAAATACTGTCAAATTATAAATAAAATTGTAAAATTGTGCTGCAAATATTATTAGGTACATTATGTGTGACGGGTGCAACATAAAGTCAAAGTCTATTATACTCCAGGTATATTCCATTAAACTCCGTTAGCGATCGGGAGATATTATTAAAATTTGGTAGGTAAAGTTCGTACGTTTAAAAATGATAATTACGTCATTTTTAGTAATTTCCATGCAATTCTAAATATCCCAAGTGCCAATGTTAATTCTGTCATTTAAATCTAAATAGTTCTGGAGCGTTCTAAATAGTTCTAGACTGTTCTAGATGATTCTGGAAGCGTTCTAAATGATTCTAGAGCGTTTTATACAATTTTTTGAAAAAAGGTGCAGGAGCATCTGACCAGCGATCTGCCTGTATAAATTTGTTATTTGAAGAAGTAGGTATACACTTTTCAATTTGTGTAGGTATTACCCAAGATACTTTATACTAATTTAATGCTAAAAATTTAATTTTGTTAGATTATACTTCAACTTTATAAGTATTATAAGGGATAATCCTTCAATAAATTAATTAATCCTTTAATCGCTCGTTGCAGATGATTTAATATAAGGCAATAAAGAAGTTCTTAAGTTAATTGTTCGTTTATTTAACTTTAATATTTACAGTATATGTTTCATTGTGGAACGACCCTATTTATCTCGAGCTTATCAAAACTTTTAAACATTTTGAATTGCCCTTTTTATTTTAATTGGAGCATTCACTGCTTCGTTTAAATAGAAACGAAAGAAAATAAAAACCGTATACGAAACTATTGAAATTACTAAATTGAATATGTGAAATTAGTTTGATAGAATAAATATGTTTATGTTTGAATGTTATGTTTAAGTGACCATCAATATTGTTTTAGTAGTTTGCTACAATTTAATTAAACTAATATACGAACTTATTCGGTTATATAACATACAACTGTAAATGACAACGAAATTATACAGAATGTTCATAGGATATCTGGAGTAATAAGGAAATATTTTTTTTTCTAAAACTGTAACACCCTGTAGCTCGAAGTATAAGAGGTTTAGGAGGACATACATATATTGATATAAACTTTTTTTAAATCATCCATAAAATTGGGTTTTTAAAATTTAATTTCTTGATTTTGGGAATTAATCGCCAGTTGTATCCATTAATTCTGGAAATTTATCCGCATGACTTAATTAACGTCCAAAAACTGCAGGATGAGGGAGTCTTGGAAAAAATTTTAACAATTAATTATATCCTTTTATAAGAATCTGGAAACAGTTGATGTGTAATTAGAGAGAAAGAGAGAGAGAATTTTTTATTGAAAATAATATTTTTGACTTCACAAACATTTTTCAGGCACATATAGAGAGAAAATTAATAAATTTAATGATTAATGGAACGCTTTCACGGGGTGAAAGATAAATCATTTTAAATATGTACATTATTTCCGAGTCGAAAATAGGTTTTAAAGTAGGAAAATTTACACCTAATGGCTTTCAATCATGTTATATTTATTTAAAATTTAAAGTATGTTAATGGATATTAATTTGGATTATATCAGAAGTGGGATATTTATTATTAGTTCAATCAGAGAACTCTGTTAAAAAATTTATAATTCTATATTTTTCTCTCAATTTTTAATATTCAACTATTTACTTTTTTTTGAATATTTGATATACCAATTTTGAAAAACCAAACGGTTTTTATTTTTTTTCTCCAAAAACGAAGCGAAACACGAAAAAAATCAAGAGGCAAAAACGTTGTATTTTAAAAAGTTAAAAAAAAGGCAGTGGCATACATTTTTTGCCAATAATATTCCCTAAGGTGCCCACCGGGACGCCACTGGACTTAATAATTATACAAGGAGGATTCCTTCATTTTCTACCCAACATTTCCACCCCGTTTAATGAGTTGAGTGGGCTGGACAGGGCGCCAGTTTACTTCATGGGTTTTTCTATTACAAAGAGCTTCGTCAAACCGGAGCCAAACCGAACCGTTTTATTTTCATCCCTCCCTCTCTATAGTCTCTATTCCATTCCTATAGTCACTTTTATACCGGTCGCTTTAGAAACACTCAATTCACTTGACAGACGACCTTCGATGCATTTCATTGGAATCCTTGCACTTGTTGAATAGACACAGAAGAATTCACATGTTGTATTGTTTGTTGTGTTGGTTTTGTTCTTGTTTATTGGAATTCCGAACGGTTGTATAAAGACAAATGGTGAGTATTTAGTTGTTGTTTCTTTTATAAGTTATAAAGTTTATAAGTTATTTAAAAGTTGCCGGCTTTTGAATTTGTAAAAATGACAATGAAGGTCATAATTTTAGGTGTTTGTCGTGGTGTTTTTACAGGGTGTGTTTATTATGTAGAAGGTGTAACTTCCCGGTATTAATTTTCATAATCAGTCCACTTATACAGGGTGTCCTAATGAAAAGTGTACGCTTTATTGAGCTAATAATTTTTAAACGCCTAATCATTTGCAGATTTATTTTATTTTGCTATAACTTTTTGTTAGAGTGACACAAAATTATTGTATCGCCTGTACAGGGTGTTATCATTAACCAAATTTTATGAAATAGGTCATCTTCTTTTGTAGAATAACATGTACAAATAATACATTTTTGAAAAGTAGAAGAATATATCTTTCAAAATACCTCTGTATATACGGGGTGTTCCATTTAGAAAAATTTGGTTACTGTGAATTTAAAAGAGGAGATTTTGATAAAAACCATGTACTGGTAGTACATAATGCATAATTTCAGTATCACTGTAACAAAACTTCTAATAAAATAGTATATAAATCTAGTAATAAATCTAATAAAAGGTATTTGAGAAAACCGCATGTTTTTATGATTAGGCGTTTAAAAATTGTAAGCTCATTAAAGGGGTACTTTTCATTGAGACACTCTGTATTAAAAACAAGAAAGAAAATTATTGCCTTTTGTGTATTGGCTGTTGCTTACAATAAAGGGTCAATTTTCCAAATTTTCAAAAATTATCTAATTTTTATTTTGTATTTTTTGTATAAAACATTTTCTAAATTCGATTTAACTGTGGTCCCAAATTCAAGCTAGTTGCACTAGAAATCGAGTACCAAAAATCGAACTATAAGTTTAATCTCTGTCCCATAAATTACCGCCATGACACGTTTAATCTAAGGAAATCGATTGAAAACGAACGAGGGAAAAACGTTTCCATTAATTTCCTTCAATTTCCTCCACTGTCCTAAAACTTGCCTATATGTGCAATGTAATCATGAATTATAAAATAGTGTATTTACAAAGTTCAAAATGGACGTCGTTCAGAAAATTGATTTTATAAATGGATGAAGCTTTCATTGATTTTACTTCAAAATTACTAAGGTGCTCCGCCCCTTAACCCATTAGGTATAATCACGAGTGATTAGTTAAATTGAATAATAAGCCAAACTGTAGATAATTATTTACCGACATTTTTCCTTTATTATACAGAGGGTAACAAAAATAGTGTATTGAATAGGCTGAAAACAAACTATTTTCACGTAATTTATTCTTTTTTACATGTTAAATTAGACTTAAATGCAGCGCCATCTTGGACCAATATGGACAAACTTTGTTTTTAAGTAAAATGGCCATTGTAAATAACACCACTCTGAGAATACCTGTTGGAAGAATTGCTGTGTGCCTGGTTGCAGTAGCACATTCGGTAAGCCTATGTAGAGGAGATTATGGTTAATAATTACTAAACAGCCTAAATAGAGTAGTATATTTTAACCATAGGTATGTAGGTACCTTAATGTTTCAATATCACCTTCAGGGATTTGTTAATTTATAATATCAATATTATGTAGTACATGACAAAATGAGAAGTTTTCTAAACCCTAAGGAATTTCAAAATATCAGTGCAGAAACACGTTTACTAACGACATTAATTATTGCCAATTCCACAGGCAATTCTACAAGATTTCGCTTATACTAACGTTAATAAATTGGTTAAATTATAAATTTTCTTAATCGCTAAATAACTGATTGAAATACAAGCCATTTTGATTTTGGAATTATTATTCAATTAATCATATTTTCTTCAGAATTTGAAATTCTTTTTTTTGTAGATATTTTTGTACGATGGAATAAATTCAACTGTAAACGATAATCGGCTTTACGCCCGAGACGGGGCTTTAGAATTCGTGGAGAAATCGCAGGCGTTGGTACTATACCCTGTACATTTTCTACTTATTATTACGTTATTATACTCGAATCTTAAGGTAGGTGGTTTAGTTTTATTGTTCAATTAGTTTATTCTTCGTTGCATTTCACCCTTATTTTGCCAGATTTTTATTCGTTGTATCTCACACAAAATTAATATACAAACTTATCTCGATGATTTCTTCCTATTTGGAACGATTTTATTGGAATATTAACTTGCTAGTTAAAATTATAACTAGCTGTAATAACTAGTTGACTAGTTATTATAACTAGCTAGGTAAAAAAAAACCTATTTTTCAGAATGCCTCTCATTGCCTTCTACCATGGTTATTGGCAACGTTTCCGGTATTTGTATACGTTACATTTATGGTTGCCAAAGATTGTCTTTGGTTTAATGTAACAGATGTTGCAAAAAGTTTATTTGATGTTGGTAAGAAAAAGATTTACTTAAACTTTACTTTATAGATTTTCTATAAATGTACACATTTTTGTTTGTTTACAATACCAAAGGCTATAGAGCTAGACAAAGAATGAATATATCTATAATTAATTTTATATTTTTATTATTCTATTTAATATTATGCACACAATGAAGCATTGTACTCCAGGTATGTAACTTTCAGCTACTTTTTTGATTGAAACCCACTGGCGTAGTCGATTTTATAAAATATTTTTTATTTTGACCAACTCGATTATTGACAATAGTTTTAGAATGAAAAAATTATCTCTTTTTTTAACACCAGAGGTGTTCTACTAAAAATTCAACTTGGCGTTTAACTCGAAATTCATAAATAGTTAAAAAAAATGACTACACCATTGAATTTCAATCGAAGAGTTTCTGAATAAAGCAAAAATTATTTCTTTCCATTTTCATAAACAACCACGACGGAGTTTCATAAAGAAAATTGCAACAAACTGAACATATGCTCGTAACTAGAAAACAAATCAAGATAGCCAATTTTGGTTTTCCCAATTAAGTTTAAAAACAGAATTTTGGTTTATTTTGTCATTTCAAGATTAGTATACCTACAACAATAATTTCCTATAATAATTGTAACTAAAACTACTAAATTCGGTCACCCTGTAATTGTTTTAAAAATATTCTAATATAGATTTTTTCTATAAAAACGAATTAATTCGAAACATCATTTTTCAGGTATTTGTTGGTTATTGTGGACCGTAATTTTCATCGTTTTCAAAGCGGGGGAATACAGAAATATCGACGTATTTGATACATTTGATAAATCCTTTTTAGTCCTTCGATATTATTCAATTCCCGGTTCAAGAAGGCTATAAATTTCCCTAACTAATACCCTCATTAACCTAACTATGAGACACCCTATAAATAACGTGAATTATTGGATAAACTGGCAAATTAACTGATTTAAGGATTAAGGATTTAAGGTTTATGTAAGGTTTTCACCGGTAAAACCAAAAACTTGTTAATTTAAAATATGTATTTTTGTTACAATAAAGCAGTATTTTTCTTATAAAGCTGTTGTTTCAGTAATTTGCTTGTAATTGTGCCGTACATGAGATTGTATTTCATGACCCAAATCCAGGATATCCAGATACAACCTGTAAAAAAGCGAATAAATGAAAGAAAACTTTTACTTTTTTATAATTTAATTGAACTTACACATGCAAAATAAGTTGTAAAACGTTTGCGATAATTCCTCGTGGAAAATATAAATGAATCCGTATATTGTACCGAAAAGAAAAATCGGCGTCAGTATTATTAACCATGGTATGGTCCAGTTTGGATTGTTCTAAAAACACATAAAATTATGGGGATGATGTTGTGAGATTTATATTCGGAAAATTTAATGCACTCGGTGAAAATAATAAGCTTTTATCATAAAAATATAATAAATTTATGAAAACTAAATATAGTCAGACTATGTAAATTTAAATTCTCCAGTATATTGCGAAACTCGTAAAAACGAGGAATATAAAATATGTAATAAAAAATATGGGTTTTCTTCAAAAAAAATACAAAATTGTGGATTCGGCTGAGAATTACAGAATTATGATTTTTTTTATTAAACAAATATGAAACAAAAAATAACCTATATACATATATTTATTCTTTTCCTTTTTTACTGCATTAGGTACTAAGACATCTTGTATATTCTAACAAAAATCACTTACCGTGAGACTCCCATAAATGAGCATAACAACCGTTATTAATTGTAGTACATAAGAAAAAATCAACGTTTTGTGATCGTGATATATGAAAGGTTCTTCTAATACTGATAATTCCCAAATTTTCTCGTACAAACGCAATATAACCAAAATCTAAAAAAAATCATTAAAACATTTAAATATTTAAATTTAAATAACTAACGGTTTTTTTATTTTATTATTATTCGTATTTGAAATAGATATTTATCAAAAATTAATAAACATTGCACTGACAACCGAAATCAATTAACTTTTGTCGATATTGTAAACAAATAAAAATTGGATATGCATGTTTATTTATTATCGGAAATTTTGAATAATAATATGAAAATTTAATTAGGTAAATGTATAAAATGTATAGGTAAAATAAAAAATAACAAATTTATATTTACCTACATATTTATATGTATCGATATCGACTATACAAAATTATTATTTTTCATTTTCATTCTTATTTTATTATCTTATCTTGTTTATTATTAATTTTATTTTTATATTTAGGTACTATAATTTTTCTTTACACCTCTATAATAATTAATGACAAAAATGCAATTATAAACTAAAATAAATCAGTATATTTTTATCAATTTCAATCCGATGTTCGTCATCAACCGTTATTTTGAATCCCTATTTTGATTCAAAAATAGTTCAAACTGCATTGCACTTTCCGTTATTTAGTAACGGCTTCCTCCAACTCTATTATCGAACCAAACAAGTTAATGCAACGTATCGAACAGAACGAAGCGCATGCGCAATCGCCAGCTCTAATCACTTACCACGTGTGAAACTCCAACCGCAAGGCAAATGTATCTTGTTTTATCATAGGGAGTCATTTTAGAAAATTGCACTTGCATTCAATTACTATTAAACTTTGGAATAATGGACTCGCAAAAAAGCATCCGAAACCGGCGCTTTCACAAGGAAAACTGAAATTTTTTCGGTCCATGCTGTGTCACAGCGTCTAAAGTTAGAGATGGGAACGGTAGCAATGCGTTGTAGTATGTTATCAAAATGAATTGATATGCATTTTTCTTAAATAAGATTATGATATTAAGAATTTAAAAAGTGCATTTATATAAAAACAATTTAAAGAACTATATAAGATATTTTAATTGTATTTGCTATTTTCTAAATTCATCAATATATTTAATGAAGTCAATGAAAAATATTTTTCGATTTTCCCGCGAATTTAAACAGCGGGTATTTATCAGCTGATGGAGTCATAATCATCAGTGGTATTGAATAATAATAGGGACTTTTTTGTTTGACCTTTAAATCATTTTTGAATTAATTCTATCATTATTTAGTCAAATTCCCAAACTTGCCACGTCATATTATCCATTAGATCCATTGTTATTGTCATAATACCTTTAGCATATTCCACGCCAAATGTATTCAAATGGATTGAATTTATAATGGTTATCTGGAAGTTTCGAAACAAAGTCTACCTAAATACGTATAATTTCGGCAACAATGTATATTTTAGGCTTTTCGTCCCTTTTAGCTGATGATGTTAACGATTTATGTGATAATATAAAAACTTTATTTGCATCAACTATTTCAATTTTAAATTGTAGTCGAACGGTATATTGAATACATCATCTCAGCATCCACCCAAGTAACATCATCTCCACTTAATTCCAAAGGGGTCGAATCGGCCCTTTAAATGTGACAAAAAGGTTGAAAAAAAGCGACTTTTCGGGGAATATTTCGACCCTTTTGGGATGTCGCAAGAAACTGATATTTCCCGAGGAGCGTCCTTGATGTTAGGCAAAAACGCCCGAAAGTTTGGGACTCGGAAGTTATAAATTATAAGTATGTATTAAAGGGAAAAATTTTTAGTCGAACGTTAAAAAATGCTAACTTTTCATATTTTGTTGGACAGTAAATAGAGGTTGGAAAATATGCACCAAAAAATTTTATTAAAAGAAAAACATAAGACATATACACATTTAGACCTGTCTAAAGCCATTTAGCCATAGAACTGACTACAATCATTTAGAACTGTTTAGAACCTATTTTAAAGGCTAAAACTCCACATTTTAATCGTCAAAACTATTATATTCTGGAAAACTCGCTACGAGCACAACTTATAAAATAAGATATGTTTATTTATGTATATCACATATGTATATCACCTTTCACGGGCACACTGGATTATGCATTTTAACTCGGAACAACATAGGATATGTTTTTGCAGCTGCAGCTGCACTATCATAGTGGCAAATTGATGTTTACATCGTTTCGCCTTTGCGAATACTAATTAACGCGTTTTAATTGCCCGCAAATCCTCTTTCATCTGCATTTTCGTTTCGTCAAAGACCATGCAGAGTCGAATCGATCGAACTAAAAATTTGTTCTGTAAAACGAATGAACGACGAATATTATAGAAAAATAAATTTACCGGGATTTTATTTATACCGGGTGTTCCAAAAAGGTTGTGCCAAACTCAAGAAATTTATAGGGGACATTGTGGTAAACAATTTTTGCAAAGTTACCCCTAGTCAAAAATGAACCAGAAGTTCAAAAAATTATGAACAACTTTTTAAACAAAAATGACTCTGGAGCCAAAACGGCTTATTATTTGACTAGGGGTATTTATGCAAAAATTGTTCACCACAATGTTCCCTATAACCTAATTAAGTTTGGCACAACCTTTTTGGAACACCCTGTAAATTATACCATCATCATGTTATACATGCAAGATGTCCCAATGAAAAGTAGTCCCTTTAAGGACTTTTAATATTTTAACTTTTCATTGGGACACCCTGTATTATTATACCATCACCGAGATTGTAAGAGGGATTTGTTAGTAATTATATGTAAGTTAAAAGTACACAAACTTTGGTAGAATTTTTAATTACGAATAAATGAAAAGCTTTATATTTAAGAGCGAGTAAATAACCTGGAGCGCAATAGTTTTTTTTCATTAAATTTGCTCTTTAAATTTTACACCTAATTTAAATTATTATTTTCATTTAGCGGATTCGTTTGCTATTCCAGATTTAATTAATTAATTATTATTAAATTATTAATAAAGCTTGGAAAATATGCACTGAAAAATGGCAAAACATGCATGCAAATACGCTCTAAAAACCTTCAAAACATGCACTTTTATATCCGTTTATGTTCGATTAAAAAAAGTAGAATTGGCCGACATTTAGAACTTTCCAGAATCATTTTTAGAACTATCTAGAATCATTTAGAACTGTTTAGGACCGTTTAAAAAGCTCCATGCTCATTTAGAACGCTCCAGAATAACTTAGAACTGTCTGCAACCATTTAGAGCGCTCCATAATTATCTAGAACTGTCCAAAATCATTTAGAACTGCCTATAGGACCATTTAGAACGCTCCAGAAGCTTGAAAAAGGAGCTTGGAAAGTGTTATTACAAGTAAGATAAAAAACTACTTAAAATCCAACGGTCTCTTCATTTATTATCAACACCTTTTATTTTCTCAAAATATTATCAAACACCCTATATATAATATACGTATATCTTTATACGTAAACTCGACTTGTATATGATACTACGCAGCTTATAAAAAAGCACGAGACTCTTTATTCTTCGCAGCAACACGCTATAAATCACGCTCATTGAACGAAGAACCCGGAAAATTCATTTATATATACGGGACGTCCTCCGGTATCCCCCGGCCCCCCGAATAGGGTAATCCATAATTCTCTCGAAATGTTATTAGTTATTTTTCTGAGGTGAGCTTTCCGCTCTAATGGTTGCACAAGCGTGACATTTTCGCTTTATCTCTTGAGACCAAGAGTGAGAAAGGACCTTCGAGTTTCCGCGAGAAACGACACGGAAGACTTTAGATTAACAATTTGAGCGGCTACGTTCGACGTAAAACGACGCTTTATACAGGGAGTTTATCAATTAAAGGGATCGTAAGTTGCTGCTGTAATACTTAGACTTAGGCCACAGGGTTTACATTAATTGTCCTTGTATATCTACTAATTTATCATGAGATTATCATAATAAATAATAATAAGGAAAAAATCATTAAATAATAATCAAACGCAAACTATTTTTTCTGCTAAAAAAAGTTTCTTAAAATTGTATTTATTGTTAATTTATTAATTGTATTTGTGTATTGATTTATATTATTTGTTTCCTCGTGAATGAAAATTCAAACTTCTCATCAACGCTCTTTCTGAGAACTCTTAAATATAGTGTTCGGAACGGTTCTGGAGCTAACTAAATGGTTCTTGACAGTTCTGGAGTGTTATAAATGGTTCTAGACAGTTCTTAATATTCTGGAACGATCTAAATGATTCTAGACAGTTCTAAATGATTCCAGATAGTTCCAAATAACTCTGGAGTTGAATAAGGTAGGGTAGTGTAGGATTGTGAAAAAAAGGATACTTTTCCGGGTACTTTTTTGCCACTGGTACTTTTTTTGTATACATACAAAAAAAGCAACAAGAGCACTATATCTAAAATGCCTTAACTTATAAAGCATCAGCCCGATGCATTAATAATATTAAATTAATAATTTGATGAAAATATCAAGCCTTCTCTCTTTAGCTAATTATTTACATTGTATCGCTTGAATATAATATCAAGGCGGCTGCGGCGGCGGCGAA